AGCATTGAAAACAGTTTTTTGCATGAATGATTCCTTAAAGTTGATAGTATAAATCAGTTTCGAAAGGTTTTGTTGTAACTTTATACTAAAAGCAAATCTTACATAAATGATTAGTTAATGACTATTTGTAAATAAAAGTGATTTGCGTAAATTTTATCTTCAATAAACTTTACTCTATGAAATACAAAAATTTTATTTTAGAGCTGTTATTCCATTATAAAAATTATGAGACTTGGGAAATAAGATAGTGATTATGTACGCATTTTATTTTCTAAATCATGCGGGAGGGAATAAAATTATTTTGTTGCTATTTTACCTAGTTTATGAATTTAATATTTCATAGTTTGTCATCACATTTATGTTTAAGTGCTTTAAATGTTTCAAGATATTATAATAAAGTAGATAAATAAAATTTAAAAAAATATTATTACGAGAAGTATACCATCCTTTTCCTATTCTCTTCTATAGTAAATTTCATTATATATCATTAAATTCATATAACTATTTAAAGTTATGAAATTCCATTAAAATAAAACAATCGAACTGAAGATAATTATACAAACAAAAAAGATATTTTATATAATATGGTTTTCTAGATCTGGATCGATTCAAATATATCGAATACAATTTTACGACTGAGATCCCATTTCAATCTTTGTTTTAATCAATATACAGTAGAGCCTCGATTATCAGAAGCAAATAGATCCGAACCTGCTTCGTATAATCGAAATATTCGAATAATGGAAGCAACGCAATTTTTTTAAAAATCTGTTTTCATTAACAACTTTGAAAGTCGAGTCTTTTTTTAAAAATAATAATGCATCATGGTATTTAATTTTGACGTTATTTAATAAAAGCTTTTTCTTTTAGAACTACTTTGCTGTATTTCCTCAGATTGAAGTACTCCATCGCTTTTTTTTAAAAATCCATTTGTACAATTAGCAAAAAAAGGAGGACACGATTGATAATTTTTCACGTACCAAGACTCAATCTTTATGGATCAAGAGCCTAACTTTAAATAAGCTAATTAATTAATGCGAAAGATAATTTAAGCTATGAAATAAGACGCTAAAACGTAGTTTTTCTGAATAAACATACTTCTTTTCTCGCCGGTTTTGGATTAATTAATAACTTAGCCCAAAATATAATGGGGTAGGAGCAATTTAGAAAAAAATTAGTCCTCATAATATGGGCAGGAAGGGCAGTTGGATAGTTTAGAATTCTAAATGTTACTATTCAATTTTTCGCCGTATCTCGAGAACTTTTTAAGCGAATCTAAAATGTTTGGTATGCAATAATAAAATTCGTTTATCCAAAGATAATTCTTGAAATTTGCTTTTAAAAATTATGATATTACTTTTGTATTTAATATGGTAATAGTCGGAAAGACTTTGAATTGTAAGGTATATAAATTTTTGCATCATTTTAAAATATATAACAAAATTCAAAATTTGAACAAAATCGGTCGAATAGTTCTCGAGAAATCAAATTTTGAAAGTCCGACTTTAAAAATGGATTACATAAAAAGTTGCATTGGCTGGCAATAGTTTTATATAGATTTTTTTAAATAAAATTTAAAAGAAAATAATTTTGAGTACAGCACAGCCTCAACGATATTTATTTAATACCACAAAATAATCCTACATCAGAAATCATAGCTATACTTCAAATCGTAAAATTTAATATAGACGGCTATATTATTTTCCTGAATTTATTATAGTGTTTTATTGCATATCAGTAAATATTACATTTATTACTTTGATATTCATGATTTGCGTAACTAAATTCCAATGATATAATTTTGTTAATGTTCAACCTAAAAGTATTTTTTTTAAATAACTGAATACGAAAAAGTAATTAGAATTTTTATTTTTCCTTCCCATAAAAACTCTAATAAAGTATTTTCGAAATTTTTTATGGAAAGTTATTACTTTCTTTTTAATCAGTTCGTACCTTAAATGTCAAAAGGTTGATTACATATGTATTTAATCAAACTATTTTGACCTTTTCGGAAAGATATTTTAAAAGAGAATATTGATTTCTTAATGACTTTGCTTCGTTAGCTATGGAATATAAAATTAATGAATCTCAATAAGTAGTGTATAGTATAGTAATATTCAATCATAGTCACATACGAATAAATTTTTTTTTTGTAGAATTTGCTTTAATTGTTTTACCAACGTTTCAAATTTTTTTATCAGAAAAGAAAGAAAACTGTTTTCTACTGAAAAATAAATAAATAAATAAAACACTACATTTATGGCTAAGTTTTCACGTATGATTGAATTTTCATGCTCGAACTTGCAATCCTATAATGGATTGCGGAATAGTTTTTAATTTAATTAATTGGTGCAGACGGTAACTTATTGGTTTTTAATCTCTTAATGTAAATTTTAGTCCCTTAATGTTGATTTTAGTCCCTTAATGTTAATTTTTGTCCCTTAATGTTGATTTTAGTCCCTTAAGGTTGATTTTAGTCCCTTAATGTTAATTTTTGTCCCTTAATGTTGATTTTAGTCCCTTAAGGTTGATTTTTGTCCCTTAATGTTGATTTTAGTCCCTTAATATTAATTTTAGTCCCTTAATGTTGATTTTAGTCCCTTAATGTTAATTTTTGTCCCTTAATGTTGATTTTAGTCCCTTAATATAGATTTTAGTCCCTCAATGTTATTTTTAATGTTTCCCTTANGATTTTAGTCCCTTAATGTTGATTTTAGTCCCTTAATGTTAATTTTTGTCCCTTAATGTTGATTTTAGTCCCTTGAGGTTGATTTTAGTCCCTTATTGTTGATTTTAGTCCCTTAATGTTGATTTCAGTCCCTTAATATTAATTTTTGTCCCTTAATGTTGATTTTAGTCCCTTAATGTTAATTTTTGTCCCTTAATGTTGATATTTATCCCTTAATGTAGATTTTAGTCCCTCAATGTTATTTTTAATGTTTCCCTTAATGCATTTTGCTATACCTCTAAAACTAGTTACAGGAAATTAAAGCTTTTTGCTCATAAAAAATTCATTTATCCAAAAAAAAAAAAAAATTTTTTTATAATTATTTATTACAAGTCGCCTTTAGTGACCAGCTTGGCCACCTTCTAAAAATTATCTTGTACAACACATAAGTTTTAATGTCAATCCCTTCCTTAATATATTTATCGAGCCATAACTCTTGTTCAAAATGTAGAGAAAACATAGAAAGAAATATAATAAAGATTTATAAAAAAAGAAGAAGAAAAATAAATAAAAATAATAATTGTTAAATTTCTTTTTATTATCATTTAAAAAAATTGAAAAGCAGAAAACAAAATAAGGAAAAGATATACTCTCGTCATCATGAAAAAGGTTTCGTGGAAAACCTTTCATTTGGAACTAACTCGCATTTGCATTACATGGGGAGAAAAACCACGAAAACCCCCCACGGATAGCCTGATGGCAAGGGGACTCAAATCCATGATCCGTCTACCATTGAGAATATTCTATGTCAGCACTGTGGTCAGTGCGAGCCGGGTGCGGAATTCATATCAACCAGCCATCATTTGGATTCGAATCCGGGTCATCTCATTGGGAGGCGAGCATTCTATTCCCTGAGCTACATCTCACTATCATAAGTCAATCAAAAAATCTCCACGGTTATAATAGTTGTAGCAATAGGATCTTCTTATTTTGAGACACCACATTAATGTTTATGAATCTGAAAATTTATATTTCCTATTCCTTTAAGAAATCGTACGTATTTTCTTGAAATAACAATGTTTAAAAAGCTGGTCACACAAGAACAGTTTAGTGGAAGAAGCAAGTAAGTGGCATTTTTAGGATGTAAATCAATCAATAAGTAATATTCTAAAGAATACTTAGCAATCGAGGATATTTATAAATCAACATTGAGTGGCGGTATCAATATGGATATGTTTAATTGACAGAATTGTTTTTGTTTATATGAATGGCATATTCAAATAACGCGATCTGACCAATGTTTAAACTATTACTGCTTAAGTTCCCACTTAGGGTATTCTCCACGATGCTTAGCTTGGTTTTCGGGTCATTTTTCTGTAAAAAAATTAGTTTTGATATTTTTTTGTTTTGGTACTTAGGTCGTTTTCTATTTCTAGTCCTCAGTTATTTCACTGTAAATATTACTTTTATATTCGCAGTACTACAAATGATGTTATACTTGAAGGGAAAGAGTTCTTTGAAATTTGGGCTAGGGGGAATGGGTAAAGCGAAGGATAACTACATACATTTTGTTTAAAATGAAAATACTAAAAAGCAGCAGATTAACCTTTTTTTCCTTTTATTTGTTTGTCTTTCATTAAAATAAGTATACAATCAATCATTATTATTGTTAACCTAAAAATATCATTAAAGCACATAGCCAAAGCTTAAAAACAAAATTAGAAGTTTTGGACAATAATGTAGTGCTTTCTTTCTGAGTATATGTTTATGTAATATAGTGTGGCAAGAGAAAGAAGGAATAGGAGGTATGGTGAAGTGGGAAAATGATTGACAAAGTGGAGGGGACAATTTAGAAACAAAATTAATTTCAGATTTGAAATCTTCACATCCGAATCACAATTCTAATTTTACAGAAGGGAATAAAACTGAATCGATAAGTATCAGCTTGAGAGCTTTTTTTTACTACACAAAATATACTATACCAAGTAGTTATAAATGAATATTTTATAACCTAGCTATGTATCCACGTCAGCTGAACTTAATATTGCAAAAATCTCAGTTTTTAATATAAAGGTGAAATGACTGACTTTCGGATTCATCGATTCAATTAGTTTTTCATAATTTTAGATCCATTTAAAAGTAAATATGCTAAATATTATGATAGTCAGTACTAGCTTGTTTCTGCATGATAAATTCTAAAAATAAAATAAATACGCCTCCACATTTTTTATTATTATAAAAGGAATGTTTCTTAAATGAGGACATTGGCGTCTTAAGCCAACACTTCTTTATGGAACCATTTCTTTCAATGAGTTGGTTGTCACTTTTTCAGGGATGCTGGAATCACCTTTCTTCATGATGGGTCAAGCATTCTCGAAGAGGTTGTTGGATGCAGATATTTTTTCTCACAAGAGGAATTGGAGAATCTTCAGTCAACCCTGGGTGGTCAGAACTCTCTTCACTTTACTGTTCGTATTCTACTTAGGCGTCCCAGCCTGGTTCTATTTCTGTCCTTGGTTTAGAAGAACAGCTGTCTATCTGCACTTTGCTGACTGGCCATTCCAGGTATCGCTTTTATAACAATTACTTATGTATAGTGCGACTTTCAGAAGAACTCCTCCAGACGCCAGTTTCGCTTCGTGGCGGGTACTATGGTTACGAGGAAAAGTCACTTCGAACAGGAGTGAGGGGTGAATAGTATTGTCTTAATCTTGGCATAGGTCGGCGTGAGTAAACTAATCGAATCCTTCATTCTTCCATTGCACCCCCATTAGAAATGTGCTCTCGCTTGTTACCATAGCAGCAGACAGTCCCAGACTTTCAGTTTGGAGGAGTTCTCCTCAAAGCCGCACTATAAAACATAATACTGTAACTGTTTATGAATAGTGGCAGTCAGAAATATTTTTCTTAAAATCAAGCTGGAAACGAAATGCTTTCATTATAAGTTCTTTTTGTCCTCTATTTCCGATCTTTTTAAACCCCGCATTCTGTTCGTTTTTTAATTGATTTTTAAATCATAAGTCATTTTTTGGACATTCCGCTTTACAGTTAAGCGAATTTATTTGGGGTATAGAGTATCATACTTACCAATTTCTTTGTTCTTCGAAAAAGTTTTTTTTTCATTGGTAGTAAAATAACTATGGAAGCAATATTGTTGGCGAATACTTAATTCTTTTTTCGCCATCTTTTAAAACATTATAAGATAAGTATGAGGTGTTCTTCGTGTATGTTGAAACTATTTAAATGTAATGGTAGTTAAAAGTACATTTAATCAAATTTGTTAAAACAAGGAATCAAGCATGAATGCAAAAAAAGTTGCTACCACATTAAATATAAGAATAAAATCTTTCACAAAATCCGAAAGAGTTGTCAAGCTTGAATACTAAAATGAGTAATCAGACCTCAATATAACGAACTCATCAGAACTGATAACGTTAATCATTAAGTTGGTGTTATACATAATACTGTGAAATTTATTAACTTAGCTTATGGAACAGCCTAAAATTGTACACTTTTCATTCAGCGACTGAAATTACAGTGAGTTTTGAATGTTACTAGTTCATTTTACTTGGACACTCAGAAATCCTACTTTTTAAACACACTTTTTCCGAAATTGTCTCATAAAATAAAGAGCATCACAAAAGTTGACTCCATATCTTATCTCCGAACTTATCATAAACTTATTCAAAGATATCAAAATATTTGGAGAAAAAAATCCGTTAAAATTTTTTTTATTTTATCGGAAGAGTTCCAAAGAATTTTTCTTCTATTGTTGAAATAATACGTTAATCCGGGTTATTATTCGTTAAATGGGGTTTTTGCTTTTATTTTAATCGGAAAAATTTGTCAAATCGTGAAATTTGTTAATTAGAAGTTCTTTGAATCGGAGTGTAACTGTATATAATTTATGAGATTCATAATTAGCAGATTACTTTTCATCTCAAATTAAAAATGACTGCACCTGAAGATCATTTTTTTAGCACATTTTTTTAGCAAGCCTAAAATATTACTGAGAGGAGAAACTGGAAAATCGTTTTTAGTAGCTAAACTTATTTTACCGATCTGCAGATATCTTAGCAAAGGTAAAGTAATGACTTTCGATAATTCCAAATAATGTTCTTTAATTAACTGGAATTTTTTTTAAAAAAAAAAAGAATCCAAAGAAATAAGAAAAAAATTAATAAATAAATTCTTAGTTTCTGAAAACTCCTGTTGCTTGTTAATATATACAATAGTTATAGACTCTATAGGAATTTGTCCCATTTTAAATTTCCTAATTCCATTCATTTGAAATGCACGAAAAAATGTAATTGTTTTAACAAAATGTTTTTGCGTTGTTGCGCACATGATAGATTACACCGAATTTTTACAATAATAAGTCTCTGAGAGACGTGGTGGCTCAGGAATTTGAGTGCTCGCCTTCCAATGAGGTGAACCATGTACGAATCCCAGGGATGGCTGATCAATACCAATTTCGCCACCGGCTCACACTGACCACAGTGTTGACGTAAAATATCCTCAGCTGTAAACAGATCATGGGTTAGAGTCCCCTTGTTGTCAGGCTAACCATGGGAGGTCTTCATGTTTTTCTTCACCATGTAACGCAAACGCAGGTTAGTTCCATCAAAAAGTCTTCCACGAAGGCAAATGTATTCCAATACTTGAGCCTGGAATTCCCTTGTCTTCTGGATTGGGTTCAAAATTACAAGGCTACGAAGTTGGACGTTGGTAGTTGTAAACCCTAAATTGGCTCGGCTATTCAACGATGGTTATAAAAATAATAGTCTCTATCTGATTGTGTTAGAGCCGCCGACAAATTAGAATTTATGAAGATTGCGCTGCAGATTGACTTTGTAAATTATGCTACCGTGGTTAGGTTTAAAAGCGTGCCTTTAATAATAATAATAATTATAATAATAAAATAACAATGTAAGTATGTAATTGTCAATTCTTAATTTGCTTTTGTGGAATAAACAGAAAGGTAACAGATAAGATTTAAGTTGATTAAGCATATAATCATTGGTTGATTTTCCCCAGTGAAAATAATCAAATGAGTTTTATTTGATAACATTATACCCGAGAGAGATTTGGATTTCTGATTACGCCATTTGATAAATTTTTATCTTTATAGATATTAAGCAACTCTTTCTCAAATAATAAATTAATGAACATTTCTAATAGTTTTTAAAATCTAATAATCAACGTTAAAAGAACTTATAAAATTTTAGACTTAATAATCTTCAGAGAATCCTAGTATTAGACTTAAAATTATCTAAATTTTAAAAACATGTCTTTTTTTTCACGACCGATTAAGATTTCTGAACCCCAAATAGGGGGTACCAGCAATCAGGGAAATATGGTCCCAATAGTTTGGTCAGGAGAGCGCTCCAAAGTTTGAAACCCTAATAATGTTAATTTTACCCTTTTTGTGTATTTCACTTAATCTCGAGAACTTTTTAAGAAAATTGAAAATTTTTTACAGACAATTATAAAATTCGTTTATCCAAAGATTATTCCATGCAGAAAAAAATACTTTTAGTAAATATTTAAAAAATTTTTTAATGATTTTATTTAATAATGGTTGAAAAATTTTAAATCGCAATGTAGTTTTTTTTTTGCATAATTTTGAAGAACACAATTTTACATGGCAAAATACAAAATTTGAGCAATATCGGTTAAATAAGTCTCCTGAGAAATCGAACTTTATATGACTTCTTTGATCAAAACGGTCATTAGATCAAAAGTCATTCAGGGTGGTCCTTTTTTTTTTGCTTACTATTATCGAAATCAACTTAGTCCAAGTCTTCGTATTCACTTTCAATATTAAACAGGAAAAAAAATTCTGTAAAAAGTTGCTAATTTTAATCTGTTTTAATAAAATTTTGAATTTTATTACTCACCATTTATTGAATCCAAAACTTATTTAGGATGGTCAGTTTTTTTTCTTCCTTTGGTTCGCTGTCCGCGGAGCAGACACACCACATCTTAATATAAGATAATGCCAGTTGTAATAATAGCATTTTACTAATACTTATTATTACAGATGGACAACTGCAATAATAGATGGACAACTGCAATAATAGATGGATAACTGCAATAATAGCAGTATATAGTAAATCAGCGTAAGAGAAAATGCAGACATTAAGTTCATGCTTATTGTTTAGCTGTAAGAAAGTTATAAATATTAAGGGTGGAATACTCGCGAGTTGAAGATCACCCATCTTCAAGAAAACGAAGATTGATTTTGCTTTAAACATAAATAATTTGAAGTCCTAATGGTAGTTACAATTGACTACTTAAAGATATTATAAATAAATAAAAATGAATTGAGTTTCTACATCTTTTTACATTTTTAGTCGCGTGGCATCTCTAATCAACAAGAATTTGTAAAAAAAAAAAAAAAAATTAATAATAATTTTTTTTCAAATTATAATTAACATTTGACTTTTCCTAAGAATACTAAGTGCTAAGGCATGTGTAATTTTATAATAATATTGAAAGGTAATTTAAAATGCAAAAAAATTCGAAGCTGAAAAGACATGAGTTGAAGAAAGCGTTTTTGCAACAAAGGAACCTGAAAAAATGCGTAGTAGAATGGGAATGACGTGAAGAACGTGTCAAAGATGACCTTTAAGGAAAAATTTCCTTTCAATATCACATTACAATGAAGGACAAAAAAAATTAAAAAATGGAAGTTTATATCTGACTTTTTTCAGCATTACACATACAGCAACAAAAAATTATATTTGTGAAAAATAATTATTACTACTTTTTTATTTAAAATATATAATTCAATCAAATTATTTTTTTTAGTTATAGCACTGAGTGCCACGAATGACCAAAAATCTAATAGAAACTCAATTCATTCTTCTTTATTTATAATATCTTTAATTACTTAATCGTAACTACCACTATGACTTATATATCAAATTATTCATATTTTAGACTTGCGGCGACTGAACTTAACTTAATCGTAACCGCGACAGTTACGATCAGTAACTATCTCTGTCATTTTCACACGAAGAAAAAGCATAACCGCCATTGTAGACGCACTGCTCTTATTTTATATTTCTCCTTTTGTACTTTATAATTAAATATTAAAATAACTACTAATTAAAATGTAAGCTCCGTCTATTCATCTCCTGGACACAACCAACCACCACAGACTAAAACATACTTTGTGTCTTCTTATAATAACTAAGCTTCAAAAAAAAACATGCTAGTATAAGGCTAATTTTAATCTTTTTTTAATAAATTTATGATTAGTCGCTCGTGTCAACCCCGTTAATCTATATTTGTATTTTAATCATTGTTATTTTTAACCTGATATTATTACCTGATTAAAAAACTTCACTTGACTCAAGAATAAATAAATAGCAAATAACAGTCGACATGTTTCAAGAGCTCAAAAACAGGCTCCTATTATTAAAAATTACCAAAAGTGAATAACTTCTTGTCTCATTCACGTCTGGCAATTCTTGAAAATGGGCGTCTATTTTTGAAGCGCTTGAAACATGTTGACTATTATTTGCTATTTATTTATTTTTGAAACGAATAAAGTTTTTAATCTGATTATATCTTAACTCTTCAGTTTTTTTGGGGGGATTATTCATTTAATTCTATTTTTAATTGGCAGGGGTATAAAGCTATAAATCACAAGACAATGTTTTTTCCTATCCACTGTTTTATCATAGCTAGCTGTCAACTTATGCCCTTTTTGTAAAGGTACTACAAACCTTACGCTTTACTATTTGCTTGTTAGCTTGATAAATTTTACTTTAAAATGGTTTTGATTTCCATGACATCTAAATAGTTCATAGATTTAGGAAAAACATTTAATAATTTTGTGATTATATTATGCTTTGGCAAATTGTTTTTTAATATTTTTTTTTATAAAATTTTGTATAATAATTTACTGCACTTTAATATTGATTGATGTATTTGAAAAAAATTTTTTTTATCTTACCCCACTCTCTACTACCGTTGCGTTTACGTAACATTTTGTAGTAATGTAAAAAGCATCTTTTTTCGAAAAAAGTGATTAGGAATTAGCGCTAAGAAGACTAAGTAGATAATACATAACGTCACTGCCCACTTACTTTAAAAAAAATATTTCAAATGCATAAATTCTGATTAACTTACAACTACTTATAATATTATTGTATTAACCCAAAAGTCTTTGTTACACAGAAGTAAAGTTAAAAAATGAAATAATGGAGTTACTATAATGGAGCTTTGCCATTATTTATTAGTGGAGATATCATTTATTAGCTATTATTTATTAATGGAGCTATTATTTTAAAATGTTTTTGATTTCTATGACATCTAAATATTTTATAGATTTATGGAAAACATTTGATAATTTTGCGATTATATTGTTTTTGACAAATTATTTTTTTAATAGTTTTACTGACCTTAATATTGATTGATCAGTATTTGAAAATTTTTTTAGCTTACCCCACTCTCTACTACCGTTATGTTTACTCAACACTTTGTAGTAATGTAAAGAATATTTTTTTAAAAAAAAATGTGGTAAGGAGTTAGCGCTGAAAATGAGTTGATAATATCCAATGTGACTGCAACTTATTTATAAAAAAAATATTCGAAATGCATTAATTCTGATTAGCATACAACTACTTATATTATTGATGTATTTTGGTTTACTCGATTGCCTTTGCTTCACAGAAATAAATTTGAAAAATAAAGTACTGAACAACATACTGAAATTTCAGTGGAATTAATTCATAGCATCTTAAAATAGATTCTCTAATTAACGATGTTGAAATCGTCCTTTCACAAAAAGCCATAAAAAATCAAAATTTCAAACAAAAAATTATTCTCTGATCTAATATTTGGAAATATACTCATTAAAGATTTTCAAAAATTCCCTGGAGTCCTTATGGCGCCCTTTGTTAAACCGATTAGAGATGGTTAAATTATCCTTTTTAGATGAAATTCAATTGCGATAAAGAAAATCTTACAGCTAGCTCCCATTCAGAATCTCTAAATAAAACGCGGGACAATCCAAATTCGCATGGCTTTTATATGATGCAACTGCTAGTAAACATACTGTCCTAATGGCATATATATATATAGTACTGGTCAAAAGTTCAAACTCACTATTGAATTTTTAAAAATGAATAAGCAGCAAAGTTTTTAAACTGAAAATCACAACAAATTAACTTTATTTTGACATAGGATATTTATAGATACACTTATGCGATAAGTTATGCTATAATTTTATCCATAACTTATGATTTTCGTCTAATCTTGGATTATTTGATATATACTCCTTTAGCCTTAATCACAGCAGTGAATATTTTTGACATTCTTTCTATTAGCTTTTGCAATGTTGTAGTTGAGATCTGATTCCAACAACTAAGTAAAGATTCCCAAAATTTGGTTTGATTGGTACATCACATTTTTCTAACAATTCATAATTTAGTTCATCCCACAATAGCTCAATAGGATTAATATCGGATTATTGAGGGGACCAATCCTTGTATTTCAGAACTTTTTTCTTTCTGTACTTTTCTTTTGATGCAATGTAGTTAGTTTCTACACAGTTTCGATGAATGCTACAAATCGTTATCTTGCTGAAAAACAAATACTTGACCAACGATTCTCTGTCTACGTGGAAAAGAGTAACGCTGCAATAGTCTGTGATAATATTTTTTTAAATCTATAATTCCCTCTATTCTTACAAGATCCCCAACTTTGTCACCGGTAAAACATCCCCTAACTGTGACTGAACCCAGGGCCTGATTACCGAAAAGGCACAGGAAGCAAGTGCTTCCCCTTTTAAATTCTAGGGGGGCCCCCAAATGACTGAAATTAAGGGCCCAATTTCTTATTTTTTGTAGCCAAAAAAAAATATTAATAATAAAAGAAATAAGAAAAAAAAATGACTCCAACAAAAACTCTCGAAAAGAAAAAAAATGGGATGCTTAATAAATGGGATGCTTTGTGTTGTTTTGCCGCTAGTAAAAAAATTGGCATAAAAAAAGAGACTCATCTTGCAAAGAACCTTTCGTATAACAACAAGTAATTTTATAATTTAATTTAGTGAAATATTTAAATTTTGTCAACATATGTGCTAGCTACTCCCTCATGTTTTTGTTACTATATATAGTTGGCTACTATACATGTTGGACCCTACTTTACGTGCTTTATAAAGCACATAAAGAAGGGTCCAACATGATTGCATAGGATCTCCTTTCTAAGGTTCTAATAGTTTTCACATGGTTCTTCCCTCTTTAAAATGTATTGTTTATGGGCGAAAAATATCAAAAGTTTCTTTTGCTCAAGTTAGGGGGGCCCCAAAATCCTATTATGCTTCCCCTATTTTCAGAGGTTAATCGGGCCCTGCATACAGCCCGAGATTGTTATTGTTTACATTTCTACTGAAAACACCATCCATAGTTTTGGTTGTTTTAAAGCGTAAATGCAATTATCAAANGGATTATTTTACAACTTTCAAATTAATTAGTACATGCGCTTTTTCATACTTAGCAATAAAATTTAAAACTTTCAAAGGCTTCAGGGACCGAAAATTAATTACGAAAGAAACAAGTATTTTTTAAACAACCCATGTCAAAAAATCAAGCAATAAACTTGTAACTTATAACAATTACTTTGGCTGTTATTTACAATAAATGCATAAAATTTCATAAACCAAACTTAAATATTTCTGCTGATATGGGCATTTTTTTGAAAAACTAATTTTTTTCTTTGTTTAATTTTTTTTTCTTTTTGCTACAACTTAAAAAATATTTAATAAAACTAAACAAAATTTTCGAAGCAATTAAAAAATAATTATGAAATAATTATGTTATGAAATTTTTTTAAAAAATTCGTTAAAAATTAGGCAAGATATAATTATTCAAAGTAGTTTTTTTTTACACTGCTCTCAAGTGAGAAAAATGTGAAAAATATTTTTAATAATTTTGTAGTGAATCGTATTTGGCAACTAATGAATAAGTCTGCCTTGAACATCGTAATTTAAAGAGTTTGAAGCTATTTTAAGTAGATTTTGTACTTTTTGAAAAAAAGCTCAAAACAATCAGGGGTTTTCCACTAATTTTATTACATAGTAATATAATATATATATATATATATATAAACATACAAGGATAAAAACTTTGGCTGATAGTAAATCAAGCTTTAATTTATGACACGTAATGTTTCTTATGTGTCAAAATGAAACCTTGCAGTTTTTTTCACGGTAATCTAAGATATTAAATAGTTTTTTAAAACATGTTATGTATTTCTTAATTTTTATACTCAATATTTGCTTGAAATACTTGGTCTAAAACAGATTGATGTTTAATGCCATTAAAAAAATTCCAGGCCCTGTCTGACCCTGAAAAATATGGTTTAAGCAACACAAAACACTTCTTCGTAGAAACTTCAACTGGAGAACTCCTTGGCGTGTGGCACATACTTCCGAATAGTGCGAACTTTACCCTCAACGTTCCTTCATCATTTGATAATGATGACCAACCTGTTATTCTATACCTTCATGGAAGTGCTGAGTCAAGATCTGCTCCATACAGGAGAAGCATGTACGGTGTATTGACGAGAAATCCGCTGTGTGCCCATGTTGTAACTTTTGATTACAGGTAAATTACAGGTTTAATACAATTACAGCATTCTTTTTCAAAAATTCTTTAACCAGGTTCCATGATCCAAAATCATTACTTTTCAGAAAAATGTGAATCCTTTGCATTCCGAGTACTTCAAAATACTACTTGAATCACTAAAATACTACAAATACTAAAATACTAAAATACTCAAAATACTACTTGAAGCACTAAATCATACTAATCAGCACTAACATTAGAACATAGCTCAAATCTCAGTGCGCTGCAGCGATTCGTCGGATTTTCAGACACATACTGGGAGAATGTGTGAAGTGGGAGTCGAATTCTTGAAGAATTGGGAAAAATTGGCAGAATTGGGAAATGTTTTTCCTCAATTCTGCCAAGCACCAAATGGGTGCCAAGCACCAAATAGTAAAGTCATGAGTGGGAAACCAGTCCGTTGAACATGTTATGAAATCGATAGGAAATTAAACGTAATTCAGATTAAACTAGATTAGAATATAATAATATTTACAGGGATCAGAATAATATTAATATTTCCGCAGGTGCAATAAAAATAGAAAATAACAGAGAAAATATATGCAACTATTTACATATTCGACAAAAATCTTGCAACGACAAAGAAAAGATTATATAAGCGATTATTGTTCAAATAATGTGGCTACTAATTATTAAGGTATAAAAAAATTTAACTTGAGTGTGGTGATTGTTGATGGCACCTCAGTGGCGATATCAGTGTGGTAAGGGTTAAGTAATTAAATGTACTAATTCTCGTTTTCTAAATTATATTTTAAATGTTCCTGATCATCACAAAAACTCAATAATTCGAAAACATAAACAGAAATTTGACATGTATATACTTGCTAATTTGTTCCGATTTAGGATTGATTTCGATTCGATTTGAATATTAGGAGTCATAGTAAATGTTATCATTTAACAATTTGTTATTACACATTGGCAAAATGGGTCTTGCTTTGGATTTGATGGCGTCCACCCACTTTTCAACTGTGTTCAAGAGTAATAGTAGAGAGTGAGCATGCGTCGTCATTGCAAGTGCTGCTATGGCGATCGCTGCTGTTTTTCGTTTTATTTTCACTAGCAGGCATTTTTAATGTATTTACATAATAATATTTTAAAGTATTTTAATTAATAACGTACAATTACTGGTTTGAAGGTAATTTTAATATAAATATGAATTGTTAAGAAGGAAAAGTATTTTGTGAAGTCTTGAAACACGTACATAGGCAGGATATGAAAATCAATCTGACGACATACATCAATTGAGACAGTTTTTGCAACTCATGATTTGAAATGTTGTGGAGTTTAACGGAGTCCATCCAGAAAGAAAAAGCATTTGACCAATGGGTAACCAGAGATCGTAATCACAACTTTTCTGTTGATTCTGTATAGTTTTTTTTAAAAATATTTTATTTTACTTTGATCACCACTACAAACAACTACAGCATGTAGATATAAATCTATTAATTGTGCAAGAAACTTTTAAAAAGCAGGTAGAATCAAATAAATTAAGTTTACCTTAAATTGTTGTTTTGGCTGATCACTGGAAATTCTGAAAATCTAAACTTTCCTCATTAGCTACAAAAGTGGTCAATGTAGGGTAAATGAAAATTTTTTTTCTGTCACCTACCATCTTAGCTTTTAAAAAAATATCTGGATTTTGACTTCAGATTAAGATATGCATTGGAGAGCTATCGAGTTCGTGTCTAGTAACACAACCTTCCACTTTACTGACCTCTGAGATTTATCTTGGTATGGACTCTACAAGACATTGCAAAGGGAAGTGCTCTTGAATAATCTGTTAAACAATTAACCAAGATTTGATAGAAGATACTCGAACGTCTCTCTCAGCTGCATCCTTGATTGATGTACAGATCATAAGGAATGTTCATCCAACCATTGGGTACAATTTGGGACCAATGACACGGTACATTGTCTTGTTGACAGACAGTTTCTGTAGTAGGCTCTAGAAAACAAACATAAAGAAATAGATGGTTGTCATGGATAACACAGTAATTTTGACTTGGAGAGCCGACTTCGCACGTATTAAGGATCTTATTTTAGTCCATGTGAGCAGTCTCTGACAAGAATGCCTCTTCCACCAGCTTGAGGAGTCCTCTGGTGACAGGAAGGATGCCTCGCTTCATGCGATTTACGCCGCATGTCTCAAAGCGAATCTGAAAAAAATAATCCCAAGAAACTGAAGCGGTAACACATTACTTCATAACGGATATATCTATCCGTTATCAAGAGTACGAGATATTATTAATTTCTGCATATTGTTGGAATCTTCGGCATAAATTCAATTTCAACAATGCCAAAATTATTTCAACCTCAGTCACATCAGTCTATCTTGATAGCCTGTAATCTTGCTTTATTCGTATGAACACTTATTCTTTGGTTAACGAGATTATTTCTTCCCAACCTCTCCATAGCGTGTGGAAATACATTTTACTTTGATTTGCTCTTCTCAGTCATTGTGGTTTTTCTTGTTCTGTTTCTCATCTTTTTCTCGGCTACTGTGGTTTTCCCAGTTTTGTTTCTCACCTTTATTTTTCCCTTTTTTGTTGGCAACTTTTCGTTTTATATTACAAATCACTTACGTTTCCTCTCTTTGTCGTCTGGTAAGTCTTGATAATGGGTGGGTGTCTGTTTGTGAAATACGTCGACTGTTATTTCCTGCTTATATATTTTTAAAGCGAATGAAGTTTTTAATAAGGCAACATTTTATCATATTTCGATAATTCACTAGCAGTGATCTCATGCCCGTAGTAATTGCTGTGCCTTGTTTTGCGCAGTCAGCAGACCGACTCTCCTACTCCAGTACCCCGGAGATGAATTTGTTTGGTATACACACGCTGATGTCCACGGTAGTTGACCTTGGCAGGGCTGGCAATCGCCGTACGCATGGTTCACTGTTGACAAATGTGTGTGAAAATTCGAGTGTCTGCATTACTTACAAAATGGAGTAACCCGTTCGTCGAACTCTCATCACTTGACCACGATTAAATATGCTTAGATTACCCATTTTGTTTTTCACTATTACTGCCTACGTGAGTAATATTACTTATCTTGTCAAACTGCTTCATTTGTAAGCAACGTCCAGGCTTGCGTTAAGCTTTAAAATTGCATAAACCATCCCTCAATTGTACCTCAGAGTAAAAATTTATTTTATGTTGTTAATACCTTGGGATAGACAACGGTATCTTTTCCCTACAAAACAAATTATAATAAAAGCTTAGCCTTACAACTTTTTTTGTTAAAAAAAAGAAAGAAAAAAAATACCCTTTAAAAAAGACAACAGACGTTAATAAATTTATCTCATCTCAAAAAATAATGCCTCTGGTTGGCTTACCAGCGTTCTGGAAAAACGTTAAAGCTGCTGAAAATCTTTTACCTTGTCAGTTAAGAAAAAAGTTCTATTCTGAGCATTTTGAATTGTTAACGTAAGGCGGCGAGTTTTCAAGCATTCTTTTAGATACATAACTACCTTTATCTTTCCTAGGACACTATATGATTCTCCGCGGTTTGTTACTTTTAATATTTCTTCTTCATTTTGCAATATGTTTTATTTTCCAGGGGATTCGGCGACTCCACTTACATTTCTCCCACGGCCTCAACACTTCAAGAAGATGCCATGGCAATGTTTCTCTGGTTGCAAAAGTATGTGGATGCATCTAGAATCATCATTTGGGGTCACTCCATGGGAACAGGCATCGCAGTCAAACTTGGTGAAGCCTTGTCAAAAAGTAATCAAAGCAATCCTTTCGCTATTGTTTTAGAAGCACCTTTTACAAGCATTGCCGATGCCACACGAACGTTTCCTCTATCCTATTTTCACAGACGTCTACCCTTGTTTGAAACATTTTGTGCTCAACAAACCCGTCACCCAGACACGAATCTGAACAGTGACGAAAGAATTGGAGCTGTCACTGCACCAATACTCATTTTACATGCCGCTGATGACAGTATGGTATGGTCAGAGCAAGGAAAAACGCTATGGAAACGGGCAATAAGAGATCGCCCGTCTAACTTGCATAGACCTGTTTTTGTAGAACTGGACGGTAAACACGGTTGTGGACATAGAAATATCCATAAAGCGCCGAATTTGTCTTCCGAAGTGTTTAAGTTCTTAGAAAGTGTCAAATTATACAACATTGCTCAAAATAGTTGCCAAAGAATTTTAAAATGTGATATAAATGAAGACTACCGGTGAAATTTAGAGCTTATTTTGCATAAATTAAACAATGTGCTTAATGAGCAATAGTTTTGTAGATTGCCGAATGATCTTGGAATCAGAAGGCAAGTCGAGATGTTTCCATTTATCCTCACACTAAACTACGTCTGTAATGAAGGCACACAACACTAAACAGGGCTTTGTCCAAAAAGTAGAGTCAAATAAGAAATATTTACTTCACTAAATTAGTATAAGCCATTAAAAAATTTCCTAAGAGGCCACTCAGCTACGATGCATCACTTTCAGCGAGATTTCCAGATGTTGAAGGCGTTATAGTAGGCCTTTCATGAAATGTCTTGGAACAAGGACTTTTTACGTTGTCAACTATCTAGAAATGATGTTCTTTCATGTGAGCTTAGAAGACAGAAAACAATGATCAGCCTGAGAAAGTCATATAAGCAATGCAGATCGGCGGAAGAACTGTTATTCCCCATTTACACGAGACCTGAAATCAGGTGCGTGACGTCACAACAGGAACGAAAATCTGATTTTTCTCCTACGATTTTTTTTACCCAACTTTCAGGGAAACTTTGTCCGGTAAAGACAACTCCAAGTCAGGTCGGAAATCGGGGGCATGATGATTGGCTTGTTGTGCCACATGATAATTTTTCGCCTTCAGGAATGAGGTAAATTATACAAGCTTTTTTTCAGGCTAGTAACTTTGGAAGATTGTTTTCAGTCCTCGTGTAAATGGGATATTAACTCCTTTAAGTCGTCCTGGAAGCTAGTCAGGAGGAAGTGGGTCTTTTCTTTACACACTTTCCTCAGCTGCAAATTTTCCTTGACAATAACGTGAACGGTACTCTTTGGAATTCTTAATGTCTGAGCCATTAAACTGATACTAAAACGATGGTCTAAAACAAATTGCTCAGATGCACGCATTATATTTTCATCCGTGGTGGTCTTCCAGCCAAGGTTTTATTACCGACCTCTTCACAACCTTAAAAAAATGCCTTGTATCACAGGCAGACTTGGCTTGACACCCATCATTAGAGGCTGTATTTATCATGGAAAATGTTTTCACAGCAGTCTTGCCGTGTTTCACCGAAAATTTGATATCAATCAAACACAACATTACAGCTTGAAATGAAGTTACAGCCATAATGAGATTCACGAAAATGTTTGTTCTTATTACTAATCCCAATTGATCCGAGCAAGTTGCGACGTGTATTCTCTTCTCAGTAAAATCAAAGGACTACTCTTGTATGTTTGATAAGGTGATACAGTGAGAGATTTTTGATACATAAGTTGCGCAAACCTGCATAGCCTATTTGGAAACCCGACACTGATACTACTAGCTATGACTATCTATCCGTTACAATGTGGTGTTCAGTTAGAAACTCATTTTGGCGTTTTTTCATTACTTTAGTCAAGGATCTATAATGGATAAAGATTTGTAAGCAGCAGTATTTTTATGATTCACCACATAATATTCAGTTAGTTAACCGAATGCTTGTAACAATATGACGAGTAGCCTTGTTTTGGAATTTTGAATTTTTAGTCATGAACGTTTGCGTCGCAATATTCAGAGAAACAATTTGTGAAGTGGTTTTTAATTTATTGTACTTAAGAAAAACCATTGTATATTATGTAGATAAATCTGAGCGAAATAAAAAAAAACAATCAAATAGTTGATTTATCGTAAATTAATGATGAGTCAATGCTTTTATCCTAAAATGCTATATCATAATATTTTTACTGAATATTTTACAAATCGTGATGCTAACTGGGAAATATCTAAATAAAAACCTGGTTGAACATTTTTGTATTTACACAAACAAGTTATATAAAAAAAAGAAAAAATCTTTGCTAAAACCCAAGTTAATGTAATAGCAAAAGAACAGGTAAAAAAAAAGCGTTTATTAGGGCTGTACCTTATTAAGTAAACTGGTAATAAAAGCATTTAATTTCTATTTTTTTTTTAAAGTTAAAGCCAATATCCGCGAATACCATGAGTTATTAAGAGTTATAATTTGTATTTACTTGTAAAACAATTTACAACATGTTATAATCAAAGTCTGGTTGCCTTAAATAACTCAGCTCTCACGTAAAAAAGAAAAATTGAAATAGTTCAGTTAGTTGTAATAGTTGAAACTAAAAGTTTTTTCGCTTTACCAGATCTGCTTTATTTAATTACAAATTTATATTAATAGTATTTAAAAGAAAAGAGTTTTCACTTTGCTTAAATTCTTGTATATGGGTGATTCTTTCTAAACATGACAATTCGGACCAAAAAATTTCTTCAAATTTAAAGTCTTCAAAATAATCTATAATTATTTTTGTATACTTCTTTAGTTACACTTATTAATATCTTACAGGCAGCAGTGTAGTTTATTGACATTTTCTCGAGAAAAAAAATAAAATAGAAATTCACCAAATCTTAAATGCCAGGAAAATGATATATTAGCATAGAAGTTTAGAAAAAAAGTCATTTTAAGTTTATAGTAAGTAACTCAACTTAGGCCTTTATGTTAGATGAACCATAAACTGCTTAAATTAATTCTTTTTATCCACTATAGGAAGATTCAAAAATTTTTTTGTTGCTGATATGTATAGAATAAAATTGTGTACAATAATCAATCATTAGATAAATAAATAACTTTGATTACACTCATACATAAACCTGATATTAGGTTAATATTTGCTTTCCCTCCTTACAGTATTAGCAGTTAAAAAAAAATTCTGGTAACACTTCAATGTTATGGCATTCACAAGCCAGGAAAATGACAGCCAGGATAATGACAAATTCGCCATTTTATAGCATATAACTTTACTTTAATTTAATATTTTGGCCTAAGACGTTTATATTATGCAGAAAACAACAGGATTTCTTAAAATAACTCAGATAAATGTAAGTAGTCTATGTTATTAAGGATTTCAAGAAGCCAGGAAAATGACAACACAAAAATCTACTCACCTTGAAAAATTTTTTGAAATAGATTTCGAACCAGAAAATTGGATCTTTATTCATGCAACAAGACATGTTCATATAGGAGGGCATCTAAACAATCTATTAACATAAGATATTGATTTCAGGCTCCATCTATTTTGGTTATAAACCACTAAATAAAAGTAGCCAGGAAAATGACAGGTTTTCTTGGGACAAACAAATTATTGACAGAAAAAATTATTTTAAACGAAGTTTTTGTAAATAATACCTTCTGCATATATTCTAGAAATGCTTACACCGGTTCAAATAAAAAAATTAGGTATTGAAAAATTTATGAGAAGTTTTGAAGCTATAGTTATTATTGGAAACATTGTTTGGGACATACCAGGAAAATGACATTTTGAAGTTCAATTAAATTTTTTAACTATACAAAACAGTCAATGCTAGTGCAAAGTCATTTTAAAACGCTAACAGTAATGCTATTTATTAACTTTTTTTAAAAAAAGTTCTTTTAGTATTAGATATTTATTTCGTCATATTTCGTGAGAATCACCCATATACCAGATTTCATATGCACTCAGTCATTCGATCTTGATTTGTCGTCACCAACTGATTGTCTAATTCAGATGCAGATAAAAAAATACCGCATACAAAAAAAATTACATTAAATTATAATTTCAATAAAGAGGAGAATACTAGAAGAGTAATTAGAATTACATTAAAGAGAAGAGTACATCTTACTTTATTCTATGTATGTTTCGATTAAAGTAATAAATCCGGTTATTAATACAAACCGGTCAATATTAATAATAGCCACTTCTTTTGGTCAAAGTGAGAAATATCGCAAATTATTCACTTTAACCGGTTATTATTAATAGTAATAACCGGTATAATAAACTTCATTGGTTACTATTAATTTATATTTTGGTTATATTATTAAACTTCATTGGTTATTATTAATAATAACCGGTTATTATTAATAAAAAACCGGTATAATAAACTTCATTGGTTATTATTAATAATAACCAATGAAGTTTGGTCAGTATGATTAAGTAAAATGCCAAGTAATTAAGTAATATTTAGATGCAACCAATAATTCATAATTTATTTAATCTTTTCGTTCACCTTAGGAATTGTTTCAAGTAAAATGCCAAAGAAATGGAATTTTTTTCTTAAGGAAAAGGTAATATTTCGAATAACAATAGATTGTTCAAATGTAAGAACAAGCATTTATAAAATATTGCATAAGTATTTTCCATCATATGCCTTTCAAACGGAGATAAAATAATTCTTTAATATGTTTCCTTAATAATCATTTTCAACAGCAGTTTTTTATCTCGAAGGAAACCATAATTGTGCTTATTTTATCCATTTCTGCATCTATAGCAAAAATAAATTCATTATTAAAATAGATATAAAACAAGGACGGCAAATTTAACTCTCGAAAATGAACCCTAATTTAAGATTATTAGTGATAAAACAAAGAAAACTCTTCTTTCCGCTAATCAAATATTTAAAAAATAGTTTTTATAGGTTATAATGTTCATAATTATCTGAAAAAATGTTATCTACGAAGTCGGAGTTCCGCCGAAAAAAGAATGATTGTTTAAGGTTCCGTAGCCGAAAAAAATTGGGAACCGCTGAATTAGACAACAGTAATATTACACGATTCATTTATAAATACATTTCTTCAAATTCCCATTCCATGTCTATGTTTTCAGTTTAAAGGTAGGCTTATAAAAGGAGAACAGCATTTATCAGCTATAAACAGCGTTACTTGTTGTCGTTCTAGCGTTAATCACGCCAACATATCGCAAAGATACATAAAATCTAAAATAAACGCAAGCATGCGCAGTTGCTTCAATTCTTACGTACGGGAGCTACAGTTAAAAGTACGCAATCTCCCTAATAATTCTTTTGAAAAAAGTCGCATCGCAGTAATTTCACTTGATGATTGGTCCCGCAGTGGACTGATCGTTAAGACACGGTTCCCAGCAGATCACCGAAGTCAAGCATCACTGGCTACGGTCAGTGTGCGGGTGGGTGACCACTTGTATCAGTCTGCGTAGGGACCGAGGGTGTGCGGTATTGGTCCTCGTTAAACTGTGCTACCGTAAAGTGCTCGACTTCGCGCGCAGGTCGTCGGGCTACCGAAGCGGGGGTGCCATCCCCTCCGCAGAGGATCAAAATTGTGAGGATTCGTGAGAAGCTCATCATCAGGGATGTTTCCCAGACCGTCGCCAATAGCCCATTGTGCAGCTCTAGTGCGACGTAAATTAACAACAACAATCATCACGTCGCACTAGAGCTGCACAATGGGCTATTGGCGACGGTCTGGGAAACATCCCGGAGGATGATCCGAAGACATGCCATCACAATTTTGATCCTCAGCAGAGTGGATGGCACCCCCGCTTCGGTAGCCCGACGACCTGCACGCGAATTCGAGCACTTTACGGTAGAACAGATTAACGAGGACCAATACCGCACACCATCAGTCCCTACGCACACTGATCCAAGTGGTCACCCACCCGCACACTGACCGCAGCCAGTGATGCTTGACTTCGGTGATCTGCTGAGAACCGTGTCTTAACGATCAGTTCACTGCGGGACCCATTTACAGATGTAATATTGTTGTTGTTGTTAATTTACGTCGCACTAGAGCTGCACAATGGGCTACAGATGTAATATATGCAAACATTATGTAGATAAAAACAGATTTCTCTTTTTTACAAAGGAAAAATAATTGAAATGAATTAATTTATAAAAAATATCTTTTATTTATAAAACGAATGTACTTAAAAAAAAGAAAATATAATTTAAAATAAGACACTGACTAAAAATTACGTCAGCATCTTTTTGGTGATATTGGATTTCCTCTCACCTAGTGAATTAAGTTATAAAGGGGCTTTGAAGATCGAACCCTTGTCCCTCCGGACCGATGCTCTAACCACTGGGCTACCACGGCCCTATAATATAATAAAAAAAAAGAAGAAAAAATGGCGATTGTTTTAGTCAGTGCACAATGTTAAATTACATAGAATTTAATGTTGACCAATTGAAAGAATGAGTTCACAGTGTAGAAAAAATTTTTTTAAAGCTCAGTTATCTAAAATACTGAAAAATAGGGCAAAGTTATGACATTTTGCTATTGGCCAGTTGTAGTATTTTTAACAATGGCCACATTTTTAAACATTGAAAATTTTAAAAGATAAAAAATTTTTTTATATTAACAACGAAAGGCGTTGCTTTTGAAATCCTTCTCAAAATACATTTCTAAAAATTTTATTAATCTAGCGTGAAGTAAAAAAATTTCTAGAATATTATATAATATTCATATATTTATTAAAAAAATATAATAAAACGTCAACGGGGTGCATTTTTGATGGAAAAAAAATGGTGATAGACAATTTTTAATTTTAGTCACTCTGTGACCGGTGATGATCGTCAATTTTGCCCTATATGAAGTGGTAGTAAAATTATTTTTATAAGACATACGGTGTGAGCCACCACCGCTCAAGTTATCTTCAAACTTCTGCTATTTTTTAAAAATTTTGCTGCACACTTCCATGTTTCTTCCTGATGGGTTTCTACTGAAATCAACAAGGTTATCAAAGACTTCAAAAGTTATTGCACGCAAGTCCTTTCTTCCTTTTTTAACATTAAATATGTGTATTTCCTTATAACAAACAATCTCGCTATAACGGCAATTCCACCAGCTGTAACGAAATGTCGTTATAACGGGATTTTTATGGATTAATTCTTAAAGAATATGCTATTCAAATGCTTCCTCTTTCCGTGTAAAGATGAAAGGTATCTGTTTTATCAGAGGAAAGGTGAAGAAACAGAAGATAATAAATATACATGTTTCAGGAAGTGATTCAGAATAATAACACGTGATATTGATCATGTTCTAGTTAAGTCACAGCTTCTCATCACGAAATGTTCAAGGAAAAGAAATTAATTTCATTTTTATAAAATAACTACAAAAAAGCGACTGTTTTAGTTAATACAAAATTACATAGAACTTAACCCTTTAACGCGGAATTTTTATTAAACATATTTTTCATACTTTTTTCTCTCATTATTTTGTATTAATTTAGGTCAATATAAATGAAAGATATTATATTTAGCATTATAATAATTTATGGTTCTGAAATACAATATCGTACCATTTCACTGCAAAATCCATTTTTACCGTAAAATATCGTAATTTTTACAGTAATATTTGCTTGAATAGAATGGTTCAGTAATTTTACAGTAATTATTAATGTAAAAATAATTACGGTATATCAGATTTTTGTTCTATAACATGTTCCGGTAAAAACCCTGAGTGCCGGTACTTTTTACTGCAATTTGATCTGGAATTTTTTATAGTGTACGTAAGAAATAGGAAAACTCTAAAAATATGATTTATAATGGCCAGCATACAAACAGCATTTTAACTCTTTGACGCAAATTTTTTATTAGTTTTTCATATTAGTATTAATTTTTCAAATTATCATTAATTTTTCATACTTCTTTCATTATAATGTATTAATTTAGGTCAAAATAAGGGGAAACTACTATGTTTAACATTTTAAAAACTTATGGTTATAAAATACAGCATAAAACACCAGCGTCTTTTATTGAGTTAAAGGAAAAATGTTCCAAACACGGCTCACTTCCAAAAACCATTGGTGTAACCAATAGCTAAATTTGAATATTTATCTGGAACAGAATAAATATCCTTTTTAAGCATGCATGCATTAAAAAAAAGAAGAATTTTTTTATTTTTTACTAATGAATACTAGTTTTTAATGTATATGATCTATTTGTATTGAAAAAAAAAATGATTAGTAAGATCCTTTGTAATCTCCGCCTTTTGAATATATACTTTTGGAATATACTTATCTACAACGAAGTGAAAAGAAGTATCAAAGCACTACTGAGCGAGGCTGAAAGCAATAAAATTTGTCAACTGCCTGATAAAATTTGAGAGATGTTTTTAATAATAGCTTTGCAACACCTGTTATAGTTTGTCTAAGGTAAGAACTCCCCTAGCCATTCGTCTGGACCCGTTGTGGTGACTACGGTAACGAGGTATAACTATTTTAAGTAGGGGTGTGATGTCATTGCTTAAGAGAGGTTTTGGCTCCGGTTGGCGAGAGAAAGGGAATCTTTTTTTTCTCGGTCTATTATGTTATCCCTAGAGTGAAAAGAATGAAATGCGTTATTCTTGTTTCCATAGCAGAAGGCGGTCTCAGACTTTGTGGCGGGGGGAGTTTTCAATGTAGACAAACTATACTTCCAGTAATCAAAGAGATTTAGATGTTTTCATTTGCGCTCCCCAAATCAGTCGTTTGTTTGATTTGATTAGAGTTTTTTCTACACTAATATAACAATCGCTGATCTACATTTTTTTTAAATGATTCGAAAAATATATATTAAGAACAGTCATTAGGGAATACCTTGTAAATATATTTAAACTACGACATGCCGTGACCACTCTTTGGTCATGGCACTGAACTGCCATTGTGATGAACTAGGGAACGATCCCCAGTGGCGCCTTGAAGCCCATTCAGCTTGAGATCAATGGTTACCAGCTTGTCTGAGAAGTAAAGGCGGCATGTGCACAATGCTGTTGGTCATTAAATTGTGGGCCTTAACCTTCAAGAACCCCATGGCCTACAATAGGCTGTTGCAGGAATGCATTAATTTTACAGACACATGTGAAAATCTCAAAAGACAATATCAAAAAGTGTTTATTTTTTGTTATTTTACCCAGTGAGAGGTTTGATGAGCATGTTACATTATTCATAATTATAATCTTTAACGAATAAAAAAGTAAAGCAATTTTCCTATGCTAATATTAATAGGGAAAACTAATATTTGTTTACGGTAAAATTATAATTTGGCAATTGTTGTGTAAACTAAAGTCAATTAGAATAATGAGTATTTATACCTGAACTTTATACACGGAAAATATAATTAAAATTTGTTAAAAAAGTCTGTTTCTGATATGGTGTACAAATTGATTAGTGCAACTTAAAAATTCCTTTTTCTTTCTTTTTTTAAAAAAAAAAATTTAATTAAAAATAATTTTTTTTTTTAAAAAAAATTTATTTCTCAAGAGTTATTATACCGATTTCGCTCAAATCTCGTATTTTGCCATGTAAAATTACATTCTTTAAATTGAAGTATAAAATCGTTTATTTTACAATTCAAAATGTTTTTTAACTATGATTAAATAAAATAAAAAGTAATTAATATTTACCTAAAGTTATTTTTTACATAGAATTATCTTTTTTAAACGAATTTTAAAATTGTGTGTTCATTTTTTCGAGTAATGGCGAAATACACAAAAAGTAATATTTAATTAGCATTAAAAGGTTCAAACTTTGGACCGCTCACCTGACCAAACTATTGGGACCATATTTCTTAGATTGCGACTATAACGCATATTTTGGGGAGCAGAAATTCGAATTCGTTGAAAAAAAAAGGAATGTTTATTCGAAGAAAGTACGTTTTAGTGCCTGATTTTGTAACTTAAAATATCGACTGCACCAATTGATAAGCATGTTTGAAGTCCCTTCCCTCGAACCATTAAGATAGAGTTCGAGAACGGGAAGATTCGATGATTAGATCAAAAGTTATTCAGGGTTGACCGTTTTTGTTGTGCGTACTATACATCATATAGCCCAAAATAAATACATGGTTTCCAAAACCTGAAAACAACTATAAATTTGAGACAAATTTTTAACAATAATGATCAGTCTATCTAGCAAAATATGACAAATCATAAAGACTTAAAAGCAAAGTAATAAAGAAACATTATTTATTAATACCATTTTGATAAACATTTTCTTATAAAATTTGCAAATCCTAACAGCTTAATATAACCTTTGAAAAGGCTTTAAAAAATTAATGCAACCTATAAATTAGGGTACAATGAGAACACATATTTTAATTATAGTTATAAGTAACACAAAAAAAAATTGTAATAACATAATAATACCATACCATAGCTACCAACTTTCTCAGTTATAGTATTTTTTTCTTCTAAATTCTTTTTCAGAATAATAGTAAAACTTTGGCAATATTAAAGGAAATTTAATTATTTTAAGTTATCCTTTACATTTAGAGATCTAACATGATAAAATTTAAATAAAAATACAACAAAAAGTAAAGTATTTCCGCAACAGCCCAAATGGGCCGTGGGGGGGGGGGGCAAAAGGTTAAGGCTTCCAAATTTCGTGGCCATGACAACAGCATGATTGTGACAATGTGGTCAGCATTGCACACAGGCCGACTTTACTTCCCAGACAAGCTAGTAACCATTAATCTGAAGCAGGGTGGGCTTCTAGCCGCTACTGGGGATCAAACCTAGGGCTTCAGAATGACAGTTCAGTGCGTAACCACTGAGCCGTCACGGTTCCAAATCAAATTATGTTTTCATTAAAAATAATAAAATGCAGATGTGTAACAACAATATTGAAAAATCAATTTCTGTTAGTTTAATTTTTTTAATTTTGTTAAGTTTTTGGTTTGTTTTTTTAATGGTGTTAAATGTGTTAAGATCAGTGGAGCCCAGTTTTCCCCACCACTTGAATACACCATTGCATGTTTATCAGTTCTTTTGTAAATTTGAATAATTTAAAGTCCAAAATTATTTTCAACCGTAGGGAAAACTCTTCCGTAAAAGTTGGCAGCTATGTTAATACAGCACATGACACAAACAGAAAAATAAGAAAAAATGGAATAATATAGAAAATATTCTGTATTTTTATCACAGAGACTGTTTAACAATTGATAGTAAGTTTTCATAAATGAAATTCTAAAAATAAATATAAAAATATAAAATATGCTAAATAATGATCTAAACTAAAGGAAATCAACTTGCATAAGTAACATGATGAGATAATTAATTTGCTTATTGTAATATAATTCATAATATCACTTGTGCTTTAATACCACACAACTTTCTTAGCACACTTAATTTTACACTGAGTTAAATATAAAGTTGGACAGAAAATTTCCCAAAATAAAAGCTATGATAGAAGAAATGTACTAGAATACAAAAATTATACTGAACTAAAAATAAGATTGATATTTTAAATGTTGGATGGCGAATTTCACTTAGAAAAATTATTTACGTGGGGAAACTTAAATTAATAATCAATTTGTAAAACACAGAAACTTGCCAGCTACCAGTTCTTCCCAGTAGACCTGTTTAAGGTCTTTATGAAAGTAAATTGTTCCAATGTAGTGCATGTAGGTAATTCTTTTTTTTTTTTTTTTTTNTTTTTTTTTTTTTTTTTTTATCAATACAGAAAAAAAAAATTGTTTTAGAATACAAAATTGGTTGTCTGTTCTGCACTAGGTGGAAGAAAAGCACACCTGTATAACAATAGAATAATCTATTTCTATAGCAACTGCTAATAACATACCTACAGTTATCTCATAGTGGGCAGACAGTAGTTGTACAAGGTAAATAATACATAGTTTAATGGTACATTGAATAATTAATACGATTTATATAACACAAGCTTTTTAACTAAAATTTTGAAAAATAATTTTTATACTTCATTCTTTGATTTTTTATAAAACTAAAATGTGTTTGAGTTAATTTCAAGTACAATTTAAAGTCTGCATGTATTAGAAAGTATCCATAGCTTCTTGCAATTAGGTTTTAGGAAAACATTCAACATTGTTACAGGCAGACCTAAATTAAAAGGTGGATGCTACATAAATAAAGTTAATTAATTTAAGTATCTAAGACTATACAACAAGCAGTATAAAAACATAAGACCGCACAGCAGCCTATAAACAAATAATATCATTTAACACTAGAATTATGGCAGAGGTTACTTAAACCATAATCAATAAATTTTTATTGCAGATCATTAAATATTTTCAAGTTTTTTTTTATGAAAGTGAAAACATACTTTTATCTTATTAACTTAGTCTTTTAAAAAAATGGCACTTACCTGTGCCACTTTTTTAATTTCTATGAGTCAAAATGATGCTTGCAATAATTCTAAATATTCATAATTATGTAGATTGTTCTACATTAACATAAACTTCTATTGTGTTCATTTATCATATGGAATAAAGTAGAAACATTTATCCCTACCCTATTAATTAATTAAAAATGAACATTAAAATGTTTGAAAATCTATGATTGTACATCCTTTAGAAAATTTTTAATTATATTTGGCAAATCAGGACTCTTATAAATATTTTTGTGCCCCAAATCTAATTCCCCATCAAAACCTACAAATTTAGTAAAATGAGATGGCAACTCTTTTCTTGTTGCCAAAGCACTTTCGTACAATATTTTACCATGATTATAAGGTACAAAACCATCATCCTCTGCATGCAAAATAAGAAGGGGACGAGAAATATGTGGTATCCGGCTCAGACTATCAAATCCTGTATCTTCATCACCAATAGGTTTAGCAATTAGGACATCAAAAAATGGCATGTATCGATGAAAAATGGAAAGAGGGTGATGTTTAGCAGCTTCAACGATCCTTGTGAAGGGAGCTTCTAGAATGAGGGCTGTTGGTTTGTTGGCTGATTTCGACACTTTCTCAAGGAAGGCTGTTCCAACTCCAGTCCCCAAAGAATGTCCCCACACAAAAATATTTGAAGATTTCACTCTTTTCAACAACCAATCATATACCACCGTTGTGTCCTCAACAAGGCCAGCTTCAGTTGGTGAAACATTGGTTGAATCGCCAAAGCCACGATAATCAAATGCCACAACATGAGCATCGATTTCTTCACTCAAAACCTTGTAGAGTGATACTCGATGACCGCCAGCTCGATCCCCGGCGTTACCATGAAGATATAAGAAAACCGGTCTTTGGTCACTAAACTCAATGTCTGGTGAGATTGTGTTTTCTTTACATCTAGAATGCATTGACGCTGGAGGCACATGCCAAACCCCTAGTTTGACCCCTTTGTCAGATGATATGTAGAAGTTTCTGGCACATTTTAGTCCACTTTCGCTTGGAACAGAAAGGTTGGTTGCCCTAGAAAGGCTTACATAATTAAGAAAAACAGCATGGCGTCTAACAGAGGGGCACAAATACACAGAGACAGGAATAACAATATAGAGAATGAAAAGAGCTAGAAAAATCACTTGTAGAAAAATTCTCTTTGACTTCGTAGAATTCTTTTTTTGTTTGGAATGAACAAAAGGCTCATCATTTTCATCACCTTTTTGGACAGAACGTTTACGCATCTTGATAAACTTATTGTTCCAAACTAAAAGAAAATTAAAACATGTTTTATTTACTCATTTAGCAAAAAAGAAAAAAAAAAGTAGATTAAGAAAAGAAAAAATAAATTATTAAGTTAATTAAACATACATATTTCAGATACAAATTAATTTATGGTTTAAGTTAAGGAAGTGTGTGAGATAGAAAAAATCTTGAGGTGATTTAAGAAACTCATTTTAAAAACTATTAAATTGATTTCCATATTTTTCAATTCTCTCCTTGCATACATATTTATCATGGGAATCGAGGGGAGGTGTATGCTCTTACAAATTACATTTTAGAAATCTTAGAATATTTCTAGATTTTTTAAAATATTAGCATAATATAATATATACCATAATAAATAAATACAAAAAACACGAAGAAAATTAAGAAAAACAACAAGTTTTATTTATTGCGCATAAGCTGCAAGTAGATAGAACTCATAAAATAAGGTCAAAATGTAGATAAAACAAGGGAAAAATTACAGAATAATGAAAAAAGGGAAAAAAAAGAATAATAATAATAAAAATAACAAAAAACCAAAAAAAAAAAAAAATTAAAAAAAAAAAAGTACAAAATTTATTTTTTTTAAAAATTCAGAAAGATAAAAATTTTATTTTCCGGATTAAAAAAAAAAATTTTTTTTTGCCTTTTTTTTGGTTTTTGCTATTTTTAATTTTATTATTATTTTTCTTTTTTCATTTTTCTGCAATTTTTTCTTTGTTTTACCTACATTTTAAACTTATATATATATATATAGACTGTATTAAATAGTACTACAGAGTTTGTATTGTAAAATAATAAGAGTACAAATAGAGTTCAAGAACAACTTATCATCATATATCAGTAAATAGAGGTTACAATGCAACTAATAGTTGTGTACAATATTCAAGTCACCACTCAATGTTCAAAAATATTGACAGTGCATGCTCATCAATTATTTTAAAATTATAATAATTTATATGATTATAACACAATTTATGATTTATAAATCATAGATTGTGTACTTTTAAAAATATAATTAAATCTATTTATTTTGCAAATAACATTCTTTAACTCAGCTAACTTGGTGTTACCCTTCATCTCAGACACCATTTGCAAATCTACTAAAGTTATTTAAACATTATCAATTCAAAACACATTAAAAAGTTTATTTCCCTAATTAAGCAATATCAGGAATGGGCAAACTTATTTTGATAGTGGGCCACAAAAACTACAAAATTGCCATGTTTGGACTAACATGAGTAAGGCAAAGCTTTTATGGTAGAAATGCATCAACATCCAAAATGGAAGTAACAAGTTTGTAGTAGCATTAAAAATCTGTAAGAAATTTCATTCTACTACATGTACTGAGCTCAGCCAAAATGGTTACAATTAAGTTTATGTTTGCACTAAGAAAATAAAATGAATAAAAGAGTAAGATGAACAGAGGTAAAAAAAATTAATTAAAATTTTTGAAAATTTTTCATTAAACAGTTTTATTTTTTACATATTTTCTATTAACATTTAAAATAGTTCAGGAACTAATTCATAAACATTGAGCGCCAATTTTGTGCATGCTTGAGCAACGTAGATACCTAAAAATACAACTCTTTAAAAATTGCTGAAAGACATAAATGTTTCCAACTGACAAAACTTAATTGGAGTTTCAACTAGATATTTTGATAATTTAAATTTTTTATATATATAATAAAGCACACTGACTCAAAGAAAAAAAAAACTGATACCAGAAAATTAGGAAATTTTTAATACTTATTCAATAAATATAAACTTTGAAATAAGATAGTTATGCAAGGTATCATAAAAAATACTACAGGTATTGAAATTTAATATATTTTGTAAATTAAACTTAAGATATAATTATGTTTTTTATACAGTTATTTACAAATAATTTGCTAAATAAGTATTATTCAAATAAAATAGCGCAGATGTTGATACAAAAAAAAATTTCTGTAAAAAAATAAGTAATGATAATTCCCCTATGTTTACATTTTTGTTAAAAAATATCTGAGCAAATAAATAACAATTGGTTTTTTTTAGTGAGGAAACACAAAAATGTTGAACATTTTTCATTACACATAGTAATTAAAAAGAAAAACTCGAAAATGTAATGAATTGTTTTTTCTCTCCAAATTATTTTGAAAAATTTCATTATTTTCGAAAAACAGATTCATTATTGANCGTACGTATGATAATCATCCCCTAACGGAAATAGTTTTTAGATCATAGCTTATATTTACCTAAACGATATTTTCGAGAAGTGCCTGCACATATATTCGTAAGTGAACTTTCTGTCTGAAATATATCATTAAATTCTTTTTGCTCCTATCACTCACTCACACCCTGAAGCAAAAAATAAATAAACAAACATAATTTAAAGAATAGGTTGCAGTTATTGACAAAAACTAATAAATTTTATATATTCTTTCAGAGAAAAAAAGATTGAAGGACAATTTTGACATAAAAGTAAAATAGAAAAATTATAGAAGCATTTACTTTTTAAATAAAAAAAGTTATTAATTAATTAACCAAACTGCTTTTTTTTCCTTCCGAAATTGGCAAGCTAATGAGATCAATGATCTGAACTGAAACAATTCGGTTTTTACCATATTTTAAAATTTATCGCTTGAATTGGCATAATTTATTAATTCAACTTATAAATAATTTTTAATTTGTATTTATTGATTTGTTAATAACATGATTTCAGCTAAGATAGTTCGATAAGTTTATCAATATTCGTTAGAAAATTAAATTAATTTAAATAATGATTTATATTTTTTCGACGAAAGCTTTCCTTCAAAAACAAATTTGTGATATTTAAATCATTTGGCAACATATTTATCATAGGGTTGCAAGTGCGTGTCCAACAGCGAGAATTAAGAAATAAAAGTTATTTCATGTTCATCAAACTACATTAATTATTTATTTTTTAGAATTTTGAATTTTAAACCTTCCATACGAGATGCCTAGAGGTAAATTTATATGAACGATTGCTTAATTTATAATAATTTTCAGACACATTGTTAAAATGAGTAGGCTAAATTTGCAGACTGATTTGTAAACATTAAATATTTTTATGTTCAGAAAAATGCATTTGTATTTGATTTAGCTTTCGTAAGAAGTGGGGTTTGCTGAAATTAATATATATTATTTTATATGCTTTACTTGTCTCTATTTTTTTAAATTTATGATAAATATATTTTTAATGCTTTTGTTGTGTTTACATGTAAGTTCAGTAGGCAGTATTGTAGATCCTAAGAACTATAACTGTTTTCTTGCGTGAAAACATTATAATTATTACGTTTGTTTCGGTTTATAATATAAAATTATATTGTAAATGTAAGAAATTAGTTTTTAGATAATATTTAAAATCTTGCCTAAGAACTGTTTACACTCTGTACTTAATAAATATACATGTATACTCTGCCCTACTTATGCTCTGTGCTGCATATAGTTGCTCTCATGTTTCATTTCTGATGATAATATTGAACTGATAATATTTTCTGTGGGTGTTTCTATACTATCATCGTGATTCATACTCACAACATTGAAAATCACACTCAATATTCTTAGTCACAAAATTTAAAAAAAAAAAAAAAATTGCACATTCACACATTGCAATTCATATTCCCACAATTTAAAATCACACTGCATAATTTATCTTTGCATGATTTAAAATGACATATTGTGACCTGTAATCATGCATTTTAAGTAAAATATTAGGCGTTAATATATTTTTTTCTATTTAAATCTTGATAATATTCTATGTATATATGCCTCCTCCAAATTTTTTTTTGTTGCTCAAATTTATGTATTTTTTTCAAATATTTAAATTGTGTTTTGCACATAACATTTGTGGATAACTATTTTCTTTTTTTTGGCTTTTTATTTAACTCACCCTGAGATTAGTATTAAATTGTAGATTTTAAAGTAATGAGCTCTTAGGTGTTTTTAATGTTAATGTGCATAGTTTTCATTTTTTAAGCTTATTTCAATTTCATTCTTTTTACTTCAGACATGCTTATAATTTAAAACCATGTAATATTTTTAATATTCATGATGATTCACAATAATTTATTTTAAAATTTTATGTGGTTTTTTTTTTTACTTTTTATAAAAATAATTATTTTTTTTAATAGGGTATGCTTTATCTTTAATTTTTTTTCTCCAGTTTTTCTTCTTCTTATTTAACTTATAGAAATTAATAATTCTTTTTGATTAGGACGAGGGCGAGGTGGAAGTGGTCATAAGGGTCAGCGTCGACATTTTACAAATCCTGATGAGTTAGCCCAAAATTTAGAGAAGAAAGAAAAAGAAAGGCAATGGAGGGTATAAAAAACTATTTACTTCAGATTGTTTTTTTATTATTTTGACATTTTAACTGGACAAATTCTTTTTTTATTACTTTGCTATTTTATGATGTATAAATATTGTATGTATATCACTTGATTAAAAGTGATTCATCTAGTGTATGGGTCATTTTGTACAGCTTATTTTCCATTTCAGGGCTATTTTCAGGTAATAATAGCAAGAAAATAAATTGTGTCAGAAATTTCTTAATTTTTTAGTAATGAGATACAGAAAAAGGTAACGAGGAGAAAAGCAGCAGTCACACTTTATGTTTAGAAAAACCTTTTTATTAATATGAGTTAATAATAACATAATATGAGAATAATAATTTTAGTTATAATTATGTTTAAAGTAATAATTTTACTGAAAATATTTCAGTATATGTCCATCCTCAACTGCTTTAAAATATTAGTTCCTGGAACAAAGTATCGTTTTTCGACTAGTCTTTAAAAATATTAGAATCAATTTCTAACAAAAGTGTCATTCTCTCATAGTGGGGGAATGAGAAAATATTTATTTGCTTTTGAAATTTTATAAGTGAAATTAATATAACTCTTTAAATATCCCGTAAGAGAAAACAAGTTAACTTCATTCACACATTTTAAAACAAGTTAACTTCTTTAATTACAAAACTGCCATTCTCTCATAATGGGAAAATGCAGCATTATTAATAAATATTATTATTCATTCCCATAAATTAAATAAAAATTACATTTTATCAGGGTTCTTACTGGGCAGCATTTGCGAGGTGGGTTGCCCTGTTTGCCCTCTGTCTGTTGCTCTGCTTTGTCTATTTGCGCTTGTCCTATGAACCTGATTACGGGCTCTGACATCTTAATTTCGCATTGTTTGATGAAAATTTTCCGGAAGCTATAATTTTTCGGCCTTCTCACTGTTTTTCAAATGTAAATTTTTATTTTTTTATTTTAGCGTTGTTACACAGTGTGAATTTTGAATTTGCGTTATCACTTTTTCACTTGTTGGATTTGTGACGATTCTATTGCAAGCCTTTGATGTTAACTTTTTGGAATTTATTCATAAGTTTTTCAATCTTTTTTCAGGGTTTTTTAAACATTGATATGTTTAATAGGATGTTCAAAATTCAAATTTGACCACTATTTGATGTGTTTGATTCGTGACGATTCTTCCCTAATTTCTCGCTGTTATCGTTTTAAAGGCCCCTTTGGCTTGATTTTTTGAAATCAAATATTTTTGATACGATGTTTGGTTTGTGATGATTCTATTGTAATTTCCTGTCATTCTGAAAGTACGATTTTATGATACTAGATAATGTATCAGCATGAACTTTACAAGCAACCTAATAGTTTTTTCGTCAGTTATGTATAATTTTTCACATTTCGACGAGTCTGTCATAATTGGCATTCATTGTTTGGTGATAGTTTTTTTTTGGCTGTTATTTATCATGTTTTCGGTCTGTAACATATGGTTTTTCAAACACTGATGTTATTACATCACATAAATTTCAAATTTGAGTTATCAAAGTGGTTAAGTGGTTTGTTTCACAATGAATACTATAAAGCTATGTTGTTTAAGGCCATTTCCATTTATTTTTTCTTATTCTGATAATTTTTAACATATGGTTTTTCAAACTCGGATATATTTGATACGTTTTTACGACACATGAATTTCGAATTTAAGTTCTACCATTTTTTCACAATAAACTACTAATTTTTTATAGAAAACATTGGAAACTTATTTGTACTATTAATATATTATTTCTCATAATATGATTAATTTAAATATAAATTTTTGTTTATAAATTTCTTGTTAGGTTTTTCCTTATTTAGTTTATACTACCTGGTTTAATTAAAAGTAATTTTAACTTTATATGAACCTGTATGGTTATTGTGTCTAAGTTAATAATCTTTATTTCTGACATTCTTCATTTGTAACTTGGCAACTTTTTCTGTTGGAATACAAAAGATCTGTTAAACATTTATCTAAAGATAAAGGTGAATAATCATCTTTACAAACTCTGCAACCAAAAATATGCTAATGGAACAAGGTTTGAAAATATCAAATTATTTTAGAAAACCTCAACATCAGAAANTTGCCTGTTCCTGAATTATGCACTTAATTTCTGATAGGTAATATGTAAAGTTGAAATTTCATTTTTACACTTTAGAGATTTCATTCTTGACTTAATAAATTTCAGAGCTTTATTTTATGGCTTGCAATTATTTATGATATGTGTGGATGAATTGTAATAATCTTCTGTTATGTAATAAACTACCGTGTGATCTGTTTTTATCCTAACAAAATCATATATTACCCCTAAAATTTTTGAAAAAAGTTCCTAAAATTACCCTAAAATTTTAAAAAACTTTGCTGCTACCCCCTGGGTATGTAATACATATTTTCAGGAGTTATTACATTAGTCCTTGACATTACTAGTTTCATCTTGTCTATTGAAATAATTAAATCCTAATAACCAGTGATTAGATGGGAGTTTTCTTGTGTGAAATAATATAGGGAGTATTTTGTTTATATCTTTGTTTCAATTTTTTAGCAACAACGGGGAGAATTGAGCAGTAGTGAGGATGAAGAAGGTGCAGAAAAAAAAGAATCTTCAGAATCTAGCTCAGAAGAAGAGGAATCTTCTGAAGAAGAAGAAAGTGGAACTGAAGAAGAAAAGGCGGTATGAAATTGTTTATTTTTCACTTATAAATCAAATGTAGAAACAATTTTATAATGCTCTAAGTAATAAAAAATGTAAATGTACTAATTTTTTTAAATAAGTATTAAAGTAGACTATGAAATCTGCTCAGTTAAGGAATGATTTGGATGTTTTTTATATTTTGGAATTTTATAAGCTAAATATTTCTGAATATGAGGAAAAGCTTATCCTTAATTTTTCCGAATGTCATCTACTTAAATTTTTAGGCTATCAGATGTGCCTTTTTTTCCCACGCAATTCCTAATTTTTTCAACTTAATTTTAATTATAAACTTAATAATTTTGAAATTGTAAAAATTTTATATGTTAAATGAGATGAACTATTCACAAATCGTATAAAAGTGGTTAAAATATCTTATCTGTTCTATCTGATATGTTTGTTCTGAATTTTTTTGTTTCTTGAATAATAAATAAAGAAATTTTCTTTAAAAATTTTATAAGAGTGACATCTTTACTGTTATTAGGTTGATTAACTATTTTCTATAGAAGATTACTATTTTCATATCTTTTTTGTTAAATATTAGTTGTTTAAAAAAAATGGAATTGTTTCCTTTTCTTTCTTCATTTTAGTTAAAAGGATTTTAGTCCATTTAACATTTTAATCAGGGTTGCCACTCCACAGGGAAAACGTGGAAAATGCAGGGAATTAAAAAATCATCTAAAATAACAGGGAAAATGCTGGGAATTTCTTTACACACTGATAAAATACTTGGAATTTTTTTTCTTCCTGTCTTTATAAAGAAATAGTCATTACTCAAAGTGCAAATTATTTCATGTACTAATGGCATCATTTAAGTATGTTCAGCTGATCATTTTTTCTCTAGGTTTTTGCAGCAATTAAAACTAGTACAGTTACAGTGTTTTCATTACAGAAAAAAAATGGGAGAGAATTTCTCACTCTTTCTCAAAAACAGGGTGAGATTTCAAAAAGTTAAGTGAGATTTCTAAAAATGAAAGAAACACGAATAGACTTGGAAAAAAAAATTCTTTAATTATAGTACATTTTAAACATCTAATTGCATATTTTTGCTGCATCATCATATGGAAAATATTCTATATCTACTTTTTCATCAGCTATTATATTTATTTGGCTGAAAAAATATCCGTATTTGTTTCGTTTTGACCGTTTCTACTGACATTTGTTTAATTTTCATTTGTCCATGACGGAGTAGAAGGTGTTGCCTTAACAAAGTATTTGTCCATTTTACATTCATGCACAAAAAATGTAAACGTCTTACATGAAGAAACCTTAACTACGGTGAACACGTGGTTGCAGAGAAATGTGTTCTAAAAGGGGTTCAGTTTCGGGGGGTGGTCTGCTGTTCGCACCGGTTCTGAATACTACTGGTAAATAGGGAAGCTAGATAACAAAGACTGATGATCAAAATAAAGAAAGATCAAGGAAGAAAAGTGAAACGGATTTTATTCAAAATGGCAAAAGACTAAATTTTTTCCAAAATGCGAGCATTTTGAAATTGATCAATAGAGTGCACGAACTTCTCGCGTTAATAATTTTTTGTTGCGAGAAAAGAAAAAAATATGCGAGGTTCTCGCGTTGTATTGAAAACACTGCAGTTAGTTCAATATAGCTTATGCAAGAGCACAGTGATTGTGTTTCATGTTAATATATTGTGCATAATGTGTACAGGGAAAGCACAGGGAATTTTTTTTCCAGATTTGAGCAACCTTGTTAATATACCAAATCTTAAAAATGATATACTGAGGACATTCATTAATTGTTTTTTCTTCTTTTTTAATTAAAATCTTCATTTGGATTAAAAGCCCGTGAAATACTTTAATTAATAATAAGCCGTATTCTACTTTCCAAAGGAATATTAAATCTTTAGATTGGCTTTCAGTAAAAAAACTATTCTAATTGTGATAAGTAATGGTATTTTGAAATGACTAACAGAAAAATCTTTTAATTTTGAAGTGAATTAACTCAAAATTTCTGTAAAAAAGCTATTTTCTTTAATAAAATTTATATTTTATTTAATAAAATAATTATTTTAAATTGCAGTTTTTAGTGCAGTTTAATCTGTAACTGTAAAGACCTGTTTCTAATATAATGTTAATACGCAATGTTCAGCTTTTTTTTCTTTTCGAAACTGCCATGGTATATACCCTCAGAACATTTTGTAGTTGTCAGAAGTCTTCTTGCAAAATGTTATATATTATTCTGCTCTTGGTTATTAGTTTTTTTTTACTCTTTCCTTAAATGCATCAACATATTGTAGAAAAAACACTCGGTCATTTTGAAAATGCAAGTGTGAAATCCAAAGAAAAACATTGTTTTTAGTGATTTAGATTGTGGTGGTGTATATTATAGGTGTGTGCCACTATTATCTTCAAATTATTGTCAATAGTGCATTAGTGTAATTCTAGTGCAAAATTATCTACAAAAACCAAACTATCGTTTGAAAATTATTCATAAACCATTATTGCAGTTTGTATTTTTAACTGTATAACCTAACTTTTAGAATGGAGCTATAATCCACAATTGTTTGTGTTCCTAAATTATTGCAGATTTTAAGAATCTATTTGAGTTTACACATATTTATAATAATTTCCTTTTGATGTAAACACATTTAATATTTTATAAACAGGTACAATACGCAAATTAAACTTGGTGTTGGTGATAGGAAAACACATTAGTCCGCAATTTCCCATAGTTCAATAGTACAAACTGACATTCTTTCATGAAAGTCTGTGTTTAATTTTATTAATTTTCATTAGATAATAATTTTCCTTAATGATTATTTAAAACCATTAATTTATTTATGGGTTTTGTTTTGAAATTATTTATTTTTTATTGATTTTAAATTTTTTTAGATTGCTGTATAAGTTTTAATTAGCAAAATTATAATTGTGTACAATAAATAAATTTGTACATTTTGGACTGTTATTTTGAATACTGTTTAATGCCTTCTTATTTTTTGGAATGCAATTATAGAATAAAATGAAATTCTACTGTTTTTTAATTTGTATGTAACTGTAAGTGCATTTATTGTGGAATTGCATTATGATTTGCATTTATTTTTGAGCTCTTTGTTTAAATAGAACAAATATTTCACTATATAATAAAGTCTACCTACCTATGTCTACCTTTTATATTTATGCTAGAATAACCTCATAACTTTTCTTAGTTATATAGAAAGGTTAATTGAAAGGGGTTACTCTTGTTACCTGAAAAAGACATAAGGTATTTGCTAATTTACATTGTTGATTATATTTTCAAAACTATGCAATAAAATCTTATTTTAAATTGTGGGAAGGGAAGCATTACATATTAAATGATAATCATTAAAACATTTTAAATTAAAACACATTATTTTAAACAGGTTACACTTATACAAAATAAATTGGTTACTCTTGTTTCATTCCTCTTTGAATGTTAAAAAAAGCTATAAAAAAAGGTAGTCTAACTAAGTATATAAATGGTACATTTATTGAATTTGATTGTAAGAGGTCCAGAGGGATTTTTTGAAAGAATATATATTAAGACCTTTTTTATTCTGGGCAATTACAACAAAAATTCTGTAACCCACACACTGAAAAGTTTTGTCTTTAAACCTCTTTTTTTCTTAATTCAGAGTTTTTCACATGTAAGACAAGATTGGTATTTAACAGACTTAGCCCCTATGTAGAAAACATCATTGGTGAATACCAGTGCGGTTTTAGGGCAGGTCTACAACTGACCAAATATTTTGCATAAGACAGATTCTGGAAAAGACCAGGGAATTTTGAATTTGTACCCACCACCTATTTGTGGATTTCAAAACTGCTTACGACAGTGTAAACCGGAAGCGACTCATTGAAGCTATGCGAGAATTCAATATTTTGGACAAGCTTGTACGACTCACCACACTTACAATGTGTAAGACCATGCAGAAAGTTAAAATCCAAAATGACTTCTCGGAACCAATGGAGGTAAAAAATGGTGTAAGGCAAGGTGATGCATTGGCATGCCTGCTCTTCAATTTAGCATTAGAAAAAATTATCAGAGATTCAGGAATCAATACCGAGGACATATCTTTCATAAGTCTGTACAAATTTTTGCATTTGCCGATGACATTGACATCATAGCGCGAACAGAATCTGACTTAAAGCAAGCTTTTCTATCCATGGAAAAAGAGGCAGAAAAAATGCATCTCACTATTAACCAGGAGAAAACCAAGTATATGCAATGCACCAAAATAACTGATTCTACAACTCACTTGCAAATTGGTGAATACAAGTTTGAAAAAGTAAACAGTTTTGTCTATCTTGGTTCTGAAGTCAACGTTAATGGCAATATCGCACCCGAAATACAAAGAAGAATCAATAGTGCAAGTAAATGTTTTTATGGATTAAAAAAATATTTAAAATCAAACCTACTAAAAAGAGATACTAAACTGTTAATTTATAAATGCTTAATCAGACCTATCCTAACATATGCCTCAGAAACTTGGACAACAACACAGAAAGATGAGAATTCCTTGGGAATCTTCGAACGTCGGATCCTAAGATCCATTTTTGGGGGCACACAAGTTGATGGTACTTGGTACAGACGTTCAAACTCAGAACTCAATCGTGCTTTTAGAGAGCCTGATGTTAACAAGTATGTAAAAATCCAAAGAATTAAATGGGCTGGTCACATCATTCGAATGAACAGAGCGTTCGACAAGCATAATCTTTTTGGCTCAGCCCATCGGATCAAGGCCCAGAGGTCGACCAAAACTGAGATGTGCCGACTGCGTGGAAAGAGACTTTTCAGTCTTGAAAGTCTCAAACTGGAAGACAACTGCCAGGCGGAGGCAGGCCTGGAGGAAGTTGATTGAGAGGGCCAGGGCCCACCCGGGGCTGTCGTGCCATTGAGGAAGGAAGACAAGATTGGTCAAATTTTAATACATCTATAGAATCAAAACTTTTTAATTGGTTTGGATATGCAATATTGGCACTTATTTTATATAGATTATAGATCAGTTAAAATAAATTTGTTTTTAAAAATCTTTAAAAAATTTTTTTAATTTAAAATATATATTTTTAACTTTTTAATTTCTTTGAACTAGAATGTTTTTGACTGCTTATTAAAAGTTGTTTCAAGTCATTTACATGTTTTTATTATTTTTATCATGTCTGCAGGACATCATAGTATCTGTTTTTCTTCAAATTTTAGTTCTTAAAAAAATTAAATTTTAAAAGTTTTTTTCATTGTTTCACAAAAGGGTTTTACATATAAATAATATCTGCTTACATTGAACTCTATTAAAAAATTCAGAATCCTATGTTAAAATTTAGATAAGAGGTGGATTATAAAATTTTTTTTTAGGTGCCTTGAGGCTTTCTCAATGAGATCAAAAGCACCTAGATACTTTTAAAAAAAAAGAAAAAATGATTTGTAGAAAGCCAATTTAATTTCTTTTATATTAGTATATTTTTCATAGAAACAAATGTGAAATGGATTTTTTTGACCATTTCCAGATTTTACTCGCAGAAACTATAACATTTAGGCAGTAAAAGGTATCCATTTTGTTTCATCTAGACAAAATTTTGCCTAATATTCTCCTCCGACCCATTCTCAAGTACAGTGTTTCCCAAATTTATGACTTTTGTGCACCCTTTCTAAATTTTTCGTAACGCTGTGTAATTTTTCGTAACGCTGCACACTGTTGGGGAACACTGCTCTAATATATTAATCGTCTATCTACAGGAGTGTCATTAGTCGTCACCATAAAGCCTGCGGATTTCCCATTTACTACTAAAGAACAGCGAATTTTGCTTGTGCTTGTAATTGGAAAACTTACATTGAAAATAGATCTACGTTCAAAAAACCTGTTTCTTTCATAAATAATTCAGGCTACTTATTTATTTATTAAATCAATCTTCATTGAATCATTTTCTTTGGTAAAATTAGAATCATAATGGAAAACAGATCACCAGCTCTTCAATTTAATTTAGATTCTGTCCCATTTATTATGTTTGGCACTGTATACTGTAGGAATCTTGAAATGTAAAAATTGTTAGATTTCATATATTTTTGGTGTATAAAAAGTTATTTTGTAACCGTTTTATCCATTCCCTTGCACAAAAAAAAAAAAAAAAAATAGTATTCTATTATGAAAAATCATTTTATTTTTCTTCAGAATTTGTATCTAACATCTATTTGTTATGATTAATTCATTATGTTTTATCTAAAATGTTTGTTTAATTAAAAATATTTGTCTAACTGTTGTGAAAGTAAGTTATCACTTTTGTTTAGCAACACAATTTTATTTTTTTAAAAGTTGAAAAACGAAAAGATTTATTAAATTAACTCGTTTTTCAGTTGTTAATAATGCCAGATGTATTTCTCTTTCATTTGCAGGCATTAATTATGTTTTGTTATAATTTTTTTTTTATTGAACTCTGGTTGTTATTATAAATTGAACATAAATGTGAATTTTAAAATAACTGATTTGAAGAATCAAAAGTTTTACATTTTTAATGTCTTTTTATTTCAATTATTAATCCTTCTGAAGATTGCAAATTCTATAGTTAAGGCTTTGGAACTGTCAAATAATTGCTTTTCCCACAGTATTCCTTGTTTTAAACTTTCAGTCATTTTTATGAAAAAGAAACTCAATTAACAATTTTATGTAAGGCAACGATATAAATATTTTCTAATTACATAAAGTGATCTCGAGCTATTATGAGTTGTTCTGTGCTAAATTAATAAAATTGCATTTAAGATATTATCGGTTCTAAATGAAAGTAATTCTTAAAATTCTGATTTTAAAAAAAATTTCTTGATATTTTCTTTAGCCCACTACGAAGCTTGTTTTCATGTCTTCTCCCTATTAATCATTCTTTTTTTTCTAGGCTAAAGCAAAAGGTGTACAGCATTTAATAGAAGTAGAAAACCCCAATCGTATTGTCAAAAAAGAGAAGAAAGTTGAAACAATTAAGCTTGATGAAACGCCGACTGCACAACTGTCTCGTCGAGAAAGGTAACTAGCCTTCATTAGTTGAATTTAGTCTTGACTCAATTAACAAGAAATTTTGAAATTTTTTCCTTTGCAGCAAATGTTACCCTATTAAAATCTTTAATATTAAACTTCCATAATCAGAGGTATTAATTTCAGATTAATTGCATTTTTAATATATTAAATTGCATTTTTAATATATAAGAGAATGGTTATTCAAAAGCTTCTCAACTCAAAAAGATGATACATAAAATGCTTTATTTTAGGGAAGAGTTGGATAAACAAAGGGCCAAGGTGCATTATCAAAAAATGCATGCTGCAGGAAAGACGAATGAAGCAAAAGCAGATTTGGCGAGATTGGCTATCATCAAAAAGCAAAGGGAAGACGCTGCCAAGCGCCGAGAAGAAGAAGCAAAAGGTTATTAAAAATCATTTGATTGACACTTGTCACACTTTTTTTATTGTATTATTAGATAATTCCTTTTTTAATTTAAGATATTTCATAATTGAACCTGATATTGATTGATTAGTGAGTTGTGCAATTGTCATGATAGTAAAATTTCAAGTTTAATTATTTCCCATTTTATTGATCCATTATAAGTCCTGTTGCAAGAAAAATTTTAATTTGAATTTTTTAGTCTAAATGAAAAAGGAGTTAACTATGAGTGCGTATTAAGCATTTTTCATCTTTTGTTGTTATTTTAATTGAGCTGAAATTCACAGGCAGCTTATAGTTAGAAAAGTCTAAGAAAATTAAAATAGTCCAAAAGAAAGGTCCCTTAAAAAAAAAGGGAATTTTTAAAAAATATATATGTGCTTTACTTATGCATGCATTGTTTTTCTTACTGCTGGATAACTTCGTAATATTTTAATTTATTATTTTACCTGATGCGAATATTTTGTAATATTACTATTGCTGTCTACTTGTAGAATCTTGAAAAAACCCAACCCAGATATTCTTGTGGCCACCAGAGACTCGCATTATTAAAATATTGGTGGGAGAACTTAGCAGAATACGCATCGTACAATAGTACTCATGGCCTGAAAGAGATTTCCCTGTTATTACGTGCGGCAATCGACGTCACGTGTTAAATGATAAAAAAATTAATAAATATATAAGATGTATTGATACACTTAATTTTTCATGATATTAAACATTGAAAATATTTATTTCCTTAATCTTGTTTTATTGCTTACCACAAAGGGAGTTCTTTTTAGGATAGTTAATCATAACTATACACTAGACGAGTGGTGCAATTAACACCCGAAAATAGTAAACTATAATTTAAGCACATTTTATGCAAAAGGTTTGTTATCTCTGATCTAGATTATTTATATTGATAATTAATTTAATTCAAAACTTCACAAAGTTGGATGCCTTCCTGAACATCACCATATTTATATTATTCTTCACCAAGATATCTTCTTTATCTATAGTATGAATATCATAATTAACCTACTATTAAAATTTTTTCCTTTCTTTAGCTAAAGAAGCCGCTGAAGCAGCCAAAGCCTCTTTGACAAAAAAAGCTCTCGGAAAGAAAACATGACATTTCTACTTTATTTACAAATATCTTCCACAAATGATGGGTCAAACAAAAGTGGAAGATTTACACAACTTGAGTTTCATGTAATTTATGTTTCTTTTTTCACATACTGTATTTAAAACTGTTTGTTTGTAGAGTGAGCTGTAAAAATTCATTAAGCTAAATTATCAATGATAAAATGCCTTTTTGTTAACATTGGTAAAGTTGTGAAACTGGAACTATGATGAAATAATAAAATTGTTTGCTTTTAATTCTGTTAAGATTTTCGTTGTATGCAATTTTGAACAAAATACATTTTAATTTAAAGGTTTAGAAGACTTATGATCACCATCTTGAATTTTCTGCTAAGTTGATTTTCGTCTTGATATATTTTTTCTTCTTTTTTAGAGCACAATACTTTTCAAAACAGGTGACATTTATTAGATTTGAAGAAATAGCTTTTGATAATTTTTAGGCCTATAAAATTTTCTCAAAACTATGAAGCAATGAAAACAAGCAATTTGTGAATTTTAAACTACACGCCCTTGGCAGTTTTTTAATTTTAATATAGTGTAAATTGATAAAAACAGATTTAGATGATTCTAAAAAATTACATTAACGTAAATTGCACAGAAACAAAGATAAATTGCACAGTAACAATGTCAATCTAAAAGCAGACAAATGTATACTATTCAACAATCTTTCGAAAATTTCTGATTGTAGAACTTGATTAGCGTAATTTTGTCATGAAAAATTAAAAGATAATCTAAAATACCACATGCTCAAATTCTGATTCGGTTGCAACCTTGTATTTTACATATATAGAAAGGTACTTCCAAATAGAGTAAATATCCAGTGTTTATTTTCTTTATATACGTTGTTGAACAGTTCCTCATCCGTTGTTGCTCCTCAACAGATTTAACGTGCATCAGTTACCATTTTACTGCAGAGGGTCTTTGGTCGGCCTGGGATCGAACCCACAGATTCTTGGACATGGGTCAAATGCCCTACCAACCTGCCACTGTTTAAAAAAAAGCATATATAGGATTTATTTAGGCCTTCACCTTTTCCCAGTTTGGTTGGATAGACGCTTGTTACGAAAATAAGTTGTAAGCCATATTTCTACATCTAACCATCCCTTTGTATTGTTTTCAACAGGTACGTCACATATTCCTAACACACACAAACCTACATGGAAATCTTAGTACTTTTTTTACCAAAAATGTTTTAAATAAATTTAAAATATGGCTTGTTATTATATTGTCACATCCACTTTGATTATAATTGGGACATTATCATTAAAAGTATGAAATTCCACAATGGGCTGCGGATCAAGCTTCTGTTTGATTTTGAGAGATGCGTAGTAATGGCCTTTTTTAAGTAACACATACAAATCTACATTTTTTATAAACCTTGGCGTTTTTATATTAATTACTTATCTTTTTATGATTAGCTCTCTCCTTATAGTACTAAAAACTACTGGTAGCTTAGTTAACATACTCCTGACAACTAAAAATTAATAATTTTGGAAAACATTAAACCTATTAATGCTTGAGTCACAATTCTTTCATTGTTATAAAAATTAAAAAGAACATTGAAACAAATTGACGGACATTTAAAAAAAAATTACTAAAAAGAAAATGTATTAAGTTAAGAAATGTTACGATAATAACACTGGTAACATAAATCCTTGATGTTTCTTTCGATGAAGAGGATTAATACACATCAGATATTGATCGTTTATATTGTAAAAATGCATTTTCTAATTATTTTCTTTAAAAAAAGGTAGATCAAAGGAAGATCTAAAAAAAAAGGTAGATCCAATGCAATGGAATGTGCTTTTGCTGGATTCATAAAAGCTGCAGTATTTTCAATATTTCTATTTTTTTTTTGTAAAATTAAAATGTCTACTTTTTTAAAATTTTTCTGAGTAATTTTTAAGTTTTCCAGTGCATGTGATCCTAACTAGTGAAGACTTTTTCTAGGAAAAAAATAATGCATTGAAAAAGTAATGCATCTATGAACTTCAATGTAAGGTATTCAACTAAACAATCTTAGAAGAAGAAAAAAAAGAGAATGGGGCTGGGAAGCAATAGTTGTAACAAGTTTTAAAAAAATATCAAATCTTTTTTTTTTTAAAAAAAGAGTTTTATTTTAATTAACAGAGGTTGGAACGAATGCAACTGCATAACACCATTTTTCAAAATGCATAAAATATATGCATTTTCAATTCTTATTGGAATATAATGTGCTACAAGTGGAATATAGCTTTTAAAAACAAGCTGCTTAAATAAATTCAAAATATAACGAAAACATCTCTTCTTAGAATATCAATGAAGAAGTGCTTAGTATCTTATTACATCAATAAATGACCTAAGTTTAGTAAGTCAGTTATAACTAAACTGCATTTTTGTGTTATCACTATTAGAATTAGATTTAAAGATGAACAATTATCTTTCATACATAAAATTTGTTTAGGGCAATTAAGTCACAACCAAATACAAAATGATTAAATTTTTCTACAATATTCGATATTTTATCAGCAAAATTTAAAAATTATTTTATGCTGTTTTGATTTCTTTAAGGCATAAACAGACAATTAGTCATTAAACAGGGTTTCCACTTATTCAACAAAGCAAAAATTAAGTACTTTTTTAAATATTAAGGACTTAATAGCATGATTGTTTATCATCGAATATACATATGAAACCAATGCAAATTATTTTAACTTCCTAAAAAAATCAAGAAATAAAAAAAATACTAAAAAACAATTTGATTATAATGTAAGCACTTATATAATTGTATTAATTAGCTGGGCTCACCAAAGAATTATGACGTAATTTTTGCAAACCCAAAACGGCATTTTTTTAAAAAACATTTTCAAATTGTTTAAAGTTAACATCATTCAGATTGTATAAGTTAATGTACGTAACTAATCTGCATTCCATTTTTAATGATTTCATTGAAATTGAATTGTAAAATTAAGTGCAGAAATTAAGATTCACAATTTTTCTCATGTATATTAAAAAAAAAAGTAAATAAAAAAAATTGTCTAAAACATTGAAAAAATTATTTCAATAAACAAATTCATTTCCAGCCAAACCTGTTATTACGGATTAACTTTACATAATGTAATGTAACTAAACATTTTGACGAAAAACATGTACAAAATTTAAAAACAGTACATGACTATCAAAATCTATGGATCTTTTTAGTTGAGTAGACTTAAACTTTTATGTAACAATTTGATTATCCTTAAGAAGTAAAATTAACAGCCTAACAATCTAAAAATTAAAATAGTTACCAAATTTTTAACTTTACAGTACTTTAAATCTAGGTGGGCTGGGATTTTTCAAACCCTGTTTCTTACATATCTGCTTAATTTTTTAATGTAATCATGAATTTTTAAAAATGTTATGCTCTCTATAAATTTACAGTTGCTTATTACATATTGAAATATTGTACAAATTTATTTAATTCTTCAATACTTTTTTCTGATACATACTTCTTCTCTTAGCATTTTACTTAATTCCTATAAGCAGATGCATTACAAGTAGAACTGAATTTCTTGAAATCTGTCAGTTTTGAAGTTTGGTCTTCTACTTAGATATTTTAAAACTTCACCCCTCCCCCCCACAAAAGCACAATCTCTGCCATACGCAGTATCCCCTTTGTCCACTATGTTCTAGAATGCTTCACTCTCCTCATAGAGTATTATTCAAGGGCAAAGAGCAGAATAAACTAAGGAAAGGACATGCTTCCTTTATTTTACCCTCGATGCATGGTTTAATTCTAAGTGATGAAAGAACATTTTGTTTCAAAAAATTGTTCCTATCAACCATAGTGATGCTAAAAAAAAAAAAGGACTTGAAAACCTTGAATCAAAATTAAGTACTTTTATTTTCCAAAATAAAAATTTAGCAGTTTTTAAGGACCATGGGAACCTTGTTAAAATATTTTGTGTTTTCCCTCAAAGTTAAAAAAATGTTTCTTTTCTTTAAAAATATGTGGTTTTTAATATTTTAAAACTGTTTAATACACCCAAAATTATTGCTATTGATCTATTTAATTTTTTTTGTTTTGATATAAAGTTGCATTCAATTAATTTGTTTTTCAAATGATAGAATAGTAAATCACTGAATCATGCTTTGAAATTTCAAGGAAATTGAATTAGATCAAAGATTTAATTTATAGAATCAATATTTAAAACTACTCAAATTTATGTGATCAAACTTACACCTTCTTTCTTTCCCTTTGAAATCTAGTTCAAATTTCTTTTTTATTTGATGGAATATAATCAGGGCCAGATTAACCTATAGGCACGTGCCTAGGGCCTACGAAAAACTTGGGAGAAAAAAATTTAAAAAAAAAAAAAATCTAACGTAGTGGAATCAGAAAAACAGTTTTGTTTTTCTGATTCCACTACGTTTGATTTTTTTTCTTCTTTTCACGATAAATTTCGCACTCAATAAATTCTTTTTATTCAGTAACTTTATCATTAGGTTTTTTTTTTTCAAATTCCGTTGATCTTGCCTTGTACCGGGTTTTAATATTTATGCTAGTGCCTTTTTTAACTAACGTTTCGATAATTTTCAAGTGTTTTTATTTAGTTTTCCTTTTATTTTATTGTTCCCCCCCCGTTTAATTAGGTATGAAATATATTGCGTTATTTAATCATTGGTTTTGTTTATATAAGTTAATTTAGGAATTGTAATTATTTTTAAAAAATAAATATGAGAATTTTGTATTTTTTAAACTTGTTTTTCTTGTNTTGATATAAAGTTGCATTCAATTAATTTGTTTTTCAAATGATAGAATAGTAAATCACTGAATCATGCTTTGAAATTTCAAGGAAATTGAATTAGATCAAAGATTTAATTTATAGAATCAATATTTAAAATTACTCAAATTTATGTGATCAAACTTACACCTTCTTTCTTTCCCTTTGAAATCTAGTTCAAATTTCTTTTTTATTTGATGGAATATAATATTTAAGTTATCAAATTAATATATTTCACCATTGTACCCAATTTGTAATGAAAAAATTCCATGCTTTTAATTATTATAATTCATTATTGTTTCTTTTCTTTGCTTCAAACATGTGCAGATGAAAAGAGACTACAATTTATAATAAAACTGTGGGCCCTTTAAATATATATAAACCAACATTTTAGGATCTATATATAAATCTCAAGATAATAAAAATGAAGCTTTAACTAACATTTAAGGTATCAATTAGAATTGCAATATAGAAATTTACAACACTTTAAAATATTTTTTGTACATTAGTTAAAATTTAAGAAACCTAAAGCAGAGAGTAAATTATAAACAATCCGACCAAAATAGTCAATCAAGGTCAAACCTTGCCAACTAAAGAAGCAATAACACTTCAAGGAAACAAGCCTTGTGAAACACTAAGTTGGAAAGTTCACTGAAGCATGCCTCACCCAGACTTCAATTGGTATTAAACAGGTTTTCCTGCACCTCAACAACAACAGGGACAACTTATTATTCTGGCTTCTATAGCTTAAAAACTCAGATATTAATGTGCAATATCTTGCTTACTAGTATAAACTTTAAACCCATGATAAAATAGAGAAAGCTTGTCATTTCATTAGCCAAATTTGGGTACAATATCTGTAAAGAATTTTTATCTTCAACCCTTACTGAAGAACTTTAACTAAGCATATTATTTAACTAACAGGGACCCAAAGAGAGCTGTATCATTCTTGAAGCTTTAAAATGCTCTATGCCTCTTAGTTTTTAAGTAATAATTTTTTCATTCTAATATATTACAACATACTAATCACACAAATATTTATATTTCTTTATAAATACTGTTTACTTTAAACAAGAATTAATGCTGACTATAACTTTTGCATTTCTACTGGACACTTAACTTGTTAAAACAACTTAAAAATTTGCCAATTACTGGCTTGCTTCAGTTAGAATTTTAAATTGATAAAAAAAAAGAAGAATAATAATTCCGGAATCACATAAGTTTAAAAAATACTTCGCTCTAGAAATGTTTCTTTCATTTTTCAAAACAGAATTTTTAAAGAAAACAATAAAAACTTTTTATATTTTCATAAAATATGACTCAAGAGTGGGGATCTTGTTACAAATTCAGAACACCATACGGATACCCTGTAAATTGTGATTAAAATCTAGATGTCTTTTAAAGCCAGTAGTTTGAACTATATAAATATATATTTAGAGATATGGCATGAAGTCGCATGGCGAAACTACTCTAGTCTTCCCTTTTTTTCCCTCCATAATTAGTAGTATAAGTATTATTTTTAGATTTTCAAAGTAGTAGTCTAACGACTCCCTGCAGGAAATAAAGTCAGTGCAGGAATAAAGAGTGTCATGAACTTTTAAATTATAACATTCCATCAAAACAATATAAATTTATAAAATTTAAATAAATACAGTGAGAAAAGTTACATATTGCTACATCATTGTTGTTTAAAATAAAGTACTTCTGTTTCGTGAGTTAACATAAAAATAAATAAAACTTTATTTCAATCAAATAAAATATTTTCCCTGCTTAGCTTTCAATAAAACTTCACCCCCTTAAGATTTACAGATCATAGTACCTCTAATCAGCAGAAATAAAAATTACTCAATTGATTTTGTTTTTAAAAAAAATAAAAACATACAAAATGAAAAATCTAATGTTCCATTAAAATATAAAATTTATTTCTACAAAGAGATGCATTCTTTCATAATCAACTAACAGTTAATTGTGACCAAATCCACTTCTATATGTAATAAGTGCAAAGAAAACATTTAATCACTGAAACCTTAGCTTAAATAAAACAAAATATAACACTTGTTTACAGCACACACTAGATACATTTCTCACCGGATAAAACAATTATAGACTCAGTGGAAGAAAAGCATAACTTGTTTTTCACGAAAAAAGTCACATAATCACAATACGATAGCAAGATACACAAGTTTATTAATTAGCCTATTTACACAAGCATAGAATAACAAGAAAAAAAAATTTAATAGCTCATTTCCGATATTTTTAAATCCAGTTTAAGAAGTAAAATAATTAAAAATTTAGAGACCTTTTAATTTTAAATCCAGCTGTTAAGAAATGTTTTTTCTTGTGCGTTTAATAAATGACACTGTAACCTGTTAATTAAAAAAAGCAACAACATCGGAATGTAATCATTTATTTGACCACAAACTAATTATGCCTACGAAAAAAAAAACAAATACTGCCATTACATATGAATTTTTAAAAACCACAATGGTAGTTAAGAACATGAGATGGAGTGACTAATGTTGTGAAAATAAATGGGCTATGAACACAAATCATGCTGGCAGTGTATGCAGTAAACATGGACTGTCACAACTCCTTTTGTGGCACACATTCCTTTGTAAAAGAAAAGAAAACAAGCAGCTGAGATTAGGGGACTTAAAAGCCACACACAATATGACGAAGTGAAAATGAAAACGCTGGTTAAAAACAGATTATATGTGACACATCTACACACAATCTAATAATACCAAACTAACACATTGATCCCGCTTTTCGGCTGCTTGTAACAAACAAATAAGTAAATAACTTAAAGATTATCTGAAACATGATTTTGTGATGTTTTAAAATAATAACCAGTCAGTATATATAAAAGGCTATAGTTCATGAAAGTTATACACTTGAGATGAAAGTGGATATATGCAAAATGTCTTTTCAAAGTTTATGCACGTTCACCACGGATTCGCCGAGCCAACTGGATGTCTTTAGGCATGATGGTTACACGTTTGGCATGGATGGCGCACAGATTTGTGTCTTCAAAGAGACCAACCAAGTACGCTTCACTAGCTTCCTATATAAGGACAGAAAAACTGACATTAGATCTGACTTCATATAAGATATACTCTTATCAATGAAATTTGAAAATGAGATTACCTGCAGAGCTCCAATAGCTGCACTCTGGAAACGAAGATCAGTTTTGAAATCCTGAGCAATTTCTCTTACAAGCCTTTGGAAAGGCAACTTCCTGATTAGCAACTCAGTAGATTTCTGATAACGACGAATTTCACGAAGAGCTACAGTACCGGGCCTGTATCTGTGAGGTTTCTTCACACCACCTGTAGAAGGAGCACTTTTCCTAGCGGCTTTGGTTGCCAGCTGCTTACGAGGAGCTTTACCTCCAGTAGATTTACGAGCTGTTTGCTTGGTACGAGCCATCTCACTTAGATTTTATCTAAAATGGACAAATAAAATTATGCTTCAGGAAATCAGTGATTTAAGCAAGAACTAAATAGCTTAAACCTAGTTATAAATCATTGCCAATCTTTTTACAATTAACAAAAAAATAAATTATAGGGACTCCTATAGTCTTACTATCAATAACTGTATCAGATCAGTGTAATATCAATTATTGTTTTCATTCATTCAGGATTTGAAATATAATTAAAAAGATTTGAAGTAATCTAGCATTGAGGGAGGGGAAAAATTTTTTTCTTCTATTTACAATCTATTTCTTCAGTAATGCACAATATACTAATTTTTTTAAAACTTAAAACATAATTTTTGCTTTAAAACCTTTTCAACTTGGAAATTTATTCTTAATCTTCAATACGAACGAATATATGATAAGAAAATATATATATTTTTACATTGTATAAATTTATTCAATGACATTTGCTAACATAAAGTAACAATCAAAAAGTCTATAAAATTTCAAAGCACAAACAGGGGTCTGTCTAGGTTTTTCTGACAGGTACCCATTTTGTGAAAATTTAGACGTAATTTGTGAAAAATTAAAAATTATATTAAGAAATCAACACAAAAATATGGATTTATCGTTTCTTAAGGGATACAAAAATGAAATTTTAAGAAAAAGTATTTTGTGAAACTACCGTTTTTCCAAAATTGAATTTGTGAAACTACCGTTTAGCGGTACCTTCACAAATTCAACTTTAGGAAAAACGGTAGTAAATTCGGCCTGGACAGACCCCTGACAAATTTCATTTTACTAAGTGGCACAACGACATGGTTAATTTTTCCGATTAAACATTTCAGAATAGATCCACTACATTTATAACATCACACTGAAATTACTATTTTAACTAATGCATTATCTTCACACACGTATGTGGATGGCAAACAAATTAGGCACAAAAACAGAAAAATTTCCGAATCCTGAACAGACTAATACATAAAATGCCAAAGGCTTCTTTCTCATTCAGCAAATTTTTCACAGAGACCAATTATAAAGTAAGGTGTAGTTAAAACATATAAGGTCTGAAGGTGGATATATATGTATTGAGTAAATGTTTGGTATTTCCTAGAACTCTAAGACTATTATAGTATAAAAAATACGTATTTAAAATCCAACAAAAATTTAACTCAAAATAAATTTATACTTGATAATTTTTATGCCATAAAAAACTGAAGAAAATTAATCTCCTTCAAAAAAGTATATACACAGGTGAAATCATTAGTGAAACAGGAAATGCAAGGTATTTAATAAAAATCTACTTCGCAGTTGTATTCCGTAATAAAATTATAAACAAATAGCATGCATAGTTTCTAAATAAAGAACAGAAATGCTACACCTGGAATTTACGTGTAACGGTACCTGACAAAGGAAAAAATGGCGGAGTAACGCTTTCCGGGTTCACAAAACTTTTGAGCGTTATAACAAGTACCTACATTTGAACAACAGCAGATTAAAGATTCATTTGTCAAACATAGAAACTTAATAAATCAACTTACTCGGTTTAAAATCAAGAAATCAAATTTCAATAGGTAAAAATAAACCCCAATATTTTAGCAAATTTTTCACGATAAAACAAAATACTGCACTGACCACAAGCGACTCAGAAACCTTGCACATTACGTCACGATGACCCGTTTTAGTATTGGCTCTTTGTCATTTTTCCTTTCTCCCCATTGGATCTCAGAACGAGTTTTCCTATTGGCCAATATTGAGGACATACGCTTTTGTCATTGGTCAACGCACTGTCTTCTGATTGGCTAAAAAATATCTCAGAAAATTCACAACAAACGCACGTTTTTACTTTGATTTCAAAATAAAAACACTAGAAGTGCATTTAGTCTAGAATCCTCAAATGCAAAAATTAAGTGTAAATTTTTAGTTTAAAAAATTAGCAGAAAGGTTCCATTTTCCAATTCTATATCGCCCTTATATAATTATAAAAAATTTTTTGAAGGAAAAAAAAACATTGAAAAGTAAGGTCGTGTATTAATTATATTCATATGCAAAATAATCTGCATTAAATAAAATTTATAACAAAAAGTTTATTTTGATCCAATCTAACTAGTTAAAATACAAAGTTAATTAGAAATTTAAGAACATTGTTTTTAAAAAAAAGATAAAAAAATAATTGGCAATAGCAGTTAAATTTGATATTTTTAAAAACAAACTTAGTTCTCAGTTAAACTAAAGACAAGGTTTAAAACTAACTTCATAAAGAATTTTCTTTTACATAGGAGTGTGTATATCACTGCACTCGTTTAATAAAAAATATAATTAAGTACATTGTACAAACAAACCAGAAAATCTACAGTATATACTTTACTAAGCGCAAAAAATTTACATTTTAATAAAATTTATAGAATTAATACTTACTGACTTTATGAACACTAATTTATGACTGAGATTAAATTTAAAAGAAATTTTAATAACTTTTATTATGAATGAAATAATCTTAAGATGCATTTTTATTTAAATAAACTTAGTCACATATTTTCACTGACATGTAATAAGTAGTGATGCAACGAATAGTGATGGGGCCCGAATATTCGGCCAAATTTTAGGCCGAATACTTACTTTTTAAAAATTTAAATTAAAAATGAAATAAATATTAACAAAATTGCTTTTTTAATCTTTGTATATTTAAAAAATTTTAACTTTATTTTTTGTAATAATTTAAATATCTTGATGCCAATAACAAGGTAATATTGCTTTTATAAATCTAAATAATTAATAGCATATTTTAGTTACAGTTATACTTGTAATTTATATGCTATTTTATTTAAGATAAGAACTCATTACTTACTACTGTTAAATGTATTCTTAACTTTCTTTTTGGTCAGAAAATTTATTAAAACTCAGAAAATTAAGAACTTTTTAAAAAGTTTCACTTTTGAAATTTTAATTTTGTAATTAAATAATTTTCAAATTTGAAATTAAAAATGAAATAAATATTAACAAATTTTCTTTTTTAAACTTTCTATATTTTAAAAAAAGATCTAACAACTAGATGTATTTTTTATAACATTTTAAATATCTTGATGCCAACAATAAGGCTTTCACAAATCTAAATAATTAATAATAGCATATACTTCATTATTCGGCTGAATAACTTCAGTATTCGGCAAAAGGGCCGAATATTCGTTACATCTCTAGTAATAAGTACAACAAAAAAAATAGAAGTGGAGGAGGGGGAGGAAACAGACTCCTGATCACCACCAGTCTGAACTGTCTACTAAAGTGATGCATTGCAAGCTGCAAGTAGTTGTTAACTTACATAGGTTATACTGTATTTTTCAATTTTAAATTCAAAAATTAAATATATTAAGAAATGTTGAAAACATACCAGACTTTAAGTAAAATTGTTTTGCTACAAATTTTGGGCGCTATTTTTAAGACGGAGCGTCATATTTTGATAAAATTACTGTCTTATGAATTTCTCTTAAATTCATTTAAAAATTTGGTTAAGTGTGTCAACTATTGTATTTAGTATTTCTAATATTAAAATTTTATTTTTAATACAGCTAGACTTCTTTTTTTTTAAAAAAAAAAACTAATTAAAAGGTAAATTTTTACATTTGGCATTTAATGTGCCAAACTTAAGATAAAAATAAATATGGTCTACTAGATTTTAAACTAGACGTTGGTTACAAATTCAACATTTAATTAATTCAGTGAATGTAAAGAAAGCAAGGTGCTTTGTTTATTTAAACTCTCAAAGAAAATCTTTCTGATGGTGCTTTCTATTATATATACAGTATAATTTCGATATCTAAAATTTTAAGGGAAGCTAAAAACATTGAGATAATAAGTTCAGAATTAAAATAGTCAACTATAAGTTTAAATACAACAACGATAATTTTATTTTTAAAAGTAAGAAAAAAATAATTATGCATTAAATTGAAAAGAATTTGTTTACAATGAACTTTATTATTGTAATTAGTTGTGATTTTATCAAAAAAACTTATTATCTACTTTGAAAAAAATTTGACATGAAGGTTTAGAGAAGAAACTCTTAGAAATATAAATTTACATTAACATTAAGTAAAAATGTAATGCAAAGGTGAAATTTTTTTTTTTTTTGGCATAACAAGGTTTTAGAGATATCAACTCTTTACATATATTATATATATATACTCTTTACATATACTTTACAATATTTATACTTTAACATATTTATAATGAAAAAAAAAAACTGCATTTGTTCCTTTAAAGAAGCTGCGGAAACAATTGCTGAAACTGATTTTGATAGATGCCCCAAAACAAAATAAGGGTACGGCATACTAAAAATCAATATATAGCTGTGGGTAGTTGAGAAAGTTGACGCCCGGTGGCTGAGCGGTAGCGCTTCGCGCTGTCGTGCCACAGGTCCCTGGTTCGATCCTCGGGCCGGGCAAGGTTAACTCAGCCTTTCTTCCGTCAGTGGGTCTATAAATGAGTACCAAGCATGCTTGGGAACTAAACACTGGGGGCTCCGNGGAAACAATTGCTGAAACTGATTTTGATAGATGCCCCAAAACAAAATAAGGGTACGGCATACTAAGAATCAATATATAGCTGTGGGTAGTTGAGAAAGTTAGTTCAGAGAAAAAGACTTACGATACCCAATGCGAACTTATATGTCAATTAAATTAACAATCAAAGAACAGGAACTTTTAAAGTCTTTTGGCTAGAGCCAGATTTGGTAATTCTTTTGACAAACACGAGTTCTCATTTTGCGGGATTGTCATTTTTAAAACTCAAGAGCAATTTATTCATTAAGTAGTACAAAAACAAATCTTTATCATGAAAATTGGTATAGACCCTGCTTTTGTTTAAACTAGTGCCCTAAATGTAAATTTTAAATCAAAAATTTTAAATACATGCACTTCAGACATTTTACATAAAATGAAAAACTTATAACTTGTTATGTTAGTTACATTATAATTAATTTGCACTTAGAATGAAACAAAGATTCAATTAAAACAAGTTGTTTTTATTTAATTAAATCATGAATTGGGAGAGTCACTAGTCCTTGAAAAGTTAAGTGTCACTGCTTGAACCAACACTCATAAGAACTCCATCTTCTTCAATCTGAAGAGTCATTTCATAAATATCAAATTCTTTAGAAATTTTCTGCACAGATTTTTTTAAGACACAAGTTGGATTTGTACCTTCTCTAATGACGATATGAGCAGCAAGAGCCACTTTATCCATTGTTAATGACCACAATCTCAGATTATGAACTTTGACTATTTCTGGTATAGAAAAAAGCACCTTGCGAATATCATTAAAGCTGATGTGGCTGGGCACGCCTTCCATTAAAACCGTCAAGATGTCTTTTAAAATTTTTAAAGTTGTACAAAGCACAACAAAAGAAAATATAAATGTACAAATTGGATCTGCAATTTTATATTCTGGTTTAAAATAAATAATAAGGCTAGCAATTAAAACACCAATCCCATGCAATAGATCACCAAATACATGAATGACAGCAGATTTCACATTGATGCCAAATTTTCTAGGAGTTACTAGAGATTTTAAGCAATCCTTATGACAAAGTAGAGCAAAAGCTAAAATTAAATTAGCAACTATAGCTAACACAGCTACAATGAGCATTAAAAAAGCATCAATTTCAAAATTCTGATATCTAAGTCTTTCTATAGCTAAATATAGTAATATTCCAGTAATTAACCAAATAGATAGTACTGATATCAATGCACCAATAACTTCAGCACGGTGATATCCAAAATTCATTTTTTGCGTACGGGATTTCGTGGATATCCAGATCGAGAGCAAACTAACCATAAAAGCACCAAAATCTGTAAGCAAGTGTGCAGCATCTGTAATAACTGCAAGACTATTAGAAACAATACCTCCAACCATTTCTGTTATCATAATGGCTAGACATACTATAGATGCAATAATTAATCGATTTTTATCAGAATTTTTTACGGAATCGGATGAATCTTTTTTTCTAGGAGGACAACGTTCACTTAAAATAATCGGCAGATAATTATCATTATTTTGAGTATTTTCCATAGTTCTAACTAAGATTTTCAATTTAATGACACAAATTTCTATGAAACCTTAAAATCATAATTATGTCAGCTTGTTACATTTTAAATGAAGCGATTTTTTTAAAAAAAAGTTTCATGAGCCTTGTATCTATAAAGTGGTATTGGATCACGCTCAATTATTTGAATAATTAGCTGATTATTTAAATAACTTTGATTATTTCTCATAGCACACTTCAATTTTTTGGCAGAAATTAAATTATTAAGAATTTCTAAATAAATCTTTCTTTTGGTAGCTTATGAAAGCTTTTAGTAATACAAAATTTTATGCTATACAATAATTGCAAGGCAAAAAATAAATAGAAGAAAGAATACCTGAATTCCACAAATTGAAGTAATCTGCCGCTCAAATACGAACTCTTTCGCGAGGGCAAAGGCAACAATTCACAAAACGTACAACAATCGTTTGAATGAAAAATTGAAATAAAAATGGCTTTTCTCCTTTTCGCTTTTTATTCGAATTTCAATTTTGTTGCCAAATTAGAAGTCAAAAACGAATTTTTACTTTTAAAAATTTAACTTGCTTTAAACATATCGACTGAATAAGTTATCAAGTTGTTTTATTTTTTTCCTTAATTAAAAATACATCATTTTTAGTAAATTAATTCAATTTAATTCGACAAATTCCAAATTTCAGTAACTACATATAGAAGCGAATCTGGCAATGGGGAAATTACCGTCTGTATTTTGTAGGTAATTTGATGCGCTTTTTGAATCTAAAATTATCACAAAAGGATAGTGTTTCTTATCCTTTTTTTATTGCTTTATTTAATTGTTTCAGCGAAGAAATATTAACAATGACTTAATTTATGGGACGATTCCAGTCTCTTTTCAAAAATTCTTTATATAAAAATAAATTATGTAAAACAATATGACTAGAACTCCTGCTGAATTACATACCGCTATAACTTTTAAAAACTTTCTCTCTGTTTCTCAGATTGTTGAATCAGGCACAAACATGGATAAGCTGTGGAGAGGTAACACAGCTATTAGTTGTGCTGTTTACAAAAGAGCATACGGTATTTTAGATTATTTAGTAAGGAAAGGTGCAAATGTAAACATACGCACTCGAGATGACAGAATGGAACCACCCCTATTTGCAGCTTGTAGGCTTGGACAATTAGAGGCTATAAAAATTTTATTGAAATCAACAAATGTTGATGTGAACCAAAGAGATTTTTTCAACCACACACCTCTTTGGGCAGCAGCAAGAATAAATTCTTATGAAATAGTTGAGCTATTATTAAATAATGGAGCTGATATTTGTGCAGCTCAGCGCCTTGTAGAGTGCCCTCTAATTGTAGCTCTTATTAGAAGATATACGTCTGTTGCTCACCTTTTAATACGTAGAGGATACAGAGTAGATATAGATTTTGATTCTGCTGAATTACACAGGAAGCCACTTTACATAACAGTTCAACATGCTGATTTGGAAACATTTGTTTTGCTCATAAATGCTGGTTGTCAAATAAAAAAAGCAGAGTGGCTTTCACCAAATCAATTACCGCATGACTGGAAAAATGACAAAAAATTGTGTAAATGGATTGATACCTTACAAAATACTCCAAGAACATTGCTCACTTTAACATCCTGTTCCATTCGTCAAATTCTAGTCAAGTGTCACAAGAATATTTTTTCGGAACATGTAGGAGAATTACCGATTCCTAAGGAATTAATTAAATTAATCTTGCTTGTTTAGTAATTTTTCTTATATTTATACTTGTTTTATGTTAAAAAGCCTTTTATATTTAGTTCGTTTTAATTTGTTACATTTATACACAGAATGTTATTTTTCTGTCTTTATGTTTCATGATGAGGAAATATAGAAAATTAATATATTTGCCTCGTTTCTTTATTTGAATGTTTAGTGAATGTCTTAAAATTTTGAGTTAATTGTAAAATGAATGGGTATTTATTTTTCTTTAATCCTAGTTTAAATTAAGCTCTAATGTGACAACTTTCATTTTTCTTATTGAGAATTTTCCAAAAAACGTATAAAACTGTAAAATTTTCTGAAAAAGGGATATTTTTCTAAAAAATTTTCAGTATTCGTAACTGTCCCAATAAAGTGTTTTGTCCTTAATTTAAGCTTTTTGTGCTGCTATTTCAAATTTTTGCTTATTTTCAGAACATTTTTGATTTTTTAAGATTGCAACTACAGATTTTAAAATCGATTTCAAGAATCAAAAGATTTTGAAATCAATTGTTTTAAAAATCAAAGATTTCGATTTTAAAATAATCGATTATCAAAAGAATCTAAGATTCCAAGATTTTGATTTTCATTCCAACAATTTAATTATTGATAGTAAAAATCACAAATTTTGCATATCAGGCATATAGCCTTTCCTGCTGGATTCATTATTTCTAACTTTTTGGTAATTCACTCATTTTATGTCAGAAGCTCAATAATTTTACATTAACAAATTTTTAGTGTGTTGAATTCAGGAGTCCTGCTTTTTTATTAGTATCCAGCAAATTGTGCAACCAAACAAATTGTGCATTGTGGAATTTTGTAGTTTCACAATTATTGAAATATCTCTTTATTTTGATTTAAAAATCACAGATTCCAATCAATATGTTATAGAAATTTTAAATGGGTAAATTGAGGAAATTATATCTTACCTTTTAAATTAATTTTTCTCAAAAATTTTAAGTGGAGCCTATTTACTGTATTTTTGTTCTGAAATTATTGAAACCATATTTTATAATTATTTATTAATTTTATAATTACCCTATTTTGTAACTATGTCTTAAACTTATTTACAAAATTTTAATTATTTATAGGTATGAAGGAATATTAACTAATTATATTTTAATGTAAACTTATTATAAAAATTTTCAAATTTTTGATCTCAAACTATTAAGAGTTGTCCAGTATTACACAAAAAATATTATACTGAAAATTGTTATAACTTTGAAAGAAAGTATGAAATAAAAAAATTTATTAGTCTTTTACTGTAAAATTCACCTTTATGCAGCCAAAGTATAAAAAGTTTTTTTCCCTTCTTTTTGTCTCACCTTTATGCATACGATTTCAAAAAATGTTCCGACTTCTTTGATCCACTATGAAGCCAGAGTTCTTTCTTTTCTTACAACCAAACAATGTATATAATTTTAAAAATAAATTTAATTCCTGTTTGAGCTTGTATTCTACATTCAAAATTAAGTTTGCCATTGAACTAGTGTGGAAAATATCAAATTAATAGATTTGCGATGAAATTAATTTCTTGCTTGAAAATGCATTCTAGATTTTAAGAAAGTATTTATATTTTGTCTCAATATTTGCGTGTGGTAAAATACCATATCTGAGTGAGTATCTGCATGTTAATTCATAGAAGGTTAACCGAGTGTAACAAATAAAAAGATTCTCCAACCGAAATGTGAAAACTTTGTTGTGTATCTCGGCTTATGTTAAAAAAAATGTGTGCTAAGAAGCTTGAGACTGTATTAAAATTTGCATGTAATTTTTACCACTCATAAGGTTCTTCCGCATTTTACAAATTTTTAAGGGTGAAGATTGTGAGCGAGGAAATTATTGAGATTAATTACGTGTAAGGATTGCCATGTTTCGAGTTATCTTTAGTTTGCTATGTTTTTAGTTAGAGTTTATTACATTTACTAATAAAGTCATTGTAAGCATCATAAAAGTAATAAAGGATGGTGAGTTTTCTTAAGCTTAGACAGGAAGATAAAACAGAATTAAAAAACCTAGAATTCTTATTAATAATTTATTCGCAAGTGATTAGCTTTATATGGTTAACCATCCATGGTAGCAGTCATAGCTATGAAATATGATATGAAGGTAAATTTGGTCCTTGAAATTTTGCACCTCATTGTGGCAAATTTTTTACTAGAAACTTTTAATAGTTTTTTTTTTATCACGCGAAGAACATTGTCAGAAACTGAATATTGATATTTTTTATTTAAAATAACACCAGGACAGATAACTTAACTTATGCCATTAACCATTTATTTGTTATTTCATACTGAAATTAGGTACAACTAAGATACTTCAATATTTTTTCCTGCATTGAAAAGAAACAAAGAAAAGCATGTGTAAGAGTTAATAAGTTGAATTTTATAATTGTTTTGATATATTTTGTTCCCCCACAGCAAAATTAAAATCCATAAAGTGTACAGGACATCAACAAAATGGTAACTTTGAAATAAACAAAATTTGTAAATTTAATTACCCCTTTTCAATTGAAAAGTTACTTAAAATTAACTTTTAAAGCAATTTTTGAAAGCATCAAGAATAAAGAAAAATTGGTAGCAATAAAATATTTATTTACAAAAACTTCATGCATTTTTTCATTTCTTTAGTTTGTCAAATATAAAGTCAACACAAATATGTATTTTACAACTCATTTTAGCATCATTGTGCAGTGTTCTCTTCATCTGTTTCAGAATCTTCACCAGAGGAAGGCCAGTCAATTTCTCCTAATAATAAATAAATTTGTATATAAAAATAAAATAACAATAGTTTTGATTTATAATTATTATATATAACTGATAAATAGAAATATTACAACATGTTTAAGTTCGAACTAAAACATATTTAAAATAAAATCTTTAAAAATCTTAAAATAATCTAATTAAAAAAATTAATATAATATACATAAAGTATCACCAAGATGCCCCTACTCCTACTTGTTATGCTCTTCTAACCCCAAAACAGTTCCCAGTTCCCTTCAGATTGTTTCGCAATTCAATCTAGCTTTTTCGCTCATTGGATACTTATTACTTATCTATTTAAATTGAGCTTTGTATGTATGCTGGTACTCCTCTTAAAATGAAGTCCGAAAACTATGCATCACATACATTCAGAGAAATTTTGATTTATATACATTTCATTCAATTTATATAGTTTGCAAATAACATACACACTATCAAATTTGAAACAAAACTACTACTTACAATCAATACTCGGAAATCACGCTTGAAACAAACAAATTTCTCCATATATGCAATTACAAATTTCAGTGTTTAGATATTAGTTTTAAGCCCTTTATTCTAACATAAGCTAATACAGTCAAACCCCGCTATAGTGAACCTTCAAGGGATCTAAATTTCGGTTCACTATAACCGGGAGTTCACTATATCCGCTACGCAGGCAATTTAACTGATGGTTCCCAAACTCCTCCCTTTTATTACACACTATTCAAATAAATGGCTGAAAAATATTATTTAGTAGCAAAATATGTGCTATTTTTCATTACTCTTCGTCTTGCGTACAAANAAAAAAAAAAAAAAAAAAAAAAAAAAAAAAAAAAAAAAAAATAGTAATCTTTAATTGATGAGCAATCCTCAACATCAGGTATGGAAACACTTCCAGACTCTCAGATAATTTTTCCTGAATTTCTGTTATTCCACTTTTTAAACCTGTCTAACCTGCCATTCGAGCACATGAAAGTAGTCTCATAAAATCACGTAGCAAATTCAACGACATTTGTCCAGACACTGGAAGATTGCAGCTTCTTCTATTGGTGAACCACTTCAGTAATGCTTCTTCATCCTTGTGATCTGCTTTTCTCATCTATCTAAATTTTTTTTCATAAGCAGAAATTATTAATTGCCTGTTTTTCCATATGTTACAAACTGCAGATTTGGATAGTTTATATTCCCTGCAAATATCAGCTTGATTGCATCAATTTTTCTGATAATGCCTATATTATTATCAATGGAGAACGTTTTAAGTTTACTGCTCGCCATAGTTAAATTAGAGACACTTGTTAGCAGGATTTTTTTAACTGAATTGAGAGCAAAAAGGAGTTGAAATGAGGGCCTTATCAATACATATTAGTGTACAACCCTTTGACCAATAATGAATAATTACTCATTCCCTCTGACAGAAAATGCATATTGATCTGACACCTTACAGTAGCATTGTCTGCCTGGGTTGGAAACATCTGCTTGGTTTGTTTAGGGATGGGAAAGTGAGATAAAAGAAGCAAACAAGAAAAAATGCTCATCGCTACATTCCCCTCTATAGAGAGTTTTGAAAATTGGTATATGTATTTATTTTGTAGTAGAAATTTAAAAATTCTTACAAATTTTTTTAAAACAAATCAGTTGAAGACAGAAAAAAGTTCATTATATACAACTTACTCACTTTTTTGGTTAACTAAATAAACAAAAAATAACATTATACATGTATAGCAAGGCTCGGGACCGAACATTTCGTTCACTATATCCGGGAGTTCACTATAGCGGGGTTCGACTGTGTATAAAAAATATAAGAACATTCGCCATAATCGAGAGGCATAATTTGTATTGATTTCAACCTTTCATTTTTGCCCAACTTATCATTGAAGCCCAGTTAGTTTCAGGTATTTGTTGTCACCCTGAGAAAATAATTTTTATTCAGACATTTTCAAATATGAGTTCTTAAGAGTTCATGATTATGACTGCTTTCTCACTCAATATTTCAGGTCTCAACACAAAAAAAAANAAAAAAAAAAAAAAAAAAAAAAGTTTCTTTTACATTATATATGCATTAGTATAGTATATCATACAAGGAAGCCCACATCCTGCTTGCCAAGAAAATTGCATCAGAAAAATGGTGTAAAAAATAAATTCATATATAGCATAAAAACTATATTATAGCTCTTATTTCTGTACAGTATAATGCAAAATTAATAAATTTTGATACTGGCCAGATGTAGCATTTTTAACAGAGGCTACTTTTTAAAGCATATGGCCACGTTTTTGAAGATTGAAAATTTTAAAGGATTTTTTTTAAAAAACGAAGAGAGAGTCATGTAAAGCACTTCTCAAAAAGATTCATTCTAAACATTCCTTTTTTAAATTGAAGAAAAATGTTAAACAGTTTAAAAGAAATTTTTTTTAAAAATATTCATACTAATTCCATATTTATTAAAAAAAGTAATAATAACACATAACTTGAGAGCACATAAATTGCATTTATATATATATATATATAAAAAATGGCGATTCGCAGACAATTTTTTTAATCACTATTTGTCATGTTTAGTCGCCCTGTTGTGGCTGGTGTAGCAGCCATTAATTTTGCGCTATACCATATAGTACAATATATATATTTATTAGTTTTAAGACATTGCAACTTTTTATTAACGAAATTTTTACTCATATCAAATTAAATTCACTGAAAGAAAGATTTATCATTTTTTCCATTGAATCTTGTAACATTGCACTGTAGTTGAAGTTCTCAATTTGGTATCAGTTGTGAAGCAGAAAAATTATTTAGTTAACATTTCTAATAGTGATACATAGTTTTGGTTTCAAACTATATGAATCAAAATTTTAGAATTTCAAAAACAGTTGGAAAAAACCAATGAGTTATTGAATTCGTTTATAAGCAAAAGATTTGATTCTGCTGAATTAAAAAAAAAATGCCAGATGAATAATTTTTTATAGGTAGCTAGAGTGGTTTACTGGTTAGCTTTAATGATGTAAAGTTATTTTTAATTTTAGTTGTCACTAAAGCATAAAAACTAAAAAAATATTTTAAAATTTATTTCACCACAATATCTATTCAAAAGATATATACCCTTATCGGCATCTCGTTCGGCTTGGAGAACTTTTAAGTGGTTTTCTTGAACAGCTAGAATTTCATCAGATGATGAGCATGATGAATATGAAGTTAACAATTCTTCATTCAATGATAGAAATGAATGACCCCATTTGAATTGTTTCAAATAGGCTTCTGCTAACTCAGAGTAACCTATAAATAAAAACAAATCCAGTGATTAATTTTTTATTTATGTACAGGGTCTTTATCTTAAACGCACTGATCACTATCCTTAAAATTTTGATTATTAACAAAATGGCAGCTGTTTAAACCTGATATTTAAATCTTTTTCCATTTATAAAATGAGAAAATTCATCACTTAATAAAGTCAAAGAAAGTATTTCATACAAAGTTATTGTTTGATAGATTAAGTAAAAAGAAGATTATTGTATCAGTAATATCAGATTATTGTAAAATTATCGAATTCAAGATTATTGGTAATATGTATTCTGATTATTGAAGTTAAGCAAATATGTTACCAGCAAATTTAGAAATAGTAATGGAAATCCAAAAATTAACTTTTTTCAATGATAAAAATCAATCAGCAAAGTATGAAATTATCAGATATTTCACACACTGCCTATGAATTGAATAGAATAATAAATTTAATCAGTGTGATTATGATTTATTAGTATTAATTTAAAGTAATCTTTTGATGCAACAAGTGAGTTTATATTTAGTTGGAATAAATTTTCAATAATCACCATGTAATAATAATAAACAGGGATAATAACCCTGCAATGATATGCTAGCAATTGCCTGATATTCTCAACATAGATTTTAATTTTAAGAATTAGGAAACAATACATCAAATTAAAAAACAATATGATTTTATGATTATGATTTATTCTCCTTCTTAAAGGCACTACAGCCTGTTACAGGCCAAGTCTACCCCTAGCAGTTTTTGTCATCTGGTCCTATTCACAATAAGGCTCTTCCTATTTTCCTTATTTATTAAAGGCTCTCTTCTCAGAGTCAAGCCACTTAATTAGTGGTCTTCTGTTTCCCATGAGATTAATGAAAATGAGCTTTTTTACTGGGTTTGTATTATCAGATTGGAATAGATGTCTGAACCATTGTAATCTTTTGCATTTTATGACTTTAACAATATCAGGTTGCTTGTAATCTTATGATGTTCTTTGTTTACTTGTAATCTTTTTTAAGTTCATACTTAGTTTTCTTCAGTATGAAAGGTATAAATGTTCACCAATCGCCATATGTTATTAATATCTACCAGATTAATACAGATATTAAACTTGCAGTGATACGTTGGCCAATGCCTGGTATTCTCAATATAGATGTCATTTTAAGAGCCATTTCTTGAAATATATTTACCTAATATTTTATACGCTGGTGAGTTCATTGGATCAGATATTTTCATTAACAACCAAATAACTGGTTAAAGTAAAATTTGTGTTTCATAAAAAATAATAATAATGGTTTACTGAATAAAAGAAAAAAACTTTTTTTCCAAGTTATCTTAACAGCATTTTTTTTTTAAAAAAAAAAGAAAGAAAGGAAAATCATGAAGATTAAATAATGCTCTGTTACCATTCTTTAATTTACATCGATTCATCATGGTTAACCAAAAGAACATTTAAAACTATATACAGTCAAAATAAAAAGGGGAAGTTTTGCACACCATTTTTTATGCCTGTTATTTTTTTAGGATGATGTTCAAAAGTAACACACCAAAAACATCAACATAGTCTATTTCATATGTTCGGAATCATGCTTATTTCTCAACCTACACACCAAATATCAGTACCCAACTATTCGTAATATGTTTAGAGACAGTTTATTTTGAACTATATGTCAGCACTCTTTCATTTCAAGCTAAATTCAATTAACCCAAAAATGAAAACATATAACATACAATTAGTTTTATATAATTTTCTTGAATAAAAAGAAGGCACTCTATTCAGGCAATTTTGGATGGATTCAGCTTTCAGTGAAAATAAAAATTAATTCCTTACAGTCAAAAGCTTAAAACATAATTCATAAAGTGATAGCGTGAGAAAAATATGAGAAAGAAAGAGTATGCTGAATAAAAGGATGTACTTTAAACCAATGTACCTGTTATATGAAAGACTGCTGCTAGTGCCTCAACACACGATAAACTACATGGTTTGCCAAAGTTTACAGGATTGGCAGCCACAAGGTATGGGAGGAGTCTTAAATGATGACCTTTCATCCTTCTAAAAGGGGTTTCTTCAATGCGAGCCCAAGAACAATCAACAACAGCGGCACCCCATTCACTAATAATGTCTCTGAAAGAAAAGAAAAAAAATGTGTATCTATTTTTTATTACTACTAGTTGCCTTGTGGCTTGTTTAGCAATCTCCTGAAATTGAATACAAAAGTTAAACAGAATTAATCATGCAGGTCACCAAATACTCTTCAAATGTAATTTTCTAAAAAATAAAAAAGTTTAATTATTTAATTAAAAAAAAAAAAAACGAAAACTATAAATATACATATATATAAATATATTGTTTGAAACTGTTCGAACATTCTTTCTATTCTACCTTTTTCTCCTTTTGTCTGTAAGAGAGGAAAATTTGTGAGTGGAATCTTTTCCAGCAAACTTCAACTTATGAATCTTGGAATAACCTACTCATTTAAAAAACATTAGACTAAACAACTGGTTAGGCAATCATTTCTTTTTCTTGATTTCAGTAACCTGCAAAAAGATTTTTCTGAACAAAAATAAATGTTCTAGAAGTTCTGAATCTGATTTCTGCAGCTTTGAACAGAGATGACTAAAATATATTACAAATGGGGGTTTAATAAAGCAGACTTCTTAGGATTCAATAGGAGTAATAGCCCTTCAGAATAAAATTGTATGGCTGAAGAAGTTCATGATATGTAGATCGACTGCAACACACATCCAAATACTTTTCAATTCCTTCAATATCTGATTTAATACCTGCCTCCGATGATAGCGAAGAAAACAATGAAGATGAGCATAAAATGTCAGGGGATATACACACAACTAATCAAGAGAGTTTCAAAGCATAATAACTCAAAAACAATATTTATTTGTGAATGCAAAAGTAAAAAGTAAATTTGCAAACAATAGCAAGTACTCAGAGGGATATTGTTGATATTGTATCTAAAAACAAGTATAAATCACATATTTTTTCTAATATTTAATCGTAAATGCCAATTTTTGAACAAAATACATCCATTTTTTTACTCCAATTTTAGTTTCCCGCTTCATGTGATTTTTAAAGCCCGGTTGGATGGAAAGCATAAAATCAGGGTTCCATTGTTTAGATAAATTATACAATTCTGTTAAATAATATTTACCCTGAAGAATTAATATTGNAACCTACACACCAAATATCAGTACCCAACTATTTGTAATATGTTTAGAGACAGTTTATTTTGAACTATATGTCAGCACTCTTTCATTTCAAGCTAAATTCAATTAACCCAAAAATGAAAACATATAACATACAATTAGTTTTATATAATTTTCTTGAATAAAAAGAAGGCACTCTATTCAGGCAATTTTGGATGGATTCAGTTTTCAGTGAAAATAAAAATTAATTCCTTACAGTCAAAAGCTTAAAACATAATTCATAAAGTGATAGCGTGAGAAAAATATGAGAAAGAAAGAGTATGCTGAATAAAAGGATGTACTTTAAACCAATGTACCTGTTATATGAAAGACTGCTGCTAGTGCCTCAACACACGATAAACTACATGGTTTGCCAAAGTTTACAGGATTCGCAGCAACAAGGTATGGGAGGAGTCTTAGATGATGACCTTTCATCCTTCTAAAAGGGGTTTCTTCAATGCGAGCCCAAGAACAATCAACAACAGCGGCCCCCCATTCACTAATAATGTCTCTGAAAGAAAAGAAAAAATGTGTATCTATTTTTTATTACTAATAGTTGCCTTGTGGCTTGTTTAGCAATCTCCTGAAATTGAATACAAAAGTTAAACAGAATTAATCATGCAGGTTACCAAATACTCTTTAAATGTAATTTTTAAAAAAATAAAAAAGTCTAATTATTTAATTAAAAAAAATGAAACTATAGGAGATAAATATATTGTTTGAAACTGTTCGAACATTCCTTCTATTCTGCCTTTTTCTCCTTTTGTCTGTAAGAGAGGACAATTTGCGAGTGGAATCTTTTCCAGCAAACTTCAACTTATGAATCTTGGAATAACCTACTTATTTTAAAAAAAAAAGACTAAATAACTGGTTAGGTAATCATTTCTTTTTCTTGATTTCGGTAACCTGCAAAAAGATTTTTCTGAACAAAAATAAATGTTTTAGAAGTTCTGAATCTGATTTCTGCAGCTTTGCACAGAGATGACTAAAATATATTATAAATGGGGGTTTAATAAAGCAGGCTTCTTAGGATCCAATAAAATTGTATTCGGAATAAAATTGTATGGCTAAAGAAGTCAATGACATGTAGATCGACTGCAACACACATCTCATTACTTTTCAATTCCTTCAACATCTGATTTAATACCTGCTCCCGATGATAGTGAAGAAAACGATGAAGATGAGCAAAAAATGTCAGAGGATATACTCATAACTTATCAAGCAAGTTACAAAGCACAATAACTCTAAAAGAACATTTATTTGTGAAAGTAAATCAAAAAGCAAATTTGTAAACAATAGCAAGTACTGAGAGGGATATTGTATCTAAAAACAAGTAAAAAGTAATAATTTTTTCTAATAGTTAATCTCGTAAATGTCAATTTTTGAACAAAATACATTTATTTTCTTACTCTAATTTTACAGTTTTCCGCTTCATGTGTTTTTTAAAGTCCTGTTGGATGGAAAGCGTAAAATCAGGGTTCTGTTGTTTAGATAAATTATATAAATCTGTTAAATAATATTTACCCTGAAGAATTGATAATGCTGATAATATTATTTTAATCTTTTGACTTTTAATATTAAAAAAGAAAATATCTGCATTGTTTACATATGTGATAAAAGTAATGATTTTAAGTTTAATATAAATAAACTAATGAAATGGAATTCTATTGTTTGTAAACACATTTATTTAAAAGAGAATAAAACACATAAAATTCTTACTTATCTTGAGGACCAATGCATTTTGTAGCAATAGGACTTAATATTATCCCATTGAATCTTTGTCCTAAAGTCAGTGTTTTTACCAAACCTAATCTGGAAAGTTTTCGACCACTACATTTCTTTGGATCACAATGTCCTAAATCCCACATTGCAACCGGAAAAGGCACATCGATTTGATGCCGGAAATCTTCTGGCAGTTGTAAGCGTCCATCTACAACAAATAGTTAAAATGTTTAAACATTTTGATGATAATGAAATACTGTGAGGGTTTATATATATATGTATTTAAACATAGTTTGAAATATTAGGTAATTTGGACTTACAATAATTCTTTCAAATTCAAGCTTTCCATTGACTAAAATTTTATTGTTATTTTGTATATATATATATTTTATATTTAAATGGAGGTAAAACAGAAAATGCAATATTGCTTTTCACTTACCTCATGGTTGCAATACTTGTTGCTATTATCATTTCTATTAATTTATTGGTTGTTATAATCATTTCCATTTGTGCAAGATCCATGTAATCAAAACAAATAAAAAAACAAGAAAAAAAAGTTGTTTAACAAATAATTTTATAGAAAACACGAGAAGTAAGAATTGACAACCTCACATTACCAATGTCTGAGAAGAAGTAAAAGACAGGAAATAAAATGTAGGTGCAATACAATTATAAGTTCAGAAATTATAGCATGCCTACAAGCTGCCTTGAGCACGATTAAATTTATTTTTTATTAATTATTTACAAAATATTAGACAAAATGCAAAAAAAAGGCCTTAAAATGAAATACAGTATACTCACTTTTTCTTAAAAAATAATTTAATTTGAACAAGGGTAATTCAAAGTATTGAAAATTCAAACCTTTCTCTACCATTATCGTTGATCACAACGTTTTATTATTAATTAAAATTTTTTCCTTATTTGTGATTAGGAGTAAGGTTATAATAACATGCAACCTTTGACCTTCTTCATGGCTGCAATACTTAGTAGTTTTATAATATCTCATTATAATGTACTTACCAACATGTAAAAACAAGATAGAAAAATGCAACTAAAAACTAAAAGAAATGCTGTATGAAATTAGTTTCAGAAGCACTTCATCTATTTTTTTAAACATTTTTATAATTATTTACACTGATTAAAAAATAATTTGAAAAGAATGATAAAAAAAAATAGCTTATGGTAGAAAGAATTTACATAAGAGAGTTTTACCTGCTTCTTCATTAATGCTCAATTCATTGAAACTATCTGTTACATCTTCATCTTGAAAGCTATCAGTTTCTTTGCTTTTTCTCAAACTGGATTTTCTATTTGTTTTATTTCTAGGACCAGAGTTTCTGCTTCGTTGTTTGCTCATTTGGCTGAAATAATATTAAAACATTTAGATAAAAGTATTTTCTTCTTCTTTTTATAATTTTACAAAAGCTAAATACATGAAATATAATTTAAAACAGCTAAACTTTGACTTAATTTTAAAATGTTTAATAATGCAACCAAACTAATAATTTCAATACTGTATAGTAAAAACTAATTTAAGAAATTTCATTTTGTATCGAGTATTGCGATTTTAAAATAGTATACTTGAAAATATAAAAGAAAAATATTGTAATCCTAATAGAAAGTAATCATACAGTTGTTAACTATTCATAGCATATAACAAACTAGAACTTTTCTGTTAGCCAGACACAAATAAATTCAATTATTATTTTATATTAATTTATTTTTTTGAGTGGCGAACTTTTTATATTAGAATAAATAAATAAAAAAGTTTAATTAACTTGATCCCCTCTAAGGGAAAAGCACTAAAAACCTTTTGGTGCTGTATAGTCAAAAAGCATTAAAAAATTGTAGAGCTGTATATTAAAACAATAATAAAGTAGTATAATTTCTTAATAAATATATATGCATACTTGTAAATAGTAAAAGTATTAAAACATTATCAATTTTATAACAGTATTGCCTTAGGCAACTAACCTCAGCTAGTACAAGCCTTAAAAATTAATTAGGAATATTAATTTAGGAATAAATGCATTTATATGCAACTAGTAAAATGATAATGAATGATGTAGATCAGGAGTTCCCAATGCTCCATCACATTGAGGTGGTGTGCAAATAAAAAAGGAGTAAAATACACATTAAAATATCATTAGTAAAAATTAATTCTTGAAAAATAATAAGCATACATAAGCTACAGCTGTTCTTAGTTACTTAAAGACTTCTTTATCAGAACAATATTTTCAGCAGTTAATACATGAAAAGAAATCACTAAAAAACTAATGCTAATAAAAAATTATAAAAACTTGCTTTGAGTGTTATCCTGGAATTGCACCTGCATTTATTAAGTAAAATATGACAAATTCTGTACCAATTGAACAGCACAAAAATATGATATGAACAGCATAATAGTACAAATCCCGGGATTCTTATTATTATGCTGTTAGTAGCAGCCTCACTTATCAAACTAAACAGATGCATATCGCCATGATTATATATAAAACAATTTTATTTATATTATACCCATCTTTATTGCATTTTTTAATCTTATAAACTTAGTTCTTTCTAATAAATTACAAATGAATTGTAAGAATTTTAAACTAGAGTAATAAACCAAGATTAAAAAACTACTACATTTAAAGAAATATATGTTGGTATGCATAATAATCAATATAGAGTTTTATAAAATCTTAAAAACACTTTAAAAAAACATAAGTGAATTTCAAACAAATTTTTTCAAAATTAGGTGGAAACGAAAAGGTTGAAACTAGGTATAAGAGTCAATAAATTGCTTGCAGAAAGTTTTTTTAACTGAGATTTTGTATTTGCAGAAAGCTTTTCTCTTTATTTAAGTTCGACCTTCACTTGGATTAATAGATATACATAAAATGGAACAAAACAAAGAAGTAAAGCAGTCATTGTATTAGTCATTATCGAGATAATTATTTAATGTAAAATTATTATAGTACACAAGCAAACTATTTTCTGAATTCTCAGCAAATGTTTTTTTACTTCAAATAAAAATTAAAGATATATATTATCCCTTTATGTTCAAGTATAATGATGTAACTCATATTTTAATACTCTTGGGAAAGAAAATGTTAACCTTATACACATGGACAAAATTTTACTGAAATCTTCCAGCAAGGCACTTCTTTCTCATTTAATAATACGGGGAATTTTTAACTTATTTTATGCCCCTTCCCCCCCAAAAAAACTGCAGCTTAAAGTTTAAAAAGCTGAGATTACAGAGTCATAGGGTGAAGTGTACAAGAACCATTTTAGACAAAGGAAATAATATTGACAAGAAGATAATAAAAATTATTTATTGATTTCTAAACAGATTTAAGTGTTTGAGATTCAAAATAAAACTGAACATGTTGATGCAGTTGAAAAAAAATGCAACAATAAATCACAAATACAGAAAAAATAAGTATTTTACACCAGTAGAAAATTAACAATTAAGTATTAGAGATTTTATAATATGTATACAGTTATGATTAGCTATTAAAATAAACAAACAATTTAAGTAGCATATTTCATATTACAATAATATTAATTGCAAATTAAAAAGATTTCATTGCATAAAAAAAAATCAATTAGCCCATTTCACAATAAATTAAAACAATGGATCAAGAAGTATAATTTTTAAAATTAGATATGTTATGCTTAAAAAAAGATTTTTTGTTTATAATCAAATTTTTTAACATCAATCCTATAACTAAAGTCTATGAGGCAATGCAATCACAAGCCACACTTTTTTCCAAGATTAACATTTTTACCTCAAACTTCTTTTTAATGTGATTTCAATTAATATGTTCTTTACAAATGTCTAGAATTTATACTAGATTGGACAACAATATACTAAATCATCAAATTGACCACAAGGAAAATGTGGTGTTTTAATCGATAACTGTCTTCTGAATAGTTTGAAAAATGTGGCTTATTGCCCAAGCCATTCAATTAAATTCCAAAAGAGAAATGTTCAACCCTTATTTGAGAAATAAAGGCAAATAATTTAATAAAATAATGACTGAATAAAATTTTGATTTAACTTTCACTGACATTTAAAATTTATTTAAATGTATATATACTTCCATTGATAATATTGTATGATTCTATTTAACCAGCATAAAAAATTCACTAATTTTCATTTATTAGCAAATATATTTAACTATATAATTTAAATGATAATAAATACTTTTGATATTAATTGAAATGTATAGTGAATAACACAATAAAGTTCTGAACACCTCCTACAATCAGAAAAACATTCAATTGTTTTTCAGAATAATGAAAGAAGAAATTTAAAAAAAAATCAATAAAAATCCAGGGAAAAAAAAATCTTTTTATCAGCTCACACGATTATGTCCGCAAAAAGGAGTGCTTTTTAATATGGTATCAATATAGCCAAAGCAAAATATATCAATACAATAATGTAAGAAGCACTCAAAAATTTCTTGAAAAATTGATTTTCTTAATTCTCTTTGTTTTTCTCTTTATTATTTTTGTATTTATTTATTGTGCCATACACATAGGATTTTAAATGAAAATAAGTATAAATCTCTTTCAATTTGACCTTTTCCATATTTTGTAACTATTTTCCTTCAAAATTTAGCAAAGATTTTTTGAATCCTATATAATGCAGAGGAAGAAAAACAATTTAAATTAAAATACTGCATTGTTGAAATTTTTTATCTTAAGTATAACTTCATTAAACAAGACATTATTGCATTCTACTTAAATTTCAGAAATAATGAAATAAATAATCAACAATAATGACATCTAATATTAGCTAAAAGGTAAAAATAAATTGATAATTATTCCATAGATTAAGTAGAATTAAAGTAAAAAGTCAGAATAAAATGTGATACATTTTTTAAAGAAAAAAAATTTATAGCTACCATTTCTCAAATCAAAAAAGGGATTAAAAAAAAAAAAGCAACCAAAACAGTGAAAAGTGGTAAAGGAATGGAATGCATTAAAAATCTTCATAGAATTATATTTATATATAATTAGGTTATAAATTAAAATGAAAAAGAAAAAAAATTAGTTGTTTCAAAGTTTCATTATTTATTTAATCATTTATTAATTTTTTTCTTCAAAAATTAAAAAATAAATTGTTAGTTTTAATGTTTCCGAACTACAAATATTGTGAGTGTATATTTAATAAATATGGAAAGCGTTTTTGTATTGTGCAAAATTAATTTCATTTTGTGGATGGTTCCTCAGTTTTCCAATAAAATTTTTTAGTGATTTTTGAAATTTATAATTATGAAATAATTATTTTTTAATACCAAATAAAGAAACAAACCATAAATTTCAAAACTTTAAAGCTTTATCCGACAAAATTTATAACTGAATTAGTTGAAAATTATAAATAAGTCAATAGCTCCTTTAATTCCACACTTTAAACATTTAAGATTATAAAATAGTTTATTTATTTTTCCTGTAAAATCTCTCAAGTCACAAAATTTCTAAAACAGCATATGCTGCAGGTAAAATCAAACATTTAAAAAAATCTGTTTATAATTAAATGACATTTTATGAACTATAATTTGGCAACTTGAGATTATTTAAGATTTTATTATTATATATAATTAATAATAGTAATTCAAATAAATAAACGTTGTATGAACAATTTCAAATTGTTGAAGACACGTATATGATAATTAGTTGTAAAATTCGAAAATGACCTCTTTCCACAATTAAGTTATTAGTTTAATTAAATGTTTTGAAAAAATTAACATATGTTCAACTATGAATTAAAAATTGAGTGTTAAGTGGTATAAATGTTTAATATGTTTTTTGAAAACTTTTACTGAAAATTGAGTTTCTATTTCAAACTACACTTTGGTTCTCCAATACAAAAAATTAATTGAAAACAAATAGAATAGTTACTACTGTTTCTGCAGTGAATTAAAAAGATAGGGAAATAATTCTCTGGAATTTTTATTCAGTTAAATTTAAGGGAAAGAGATTATCTGGTTCATTTATTTTAATTGAAAACTACAGATGATTAAAAATTAACACAAATAATAATAAAAAAAGCTTGAGGAACTAAAAAAACTGGAAAATAAGATCAAAGGGAAAAAAATTTACTTAGGGGTGAAAGTGGACTTATTTTATTTGGGAAAGCTGTTATTGTTTAATAAATAGTAAAATCTACGAGCACAATGTTAAAAATGTAATTGACCATAAGTTTTTTTAATTTAAAACTTATCAAAGAGGCATTAAGATATATTTCTACTTTTTAAATATTATTACTTATCTTATATTACAAGGATTATAAGTAAACATTTTATGTCATAATAAGATTTGATTAGATTATTAATTAACTGTACATCACATTACCATATTACAATTGAATATAAACAACATAATACATTATTTTAACCAAAATATAACATGTTATAAATAAAGGTAAGACAAAAACACACTACAAAGCAGATAAAAAAAAAGAATGCTTGAAAAATGGCACCAAAAAGTTTAATGACTATTTTCAAAATATAATTTGACTAAATGAATTTCTTTAAACATATTATGTTACGTAATTCTAAGGTCAAATATGTTCCAATAATTCACAAAACTCAAATATTTTATGCATCAAATATTAGGTTTTTGTCCAAGATTGAAAAAATTCATTAAATATACAATAAATTCAAACAAATGCCTAAACTTTGTACTTGCTGATGTCATTATTATAGCATTTATCCTCACAAAGATAATTAAAATTAGAAATTTTTCCCCTTAAATGCAGAAAAATGAAAATCATTGTTGAAAAATTGATTTTCATTGTGTATACTCCAATAAGGATTATTGCTATATTTTTGGTGGAAAAAGAAAAAAAAAAACACTTTAGATTTTACAAAAATAAGGTTATGCAAACTTATTACTAAGTATGAGGAGAAAACATTGTTAAAATTTAACAAAATGAAATACAGTAGAAAGCCCCATATCCAAACTTCAGAGAACAAATTTTTCTGAAAAATACTTTGTTTAATGAAACAACAAATTAATTATAAATGATGTCAATATTTATATTATAATGTTTTGTTATTAGTTAAATGACATTTAATTAACAAGAATATTTAATATGATAAAATAAATGTCACGAAAAAAATGTTTAAAAAAACATAATTTGAGGATACACAAATTTAATCTTCTCTTTCATATATAAACAGTTTCTCTACTTGTTGGTTGTTTCAAGTATTATTAATATTAAGCTTCAGTTATATTCATAGTTTAGTTTATTCCTCTCACTGAAGTTTGTTTTTCTGTAATTCATTTTGTCTTTTCAACATTTCTTTTAAGTGAACTCATTAAAGCAGTATAATTGTTGAATCATACTTGATGCTGCTGCAAGAGGATATAATAAAAAATTATTTTTATGCATAGGACTTTAAGACAGACCTGGAAAATGCAGAAAAAAGGGACTCTTTTCTTTTGAAAAAAAAAAAACAAAAGATTTTGATTGTTAAAAAGTGTTTAGAAAATTGATTTTTGCACTAAAGGGCTGTTCGAATATGGGATTTTGCACAGTATTTAATTCTTAGCAAAAATTATATAAAATTCCCAGACAAGTGACAGAGTTCACATTTAGCCAAAAGCAAATCAAAAATTAATTATTGTTACATTTTGCTAATGATATAGAGACTAGAAAAACAATGCATAATTTAAAATATGAATGTTTTTAGTAACTAGGTAGTTTTTAATTTTTCATAATTTTTTAAGACTTGCACCTTTTGGTTCACACCATGGCGTTAAAGTCCGATTACAAATCAGTTTGACATTATGCATTATAACAGGTGCTTGATCAATCATCAATTGATGAGTCTGAATCAACTGATATTGTACATTTGAAAGGCCAGTTACTCGATCTCTTTTTCTTGTAGACTCTTTCTGGTTATATAAGCGGGCTGTGTCGCGGCGGCGTGCAGAAGGATCATGGATATGTTTGAAAGTATTATGAATACCACTGTTCACATTCTGGGGTCGGCTTATGTTCAGTTTGGCTTCACGCATCCTAGCAAAAAATTCATCATCCTCAAGACCCCATCCCCAATATCTATTCGATAAACCATTAACAAGTTCAAACTGTTCATTGGATAACAGTAGAATTCCACCTACAAATGTAGAATAATGGTATTTGGGGTGGAGCTCAGGTGCAGCAACATGAAATGGTCCATTCCTAGGATATTTATAACTTAATTTAGGGTTCAATGGTAGTAAATCAACATCATGCATGGCTATGTAGTCACAATTTTGACGAGCTAATAGATACCCCACATTTATTAAAGACGCTCGATTGAAACGTAGTTTGTCCACTTGATTAATCACATGTATATAGTGTGGAATTTTTTGTTTATTTAAGAATTCATGAATATGAGGAGCGAATCGTAAGAGCTCGTCAAATCTATCGCGAAAAGGCACGATAACAGCAAGACGATGCTCGCTCCAAGATTTTTGGCCAAAATCTACCTTTGAATAAATGTTCGATGAGCAATTAGATGTTAATGAAGACATAATTAGAAATACAGAGAGGGTTATCGAGCATGCTAAAAGCAATAAAAGTCCTATGATTATTTTCTTTGCTGATCTCATGACGACAGGTTTTATATTTATTCATATTAAATTCTATGTATATTTACACTAAACAGCATAATTAGTAGTATTAAAAATTTAACATTTAGAGACTTAACACTATACATACTTAATTTATGTCCAGAAAAATTAAGAGTTTTTTTTTCTTGTTTATCTTGCTGTGATACGACTTTGTCGTTCATCAATGTATCGTTTACGTCCGTTTAAACAGTTTATTCTGTTTTGAAAACGTAAAGTACTGAATCAATATATTTTTTGCACTTTTAACCGACTATCAGTTGAAACTGTACCACGGTTTAAACGTAATAGTTAATATGACTTCTTAAAAGTAAGCTTTAAATATTTTCTGCTTATGCCAGCTTCATTATTTAGTTTGTAATGTTCTGACATTTTTTCGAAAATCGAAGTTTTCTACTGGCGAAAATCGAAGTAAATAGAAAGTAAATACGTAAATATTGCGTGATTTTTTGAAATAAATTAACTTTCTGTTCATAAGCAATTTTAATTCATCTACCGTGTTGGCATCAATATTTCAGGAAACTTGTTTTGGTTTCTCATCAGACTTATTTACTAACAAAAGTGTTCATTGCGGAACTACTTCATAAATTAGGAAATTAGAAACTATAGAGATAATTTTTATTTTGAAATATTTCTTCCGATAATTCAAAAACAAAAGTTTTTGAGGCATTTGTGTAATTTTAATTGATAAAATGTCTGTTAGTCACCCTTTACTCAAACAACTGAAAGGTGAATTTTCTTGTTTTTAACTTAATTTAAATAGTTGTTCCCGTCAAAGACTGTTTATACTTGTAGCATACATCCGAAAGAAACTTTAAAATACCGTTTCCCTATTTTGGAAGCATGGATATAAGTATTCTGTATAAAAATCCTATTGCTAGTTAATTAGCTGATAATTGTACTTACTCTTTGAATAAATTTGGTGTTTTGTTGAATGAATTTTAAATCAAAATGTTCAGTTATTGGAAGCATTCAACATAGTGGAAAAATATAGTCAGTTTTCGAAAAAGTTTTGATCGAATTGTGTCAAATTAAATTTATAAATACATTATTGAATATTAATGTGAAAAGATAACAGAGAATCTCATTTTTCCTAGACTTTTTTGTTCTATTTATTTTCATGAATAAAATTGAATTATGAAAAAAAAATTCAATTTAGTGTCCCTCTTATTTTGGCGATTTTTTTTGTATTCTTACTGAAAACAGAAAATTCCTTGAAAGTGAGATTTAGTGACATGCTAATAATAATAAGTCAAGATAGAAATATGGGAAATTTTATGTGCCTAAGTACAATAACAAAATATCCCCCCTAGGGGAACCCTATTCTACAATCCATGTTACATTGTTTTGTTGGAAAGCTTACTTTCTAGAAGAAATATTTTTAAATGAATTTAGATAATGACCATTAAGCTGTTTTTTATAGAGGGGAAATGGAATTATTCAAAATGTGTGAAACAAGATTCTTTAGAATGCATAAATACACAAAAATTTGTATGGAGTTAATTTAATTAGTAACTAGTATCTTAATATGTTAATGAAAGGAAGGTTAATTTCCAAATTTTTACCATAATTTTTCTAAATTACTTTCTTGACTCTCTGCTTCTGGGGGATTGTTTCTTACTAAATAGTGTTCAAAATTTCAACTGGAGGTCTATACCAGAAGTTATTGTATTCCGGATTTTTCGTGTCATTCTTCGTTGTCTGGAACAAGAAGCAGGACCAGTGATTTTTTGCTCAAAGATTGCATTGTATCTTAAGACCATTGCACTGTGAACTTTTGCGAATTAAAATTTTGAAACTCATTGCTAAATTTTGTTAAAGAGACTCTTATATACATGTGATTCTTCCTCTTATTTGATTCTTTTGGTTTGTCAGATTTTCGCCATTTTGTATATAATATCACGATTTCTTTTCATGCAATTTTAATATAAATTATTGATTTTCATATTTACCTGATTAAAAAGTTACGCGATGCGAATCATATTCACTCAATTTAAAAATCCTACATCAGGATTTCTACTCTCACGAATTTAAAGTCCAACGCTGCGATTTGTATTCACGTGTTTTTAAAATCTAATGTTGCGATTCATAGTCACGCATTATTAATATCAAATCTTGCAATTCGTATTCACACGGTTGTAACATCAAGCATCAATTTTACATATTTATACATGATTTGCTGTACATTATGATTCCTATTCACGCAATTCAAAAATTATGAGCCACAATTCGTATTTGCGCAATTTAAAAATTCGATATTGCAATTTGTTATTTCTCCTTTTCAAAGTCCAATATCTCAATTCCTATTCTCGCGATTTTAAAATGTTATATTGCGATTCTTGTAAGGAGTAATTTTTTTCTTGAAGTAGTTACTATGAAGGTATGATATTCTTCATTAGTAGATAATTTAATTATGTTAAATATGAAACATGTATGGTTGTATCATATATTAATTATTGTCTCAATATAAATTTTTTGCACATAAAATTTTCAGGGTTTTATAATTTGTGTCACAATTACCCTTGCTGTGCATAATGATGGTGTAAGTTTCCATTTCTGGCGACCATTTGCATGGTTTTTTTTCCAATCAAAATTTTACCCAATTTTTCAACCTGAATTATCAGACACAAGACTAAAATAAAATTTTTAAAAAGAAAAGTAATAAATTTATAATAATTTTTAAAACTATAGATGACTTAAATTTTTATTTAAAAAAAAACTTTTTTTCACAATTTTTATTGTAAAAATGGTTTGTTTACTACATGTAAAATTTTTTGCAGGTTATGTTCTTGATATAAGGAATGAGAGTGAAACAGAAATCCGAGATTTTCATCCTACTGTCTTACCTCTCTGTCAAACTTTAGAGGAAATTTTTCAAAAAGGAGTAAAATGTGTGTGTTGTTTTAAACATATTATAATACTGATGTGTATTTTTATACTTTTGTTTAATAAGTACACATTCTTTCAAATTCAATATTTATTTAATTTAATTATGCATTTTGTTCAATTTATGAAATTTTATTTTTGATTATTTTATAAAAGGAATTTGTAATAAAAATCCATAAATGAAAATTAACACCATGTGAATTTTTTTAAAAATCTAATGTATAAATGCTTGCTTAGAAAAGGTTACTGAGTATATTAATGTTTTCTGGAAGTTTAAAAAATATATTCTTTTTTTCAAAAATTAATAAAAGTATATTTTCTACTAAAATGTGGAAAAATATAATTATTTTTATTTTTTTACGTGCCCTTTCAAAATATTAAAATTTTAATTTTTAAAATTAAAACTTTTATTTAGGATAAAATGCTTAAAGGTTTTTTAATTTCACCTTTGTTCTTTATTTTATGTATCTATATTTTACTTTTTCAAAACAGTTTTATTACATTTTAATTAATAAAATAAGTCTCTTTCTCAACAAAGCCATATGTAAGAGGAATTGTACAGTTTCTGTTGAATTGGAGCACCAATGGGCAGAAGATTGTCTTAGTTCCTTTTCTTGTTAGCATTAGCTGAGTGGTCTTCATGCCTTGGGTGCCCCTACCAGAAGAATAATCTCCGCATATTTTGCTCACCCCTTGTCACAGTGACACCGCTAATAGGACTTAAGGGGGGACAGCTATAGGACTTAATTACAGACAAATTATCTTTTAGCCCAACAAAATTAGTTGTGACCTATTTTTTTTAACAACCGAATTGTCTGTATAGTTACAAAAACTGCTCTTAAATGAACATTTACTCATTTATGAACACCATCTTAAGTATCTAGAATTCATTCTAGATTCAGAGGTTGTAATCACCATATTGAACATCTTGTTGTAAAAGCTCGCAAACTGCTTAATATACTTAGATGCATAGCTGGTAGAGGCAGGTACACATATTCTACAAACTACTTATAGTATTATACATATATCAGGTCTATCCTGAAATATTGATTACTAATATACTTCTATGCTTCCGAAACAAATTTTCACGAAAAGGAGCAAGTCCAGCTTAGTGTCGCTCAAAATATCATGGGGCTTAAAAATAGCTGTTCTACCAATATTTCCATATACAAGGCTGATTTTCAGCCTCTGTATATTCAAAGGAAAGTAAATCTTGTCAAGTATTTTAATAAACTTTACATTATGTCTCACAAAATTATACTTTTTATTTGCATGATTGGCAAAACAATCAAAGGCTAAAAAAGTATAGACCTTTTTAATATGGCATGATCCCAAAGTCAGATTTCTCACAAGGTTATGCCTATTTTTTTTAAAATTTTTTTTATAAAGAAATTGCATTGTATTGCAATATTTTTGGAAGTTCTACCTAGAGCATTCTCTCACCTCGATCTTAATACATCTGTAAATAAGAAAACCGACCTTGAAGTTCATTTTGGACATATGGCTTTGGAGATTATTAAAAATTCTCCAGAATATGCTATTCAAGTATTTACAGATGGCAGCTGCACAGCCATTCTTAGTAGAAGTGGTAAATATATTAAGACTCCTTCCTACACATGAATCTATACTACAATGAAATTCAGATACTTGCTATCTATTTCAAAGTGAATTGCTGGTAATTAATAAGGGCTTGCTGCTGTTTTAATCTATGATAAGGACTTAAATGAACTGCGGATTTTTTATTTTTATTTCACTGCAATTCCTGAGTGAGTGGACTTCAGTGAGTGATGATACTAGCATTTCTATTCTGCTCAAATTGAAATCAATTACCCAACATCACAACAAACACCTTCAGTGGATTCCTTGCCACGTAGACGATCATTTTCACCTGATATTACAGATCAGGTGATATCTGATATTATTTATCAGGTGAAAATGATCGTAATCTTGCAATTGCAGACAGATTTGCAAAGGAAGATTCAGAGCACCATCTCTACTTCTCTAAAGTATTAAGTGTCTATTCTAATACAGTACAAAAACTCAATATGTCATGGCGCTTTAAACCTAAGCATCATTAGTATAGCGGAAGTTCTGGTGTGGTGTTGTACATTAAGTGTGACAGGAGTTCACAAACCGCGTCGGCCAGATTGGCAAGAGGACATGTCAAGAGCCTTTCCATTGTAGACGGATCAAAGAACTTTCAGACCCGTAAGAAATGCAATATGTCACAAGCGTTATCTAAATACATCTTGTGGTGTCTTGAACTGACAAGAGAGGATTTAACATCAATTCCTTTGACTGTTATTGATTTCTTAAATATAAACAACCTGATGAAACTTACTTGACTTCTGTCAAAAGAGGATTAGAAGCAACAGTCTCTTTTTTTGTTTTAAATGTACAGCTAATCATTAGTATGGATAGTGCTTTTTAATAAAAAGGTAATTACGGTCGAAGATTGAGTGAAAAGTTGCTTTGTTTAGGATACCATTTATTTTTTTATCTATAGTGCAAGCACTTTTGAGAGATATTTACAAAAATTCAAATTTGGACTTTTTTATGTTTAAGCCACACTTGAAAAAATATCTGCCTATGCCTGGTGGGCTTAGGCCAGATCTTCTAACTAGTTTCAATCAATCTGTATTTTAAACATTTCTTTTAAAATGTGGTTTTTATTTTATATTAAAATTTAGTAATATTTTAATGTTATTTGTTTATTTTAATAATTGGATATCTTCAATTTTTGCAGCTAAAATCAATACACCATTTGGATTAATGCGAAAAGACTACTGGTTTTGGATGTATCTATTGTATGAGCAGAGAGATCAACTTAGGTATTGGTTTTAAAAAAGTTCTCTTTCTTTAATATGTAATATTAAAGAAATATTATATGTATGTAAATATTACAAAGATATTTTATTTTACACCCATAGAATTCCCTTCAGCTTAACAGATGCAATAGAAAATGTACATATCTCTAAAAAGGTAAATATTAATATAATTCAAATAACTTTGCAAGGGTACACAAGCTCTTTTTAAAAAGGGATTGTAAAAAAAAATTTTACATGGTTAAAATAAATGTGTATATATTAATATATTTATATATTTTAATATATTTTTATATTTTAATATATTTTCGTATTTTAATATATTTTTATATATTTTATATATATTTAAATTACTTCTGGACCTGAATAATATATGCAAATGACGTTCGCGCGAATGACACCACCATCGCGGATGAGTTTTTACTATTACTGAAAAAGAAACAAATAATCCGCCTCTTCCGGAAAAGTTTGTCTTTTTCAAATTACCTAGAATAAAAAGATTGGTTTTTGTGCTTTTTTTTTTTTTTACAAATGCAAGCATGATTTAAAATTACATTCACACTCTTTAAAATCTCACATTGAGATTCCTATTAACAAGATTTAAGATTACGCATGGTGTTTTGTATTTTTACAATTTTATATCAAATATCGCATTTCGTATTTACTCGATTTAAAAACCACTTTAATGATTGATGTGCCAGTGACTTAAAAATTTATGCATTGAATTCATATTCACAGTATTTAAAAATTAAACATTGAGATTCATATTTACGCGATAAAATATCGAGATTCAAATTCATGTAATTTAAAAATCACACATTGAGATTTATATTCACACAATTTAAATAAATAAATAAAATCTAGCATAGATTTTTTTAATAAAATGTTAAAAACTTTCCTTGGATGAATATTTCCTGCAAACACTTTTTTCTTGCTTAAATTTCGAGTATTTTTTCAATTTTGTAAAAAGTGTTTTTGCACATAATATTTTTAAATTTTAGCTTTTCTGTTTTTCTTTGTCAAACTCATTCCTATGATATAAATCAATATAGAGTTTTATAAAAATTAAATTTTTTTTAAAAAAAATTTGATTTTTCAAGCGAATTTTCCGAAGTGAGGTGGCGACGAAAGGATTGAAACTAGTTACAAGAACTAATGTGCCCAGAAAGTTTCTTAATTGAGGTTTTGTGCTCGTATAAAGTATTTTATTTTATCTTAGTCTGATTGCTTCCTTTTATTTGATTCTTAAGCATAATTCTATAACTTTAACATCTTATGTCCATATTTATTTTTATGTTCTGATTATCTTTTACATTTTCTTGAGCAGTAAATGTATATTTAAAACATGTGATATTAGTTTGCAATTATTATCATGTATTTTTATTGCAATCTACTGAGCAAATAATATTTTGTGGTAGGTTTTCACAAATGTTGGAAGAGGCAGGCTATTTATTAGAATAGCATTATCCAAGAAACTTCTACAAACTCTTATTCAACTTCTGTGGAAAGATGAAGTGTTTCTATTTGTAAGTATAAAAAATTTTGACTGTAAAAAAGTATTTTATATACTGTTTCATAACTTAAAAAGTCTATTGACAATAAAAATTGTAATTAATACAGGATAAATAAAAAAGTATTTATTGATAATTGTTTATCAAATTAGTTAAATTTAATTCTCGCAGATAATGTTTAAAATGGTATAAAAGCTCTTTTATAATTGGGTAATTTTTATTAAAAAATTAAGGTTAGCTTCAAATAAAAAAATGAAAGCTTGTACATTTTTTTATGGGATTTTACTAAAAGTACTTGTATTTCTAAAATTTTTATCCAGATTGGTTTCAAAACTTTTTAAACATGAAAAACATTAAAATTCATTTGTTTAACATACAATTTATGTTACACATAACTTATATTAATTTAAATTTATGCAAGAATGAGACAGCTGTATGAAAAATAAAGGAAACTAAAATTATATTATCTTGTTATGAAAATCAGCGTCATTTAAGAGGTGATATGGATTCTTTACTTTTAACAAAATTTTTCGCTACGGCTTAAAAAGCCATGTAAGAAATCTTGTTTTTTCAACTTGGAAAAACTAGGTTTTTGTGCCAAAGTGGCAAATATAGAATTTGCATTAACAATTCCACAGCAATTTTGTGCCTCAAAGATAAAAATGTTTTAAAATATTAGATGAATTGGACTTTAATATGTTAAATTGAATTATGTTTTAGCTGAGATTTAAAATCATTGCTATTACAATTACGATTTTTTCTTCAATTTAAAAAAATTAACTTAATTAATAAAAAAACAAAACAAAAGTCTTTATATAGGTGTATTATTTATATCATTGTTATTTCTTAACCAACAGAATTTAGTACAACAATATTTGCTATTAAGATTACTGTTTCTGCTGGTTTTTCCATTTTCTACTGTTACAGCAAAAATACCATTCCTGAATTCAAAACTTAAAAGGAAGTTTTAAAACTCTAAAATTTTAGTAGATAGTGAGTACTTATTTTTGCTTTCAAATTAATAAATATTCTAACCTTTTTTTTTAGTCTGTTTATGATCCAAAGACATCAATTCTAGGAAATGAAATCATGTTTGGTAAGCAGAGTTTGCTTTATGTTATTTTATCTTTTGTAAAATTTTAAGAAAAAATCATTTAATTTATTCAATTTTATATTTGTACTATTATTTGCATAACTCTAAAAATGTAACAAGTTATAAAATAGTGTGAGCGGTTAACAACAAGCTCTTTAAAATATTTCCAAAGCATGCTGTCTTTCTTACGTTCTGTGCATTTTTTTCAACAAAAATGTTTAACTGAAAATTAGTTTTTCCCCTTTATTTCCAGAAATATTTTCTTCTCTTCTGCATGAACTGAATAAAGTTGAATTTAAGTTGGAATTGAAAGTAAGTTAACTTAGTTTCTATGGTAATAGTAGAACTTTAAAATTTTGTTTTGTATAACTGTTTGAAGGTCGGTATGTGTATTATCATTAAGTAGATTAAATTAAACCAAATATTAAAATATGTACAAATTTATATGCAATAAAATAATCTTGGTAAATTTTTAAAATTTTATTAACTACAATTATTCTAAAACTGTTTTTAAAGATAATTACATTTTTATTTGTTTCCCTTATTGCTATATAAAATCATAGATCTATATTTTTATTTGTTTGTTTATTTCTTTATTATTTGTATGTAACAAGATAACATTTTGGTCAATATCAAATATTATGCTCCACTTAATCATGTATCTTGATGGTCAGATTGTTACTTGGTTATGTTGAGTCTTGGATAAATATTTTTTAGAAGTCAAGAGTGAAGTGTGTGAAGTTTTTTTTTTTTTCAAGTTAAGATATAATTTATTTTAAAAATTTTAATGAATTAACATTAATTTCTAACTTTATTTCTAGAATGCCAGTTTTCTAGATGAAACATGGCAATTAGGTGTAAGTATAAGTTTTATTTTTATACTTAATTATTTGTTTTTATCTTTAACATATTTTTAAGTGGTTTATTTTTAGGAATTAATTATGTTATTTTACAGGTTTATAAAAAATATGAATTTGTGCCTTGTAAAGAAATGGGTATAACTTTTGCGTGAGTAGAAAATTTTGGTTACTTTGTAAATGATTTTTATGAAATTATTATGAATAAATTTAAATTCTTTTTAAACATATTTTCACTTTAATAAAATACCAATTTAGCACCCCTTCAAATTTTGATGAAAAGTGTTAAGTCAAGCGGTTTAACTGTAAATATTGTAAAATATGATTATAATATCTGATTACAGAAATAAGTTTCTGAAATATGTTTTAATTTAACTTTTGATAACCACATTATTTATCTATTTATTTTTATATAGAATTTCAGAATGCTTGTTTCACATGTAATCGATTAACAATAAACAAATAAAAAATAAGTTAAATGGAAGATTAATATTAAATTCAATGTATTTGTCACAAATTTACAAGGAAATTTTATCAGAATCAATATCAAAAGCACTTCCTCTTCTAATTTCATGCCTACCTTTTATATAAATAATTATATTAAACAAATATTCCAGCTATTGATCTAACAAACTGATCTTAGAGATATTCTTTTAGAAGTCTCATTAATAATTTTTAAAAATGTCATATTTTTTTTACCTTTGAAAAATTAAGCATGTTTGATTTAATGTTGAACAGTATTTTATGTGCTGGATGTTATAAATTTTAACAAATTTGAAAATAATTTCTAAAATTTTAGGTAGTTAATTACCTATAAATATCTCAATAAAATTATTTAATTATTTTACCTGTATTTTATTGATCAATTAATTCTGTAAAAATAACAGAGTTTGTTTAAGCAGGGATTAAATAAATGGTTAAAAGTTATTATCTACTCTTAGAAGGTTTACGTTTTTACAATGTCATTGATCTGGAAGCACCCTAGTGATCTTTTCTCTCTCTCTCTTTTTATATACTATGCATACTTTACTATTTGATTTATCTATCTTAAATTTGTTTGGTGCTTTTCTTCATCCATTGAACTCTATATTCAACAGTGGTGCCAACCATTACAATTTATCCATAATATTATGAGATTACAATCGTACTGTTATACATTAAAAATTAAAGTTTTTGAGAATATACGTTGTAATCTGTTTAAGATTTTTTTTTTTAAAATTTCCCTATTGTATATAAATTGTTTGTAAATAATCCATGATAATTTTTTTTATTTCTTACACAGTTCTAAAAACAATAAATAAAAAAATAAAAAAAAGCAGTTTGATAGAAATAAGAAATGAAAAAGCAAAGAAATCATATCTTTTCCCTATTCAACAAAGCAAATAATATTTTNACTCTATATTCAACAGTGGTGCCAACCATTACAATTTATCCATAATATTATGAGATTACAATCGTACTGTTATGCATTAAAAATTAAAGTTTTTGAGAATATGCGTTGTAATCTGTTTAAGATTTTTTTTTTTAAATTTCCCTATTGTATATAAATTGTTTGTAAATAATCCATGATAATTTTTTCTATTTCTTACACAATTCTAAAAACAATAAATAAAAAAATAAAAAAAAGCAGTTTGATAGAAATAAGAAATAAAAAAGCAAAGAAATCATATCTTTTCCCTATTCAACAAGTTATTCTTAAAACTTCATCTTCCCTCCTGATGAAAAAGCAAAATAACATAAACTGAATTCTGAAATGCTGTTTGCAAACATTTTTCATGATTCAAATACAGGGTGATAAAAAAGCAATAAGAGCTAGTTATAACTTAATCAAAAACTAGAACATTAATTTCAAAAAATTAGTTTGCTTTTATCAATTTATATTAAAGTTTAAAATGTCAGTGTTGTGTATTTTTTAATTTAGTACCTTTTTCCAAGTGTACTTTTTAAAAAAAATTTTCATGCTTATTTTTATTAATATTATAACCTATATAGAATTATGTAGTATATGCACCTTAAAATTGCCCTAATTTGAATTTCATAAATGCTTACGGTATATATTTGTGGTGTATTGTACTTCTAATTTCTAGTTGCTAGTTCGAAAAGTCACTCCAATAAAATCTTATATTTCAACATAAATTAATATTGCTAAAATCCTAAAGTATGGTAATATCTTTATATTTTAGTTTTAGCTTATCATTTTTATGCTGCATTATAACTATTCTGTGTACAAAAAGAAAATGTTTGTTCATTTGTTTTCAGGTATATTAAGGGAAGAATTGTGGTCGTTAAAGTAGATCCTGGAAGTGTTGCTGCTGAAGAAGTATGTATTTCTGTTTTTTGGTTAATATTCCACATTATGTTAGCTTTTTTTTTATTTTGATAACTTATGCTTAAGTTTGATTGAAATTAATAATTGCTAAATACAATTTGGCATTGAACCAAATTCACTATATTATTTTATAGAACCAAGTTGAGCCTGGTGATGTACTAGATGAGTTATATGGACAAAGTCTCTACAAATGTAACAAAGGTTTAATATCAGCTTTGGCAAACAAATATCGTGGCCTTCCTATTTATCTATCTGTGGTTAAAGTACGTATACTTAGAGCTGTCAGATTTTTTCTTGTTAAGTTTTTAGCAAATACTTTTTTTGCATATTGCTAGTCCTTTCAATAGTTGTAGAGTATTTTTAAGAATTTTCCATAATCAATTTATATTCTGTTATACAAAGAAATTTATTATAGCATATAAGTAGAAATAGGGCTTTAGGGTTTATGAAATGTTGCGCAAATAGCATTTCAGTAACAAGTAACTCTTATTTTGTTTTGTTTTTAAATATCAATTTTTCCAACTGAAAAAAATAAATGTACTACTAAACTAAGAATTGTTAAATGTACTACTAAACTAAACTAAACATAGATCTATAAAAGTTTTTTTTAAAAATAAAATTTAAAAAAAGTAATTTAAACAATTTTATGCTGAATTATTAAAAAATAAATATATGCTGATATTTAAATTACTGAAGTCACTTGTTATATAGTTATCCTATAAAAAGACAAATATTTTATTTTATTTTTAAATTTACTTATATGGATTTTAATATACTCAGTATGTTTTAGACATTAAAAATGGAGGTTAATATGTATTTTTAATTTAAAGGGTTTTTATGTGGGAAGTATTTATTCTCCTTTGAAGCCTATCTTTGAAAAACTTCATATTAAGATAACTCCTGAAAAGAAACAAGTAAATAAACCAGAATTTGTTCAAGAGCTGAGCTCTGACTCATCCCATTCTGGTAGGTAAGTCAAATATTATTTATTATTTTTTTACTGTACACATTTAACATTACTGTACACATTTAACATGTCATTAAATCCAAATTTTATTTTTACATCTTGATGTGAATATTCGATCCATTTTAGTTTTTACCATAATTCAGAAGCAAGGGCATAAAAGCTCCAGATACATTTGTGGATTTATAAAATAATATTTTGTCTTGTTTTTAACTTTTAGTTTAAAAAATAATAAAAAAATTAATTTAAAATAGAAATAAAACTATTGACACAGTTAAAAAGAAATTTTAGAACACTGTAGTTTACTGGTTACAGAATGCATTGAAAATATTTTTGTACTTTCTCTATAAAAGAATGTCAAAATTAGAGCATATGTTCTGTACAAAATAATAATGAATACACTTTTACGGTGATTCCGCTACTCTTCAAAACCTATGGTTTCTTGAGACCCAGGAATTCCATATTTTTTATTCCCTTTTTACTAAAAGCTTGTCCCTATTAAAAATATGAATTCTCTACCTCTTTGTCTATTTATTAATGTTAGCATTCATAATTATTCTATCTATTTATAGACTAAACAACAAATTTCTAAACAAGAGTTATATTTGAATAAGGAGGTCCGTATTGAAAACTGAATTCTTACCCTTTTTATCCATTTATTAATATTGGTGGTCATAATTATTCTATTGATTGATAGATAAAACAAATAATTTCAGAACAGGAGTTATATTTGTATAATTTTAAAAGTTTTTAATTAGGGCTGATCAAACACTTGCATCAAGTAAAATTTAATTAGGGCTGATCAAACACTTGCATCAAGTAAAAGCAAGATGCAATTTGGTATTTAGAATTATTCTAATTGTCTCCTGTTTATTTCTTTGCTATTAATAATAGGGGGAAAAAAGAAATTTTTTCTATAAATTTAAAGTTTGGTTAAAACTTTGTCTGCATAAATTTGCTAGCATGCTATTTTTTTCCCACATTGAAGAATTACGCATCAACAGGTATGAGTAATAAGTTATTTTTAGCATTCCCTCTACATTTTTTGGTATATTTGACGTGTTATAAAATGGAAGGAAAATCAATGCGTTTAATTATAGAGAACACAAATAATATAAAATCACTTACTATGTTGACCTTATTTCCATAATTGTTTCTCTTTCATTGTGTTTTAAATCTTTTAAGCTTTCTTGAAAAATGATAATGCATTTATTTGATTTTTTTTTTCAGAATAAAATTCGATGTCTCACTACTTGGCAGGTTCCAAGTTCATAATGTAAGCTTTTTATTTATTTTGATTTTAACTGTTGCCTAAATATTTTTCTGTAATGGTAATTTTAAATGAATAAAAATTAATAAATATTATAACGATAGATAAATAACATATACCTATAAATAACATAGATAGGTTGTTATAACAGCAAATGATAAAACAAAACATCAAGAACTTTGTGAGTTTGAGATAAATTTAAATGCACTTGTTTACATTAGTTCTGACTATTTTCAAATTTCGATATTTGTTACTAATTTTGTAATGTAATTCTAAAGCTGTATTGTACTGCGCTGTTATGATCTCATTATTAATTTCTTTTATCCTCACAGCATAGCTTATTGTTTTATGTGTGTCAATGTTGTCTATGACCAATATTTATGCAACACTAATATTACATTAAAAATGTGATTTTTATGCATTTTAATTAGTATCATTAGTGATGTGTAGTATAAAAACAGTTTGATTGCTTGTTAGATGTTTTTGTTTTCATATAAGTTATACTTTTTATTGTTTTCTTAACAATTTTAATGTGAGGTAATTACAAAGTTGCCCTTTATTAAAAATTTTTTTAAAAAGTAATTAGATGTTTACTTTTTGCCATAAAAGTAAAATCATATTTTTGTATTACCAAACTCTTGAAAAACAAGAAACAGTTCATAAAAAAATTATTTTCATAGTTTCTGATTTTTAGATTTTATTATTTTTTTTTGCTTATTAAACAATATATCCTAGTTAGGAAAAAAAGCGTTTGTCCATAAAAGGAATTACTACATTTCTTTATTTAAAATATAATCTCTTTAAAAGTCTATTTATCATCATGTACAGTATCAACAGTTAAAATAATTTATGTGCTTTGTTTGTGTCAGATATTGACGATTTGAAATATTATGATATTATAGGATGGCAAAGCTCAATGCATCGATCAAGCTATTAACAAAGCAATTGATTTAAATTTGGAGCCTAAAGCAAGTATATTTTTGCATTTTTTAACTTTCCTTATTTATTTTAAAAAAGATTTCTATTATTTCCTGTTTTAATTTTCTAAATTTTAAAATATTAATAGGTTGTTAAAAGTGCTAAATATAGCTTTTATTACTCAAAAGAAGAAAAAAAAAGCACAAATGAATTGAAATTTGTGACTTTTACTATAAATATAAGATTGAAATCTAAGGAAAAATTGTAATAACCTAAACTTGATGTTAGATTTGGGATTATACAAATTTTTTTTTATTTTTTTATTTTGTGTTTGTAATGTAAAAGGTTTTTTTTTTACACTCCAAATGAGTGTTGCCAAATGAAACAAAGAAATTACATTCTGCATCCTGACATTTTTGAATTATGTTTAAATATTATCTGAAATTGAATATATTTACACAACTTTTAATTATTGAATTTTTTATTTTGCAGGAAGTGATTTTACGGATATCTGAAAGAGATCTTACTATTCATAATAAAGAGGACACAGAAGTAACTTTCAGTTTTTAATATTTGAGAATGGAAATTCAATTAAAAATTTAATGTCTAAACCAATTTTCGTACAAGTAAAACATAATGTTCTGTGAAATATTATATATTTTTTAACTTTGCATGTTGGTAGGTTTTTTAACTGTGAAAGCACGTTTTTAAATTAGATAAACAATTTTTTATTTATTAATCAAATCTCTATATTCTAGTATAACATTATACTAGTATCCAACTTAATACTAGTATATATAGACAATTCTGTTAACACTGCTTGTAATCTACATTTATTTACTTCATTTTTACAATGATTGAAAAAAATATAAATTCAAGGTGGTGATTTCAGAACAGTGTGTATTTATGATCTGATGTAATATTATAAATTTTGTGCAGTGATATATTATAATGTTTAACCACTCTTTAACATTGCGGGATAAAAAATAATTATTCAGAATTTTCAAAATAATTATTCAGAATTTTCAAAATAATTATTCAAATTTAACTAATACACCATCTAACATTCATAACACATTGTTATGAATGTTAGATGGTGTATTAGTTAAAACATATATTGATAATTAATTTTTTAAGCTCTAAAAATTCAAAAATAAAAATACTATTGTTTTTTGTTGTATTTCTTAAAAATATGAATTTTCTTTTTTAATAAATATTAATTAATTTTTTTAATAAATTAAATATTAATTTTTGTTATAAATATTATTTTAATAAATATTAACTTAAAAATATTAAATTTCTTTTTTATTATGAATTATTATTTGTTAATGAATAAATTTTTTTCTTAAAACTTCGTCACAGGTTATTCTTAATAAACATTTCTCTGAAATATCTGCTTGTGGTCGCAAGAAAATTTGCCCAAACATCTTCGCCTTTATTTTTGGGTAAGTTAGTGGAATTTACATATACTGCTTGTAATTATAACCATGTGTATAACTTTTACCTTTTTGCTCTTTCTTAACGACTATTTAACTTAGTGGTATTAAAATACGATTTCACAGATAACTTCAAGCACAATTTTTTAAAATTTTATCAGCGTCTGAAGTCTGAAACCGTATTAAATAATTATCAAGTCTTTTATATTCAATGTTTAAATTAACTAAATACAGTGGTGATCAAAGTCATTTTAAATCAAATTTATGAAATCAGATACACAATATTAAAGCATAAGTTTTGCCATGACTTTAAATGTAATAATAAATTTTTCTGGAAAAAAAGGAAGAGTTAACAGCTATATATTTTTAAGCATTATTATTAATTTTTATTTCGCAAGAAACCTTCATTTTGTGCATCTGTTGAAAGTTGTTTTTGAATTAATTTCAGTTAATTAATTTTAAATTTAACTATGCATAATTAGGCATTATAATTCTGCAATCTGCAATATAGGTATTTACAGTAAAGATATTAATGTTTAATATTGTATAGGACGAAGTTAATGTTTGCCACTGATGACTAAATATAACAAACGTCGATTTAAAAACTGTCCATCAGTCTTCACCTTATTGCCACTTTTTTACTAGAAAGTTTACCCCATAAGTATTTTATTGTTGTGTTTTTAATAAATATTTAATCATTATGACTTTTTTTATAATATTTTGAAAATTACTCTATTTCATGTTTGTTTTTTAAAATATTTCTTCATTTCAAAATAAACCTTGTATTGTTTACCATACTGTAAGAAATTTTTTAAAAGAAATACCTTACATTATTAATACCAGCTTCTTTAATTAATTGAAATTTTCAATGTTTTTCAAAAGTGGCCACTGTTAAAGGTTCTACAACTGGCTAACAAAACAATTTCATAATTTTGCTCCATGTAATATTGCTATAATTCTATAAAATTATATTTTTCTTTTCATATTACTTGTGATAGTATAATATTATTATTTATTTTGCTTGTCTTCCAATAGAAATACAAGCTGTACTATTGCTGATGAATTTCAATGCTATGTAATGAAAGCTTCTTCAGAAACTGCTGTAAGTTTGCTAATGTACATTATAAATTATTTATAATATAATTTCTGTGTTATTTAGATTATCTTTAAAATTGTTAAATGTACCCTGTCAGGTTTTCTTTTTTCTTTCCATTTACTTCTTCAAAAAATTTGATTAAACTGTACTAACTAGCAAAGGTTTAATATTACTCACAGATAATGGTCAGTTTTTTGTTAGTCTAGGCTAAAGGTGCTTATAGTTTTGAAGTTCTCGAATTCCCTCTTAACAACATGTCGTCTCTGAGCTTTTTATTCTGGACCCAGCTCAAAATGTGTGTTTAAAAAAATGAACACAGCTCAAAATGCATGTTTAAGAAAATGGACACAGCTCAAAATGCATGTTTAAGAAAATGGACACAGCTCAAAATGCATGGCTAAGAAAATTGACACAGCTTGAAACGTGTGTTTAAGAAAATGGATGTAGCATTTGATTCCATTTTTTAAACTTCCCTCTGGAAAATTTTTCTTTTTTTGAAGAATAAACTAATGAATTAAACAGATTCCTAATGTCCGAAGTAAATTTTTTAAAATTACGTCTTTTTTGGAAAATATTAAAAGTTAACAGTGTTTTTCAAGGTTGTTATAGGTTATATGTACTTATAATAATGGTATTAAATTAACGTGAACAAATTTAGATTTTTTAAAACCACTTCATTGTTTAGTGTTTTGCATATAAAGAGATGCCCGAAAAGTTTCATCCGTAATATCTTGCCTTCTGAACACCAAAATATCCTAGTGTTTTTGCTTAATGTTTAAAAAAGTAAGGAAAAGTAAGTAAGAAATTCTGTGTGTAGTTGTTAAATTTAGGTTGAACATTAACAAGACTCATTTTTAGCTGTGTGTCTATTTTCTTAAATATGACCTGTGTCCATTTTCTTAAATACATATTGCAATATGTATCAACAAAAAAAATTTCAATTTTATTTTTTTCTTACCCTGTTGCAACTTAAAACTTTTTACCTCATTTTTGGAACTTAATTTCTAGCTAAAAAAAATCTCATTGTTGACTCACTCTTATGCTGACTTCTGGATCTCTGTCTTAAAGGAATATACTGTTTTGCCCCCCCCCCAAAAAAAAAAATCATAATGATTTTGATTACTTTTTGCACAACATTTGAGAGATAGACATAAACTGATTTAAGAATATAATATGAGACTAAAATTGGCAAGAATTGAATCAAAATTTGAATAACCAAAAATATCCCATTAAGAGTTTTTTTCGAATTCAACTTATACTTAATTTAGAGCCAATGGGTTTCTTGAACTAATTTTGATTTCATCTTCGAGCTATCATTTCTAGTTATTAAAAGATGTTTTATAGGTAGATTTTAGCTTTTTATAAACTATTTTATAACCAGCATTGATCAGCTGACATAATTCTTAGCTTAATACTGTCATTGCTCCACTGCATTGGTTTGTAATTTTGAACGTAATCCAGAAGACAAGGAAACTCCAGGATCAAGTATTGTGAAAAATTTGCCTTTGTGAAGGCCTTTTAGATGGAACTAACCTGCATTTGTGTTACATGGAGACGAAAATCTCTCACTGTAATTCTAATGACATGACTCTTACCCATGATTCGTCTACCATTGAGGATATTTTACGTCAACACTATGGTCGATGCAAGACGGGTGTGGAATTCATATCGACCATCCATTGTTGTGATTCGAACCTGAATTACCTTATTGGTAGGTGAGCGCTTTATCCCTCACGGCCCTCATATGAATCATTATGCATCATCAAAAACAAATATTGTATGTCCTACCAAATTTTACTGTTTTCTTTCTCGTAACAACGAAATTTCGCAATGAGATTCGTCATTTTCTTATGGATTTTAGATGAGGTTCACAAGGAGAAAAACGTTTCAGGACCGCTTGTTTAGAGGATGAAAATATATATTCTAGAAAATAAATTTTGTATGTTGTAAATAAGCAAAAATAAATAAATAAAATTTAAATTTAGTTCAATGTTTTTAATTAGTTTCACCATTGGAGAGATCTGTGGAACAACATATTAAATGCTGTTTTTAAAACAGTCAAAAACAATTTTATGTTATGTTTATCTATTTAATGTGCAAAGTCTTTGAATAAGATAATATTTAATTGAATAAAATGTTTTGTTTTCTTAGTATTTATATGCATAATGTTCTGATTTTTTCAAGTGACCACTTTATGTTTTGAAAAGTTTTAAGTTCTTTATTTTTGAATTCTATTATTTTTTTATCACTCTTATACTATGTTTTCTGATCTATTTAATGATTAAGCTAAAAATTGTTGTAGCTAAAAAATTTTTACTGGGGAAGACATGGACAATTTTCTTTTTGTCCAGTTTAAATTCATTAAGGAAAAAAATACTTTTTTTAAAGTTAATCTTTAAAAATATCCAAAAAATCCTTTTTATATATACATTAAATAATAGTATTAACCAATAATCATTTAGTTTTGAGCAGAAATAAGCAATAATCGAACAAGTTGATCATTATATTTCATTTAGTTTGGCAACTCAAGGTGGGCCAAGGCCTTTTCTTGAAAATTCTTTAATATTTTTGTTAGCTTATAAAAATTGATAATCCGATAATAACTGTGTTAACTATGTACTATTTGAAAAAAAGCCTTTTTAAAATATAAAAATAATGCTCTTTTTGATTTAAGATAGAGGCCTACAATAAATTTTGCCCTGGGGGTTATATAGCTTGTATCAGACTATAGCCGACAATTTTTAAAAATAGAGCCCACTAAAAGATAAATAAGGTCAAATAAAGCTCATTGAGTATATTATTCAATAATGAAATTTAAAATTTTTGTTTCATGTACCTATTTTAGGATTCTATGTTATTCTAAAGTTATAATTTTATTTGTTCAATTTATTGCTATTTATTGTTGCAATGCATTTTTCAACTCATGGTTTTGAGAAAATTGATTAAATATAACCTTTATTTTAGTTTTTTAACTAAATGAATTAAAGTATTCTTAAACTGAGACAAACTAAAACAAATTAGAACATTCCACTTATTCTAGTAACAGATTTTAATATACTGTTATATAATTTTGTTTTGTTTAAAGATTTCTTAAACTATTAAATGTTATTTTTATTGACAGATAATTTTGTTAATATAATGTTGTGCCATAGTGTTTTATTTAAACTTTTTTCTATTGTCATAAATATATCATTTACAAATTAGTACATTTTTATTTATAGATATCAACGATACTTTCACTTGTTGCTCATGGATTTGTAAAAACTCATTGGGAAGTATGATTAATCATTTCCTGTGGGAAATAATATATTTTGCATGTGACGTGTCTTAAACATTTCTGAACAAGATTATTCCTTTGATGAACAAAATGACTGTTATACTCGACATTATTCCTTTGATGAACAAAACGACTGTTATACTCGATATTGTTCTTTAAAGTACTTTAATACCTGTTCTTTTAAACATTATTTAAAGTTCAGCTATTCAATAAATAAACATTTTCCTCGTGCAATATATGATAAGTTAAGCAATGAACATGTTAAATCCCAAAATTTATTTGGAAGATATTGTGATTTTAATTTGTCCTTTACATCAATACAGTTCTGTCTAAAAATGTATCTTTATCATATGTATTATGATTATTATAACTATTTTTTTAATATTATTTAATTTCTTTTATTTTTTTAATTGAAAGTCATTTATGAACAGATCACATTAAATTAAAAAAAACAACAACAACTTAAGATTGTATTTTAAGTTTATTTTTAAATTTTTTTCCCCCCAATTTCACTTTTTTCTTTTTATCTTAATATTGATTATTTTTATAATTTTGTGTATATTAAAAACTTCATTTACCTCGTTTACAGTTAATTAACATGAAACCTTTGAGGTTATATCCTTTCTAATATTGATTATGCTCTATTAAAACGTCTAATAATGTTTCGTTCATATTTTATTCTATTTTACTTCAATTCAATGATGAATTCTTACCTTATACAAAAATGTATTTTTGTTGATACTCTGTTTCATAAAATTATTATTCAAATAGCTTATAACACGAACTTTTAAGGTATTGAAATTGACAATTCATGTTTATTTCACTAAATACTTTTACTTTTTTTGATCAGTTAAAGGTATTCCCTAAATAAGAAATAGGCTTAATTGTTTTTTAAATACCTTTCTACTTTATTCTTAACCTTGTAGTTAATTTTTAATAATTAATTTCTTTATTAAAGTTTCTAAATTATTACAATTTTTTCCATTTTGTTTAGTTTTGTATTTATAAATTTTAAAATTTTGTATATTTTGTACTTTCATAAAATTTTTTACCACATAATTTTACAATATTTTAAATTATAGTAAGAAATTTTTATGTATTTTGCTATGTATGGTATTATTTTACTCTATATATTTTCTTTTTTATTATTTATTCTAGAATGTGTTGTTTTTATTATTGAAATTTTTTTTTGCGTGATTAAGTATGTTTTGTAATATTTTGTTAATTTTTAATCAAATCTCCTATATTTTATTCTGAAATGTTTGTTATTTATTTAAAACTATTGCTGGTTTAAAATAGAGTGCATATCATCACTGTCTATCAAGTTTCCTATTTAGGTACTAGAAATGAAGGTTGCCTAAAGTGCACTTTGTTTTCCAATATACTATAAGTTATGGAACAAAAATTATGAATGATGTATTAGTTATCAATGGGAATAATATTTATTTATTTAGCTTTATTATTCATTTTTATGAAGTTAACATTTTTAAACTTACATATATAGTGGTTTATATGAATCTCAGTGACTATACAGTCTGTTACATATATGTTGAAATGTTGTTATATTTCAATATAATTTGTTAACATTGTCAGTAATAAATTTTTTTTTACCAATAAGAAAATCTTTTTTCAGAATTTCTTTGCAATTTTAAAAATTGAGTTTCAAAAAAAAAGAAAAAAAAAAAGAAGAAAAATATGCATGTTCTTGAACTTTCTTATACAACATTTGCTACATTATTAATGTAAATAGAAATATGAGATTTATAAATATCATTACTAATTCACAAAAAATTGTAAATGTTTATACTCTTAAATAGTAATTTTAAAGACTACATTTATCTTGAGTGTATCTTAACTTTCCAAATACCTTTAAAGTAAAAGTGCTCAAACTATTCTCTGAATCAAACTTTTGTGCTGATAACTAAAAATTAATTTATTGTATGATATTTAAATAATATATATATTTTTTCTTTTGTTGTTTACTACAATTGATGTTTCTTAGTCATTTTATATGTATTTTCTAGTCCTTTTTTTAAATGTTAGGTATTATCTTAAGTATATATTTGTTTTGTTTATGAGTTAAAATATATTATACTCTTTCATACATTATTTTTATTTAAATAAAATAATGTTGCATTGCATTTAAAGACTCGATATATTTAAGAATGTTGTTCATTTATTTATGGAGATCTTGTGATGTTTCTTATGATAAACTTTGGTATTACATTTATTTTATTATGCTTCGCTGTTTTTTACTATAAAAATTAAAAGGAGTTTTAATGTAGTAAATAAAACAACGTTTTTTCCCCCACTTTTTATTTTTGCTTGTTTTTATATTTTTTTAATTTTTTGCTTGTGATATTTATAAAAAATATTGTTCAAATTACTATAAAAATGGTATATAGGTTATTTATAATCCTTTTATTCTTCTTTCTATTTTTTATTTTTGTATTACTACTTTCAAAATTAAAATAAAAATCAAACAAATTTCAAGTGTCTTAAATCAGTTTTTCTTCCCTAAAGTTATGGTGCACGTCTACCATACTACCATATATAAATATAACACGTCTACCATATATATNAAAGTAAAATCCGTAAAATGTCTTAATTTAGGGAAAAAGGGAAATCTTAGTAGTTGCTATTGGTTTATGAAATAGACCGAATGTTTCCCTCACAGAGCAAAGGGAAATATGTCCTGCTTTTAATTAAATGCATACTTGAGCCAAAAATAGATTTAAGAACAGGATGTGGCTTTTAAAAGTGTGAGAAAGTATTTCGATTAGAATAATTAATTAGGATGAAATTTTATAAAAGAAACTAACATAAAAAGATTAATTGAAGCTTTTTATGTTACATATATATATATATATATGTTATAATTTTTTTTTAAAAATATTAAACCTAACATTATGAAAAGATTTTTTAGCAGTAATTCAGTAATTATTAAATACAAATATGTAATAACATTAGTTCCTACATAAAATTTATTAATACTGGAAGTACTATCTTTAATAAATCAGTACATATTTTCTCATATGCTGATGATGTAAATATTATTGCAAGATCTGTCTATGCATTGGGTCAAACCATTTTTGAACTGAGGAAATCAGCAATAGAAATGAATGTGGAGTAAAACATTATATGTATTATGGTAAAAAGGAAACGATTCCTAAAATGTTTGAAGTTATTTCTTTTAAATTCGAATGTGTAACTATTTTTATCTGTTTTGGATCAGAAAATCAAAAATAAGAAAAAGGATTAGCCCAAACAATCACTGTTTCTTCGGTGTAAGATCGGTTACTGAAATCCTATTTAGTAAAAAAGACAGAGATCTTGCTGTGTTGGGCATTGATAAAACCTGCCTTGAATTATGTCTTAAAGACATGTATTTGAAGATGACCTTGGCTATCTTTGCAAGGAAGGTTTCAAGATCCATCTTTGGTGCTGCTCTTGATAATAATAATACCCGGGGAAAAAAAAGATATACTTTCTAAATTTTTTAAAGTTAATTCGCAAAAGTAAGTGGAATGAAATGAGCAGGGCACTTAATAAGAATGAGTCCATAGTGAGCAGCAATCCCCTCCAACAAAAGACCACGAGGAGGACCCCAAAAAAAGTGGAAAGACTATGTGGATGAGGGCATTGTCATGCTGAGAGTAGAGTGAAGATCACTTTCTGGGAGAAGAGCTGATTGGGGAAGGATTCTAAGGAAGGCCTAGGCCTTTTAAAATTCTTGTCAAACAAATGTTAGAGTATTCTATAAAAAAAGTTGTTGTAAGTTTATATCTTGTGAAATGCTTGAACTTCAGCTTTCCCTATATCATGCAGGCCAGTTTTAAATCGAGATAAATGTAATTTAAAGTATCAACTTGTGCCGAGAGTCAAAAAATCACATTTCATCCAGTAGTAGATTAATAATACAATAATTTTAATTCTGCTTTTTTATTTTTAACTAGTCACAATGATCACTACAAATAAAAAAATTTTTTTTTCTATTTGTTTATAACTTGAAGCTTTCAAAGACATTTTGCAAGATCACTTGTATGTTTAAAAAAGAAAGAAAAAACTCATTAATTAATTTTTAACTGTTAAACTGTTATTAATTAATTATTAACGGTTAAACTGTTATTAATTAATTATTAACTGTTAAACTGTTATTAAATAATTATTAACTGTAATTATTAACTGTTTAATAAACTGTTATAAATGAAAAAAAAGGTTATACTTTGAAACTTTTCAGGCATTTTGCAAGGTTTTTTTTTTTAAAAGAAAAAAAAAAACTATTATTAATTAACATATTAGAATTATTATTTTACAAATTAACAAAAAATCATATTTTTATAAATAAATGCACTTTATTAAGGTTGAAATAATATACTGTAAAATTAAGTATTAATAGTAGAATTATTAACAGTAAGTAGTAAATTAAGTGTTAACAGTGGAATTAAGTATTCGGTTGAAGCAAAGTAAAAACAACTTAGTTATATTTCGTTGAACCTAATAAAAATTTTCTAAAACTAATTGAAATTTTTTTAATAATCAAGTTTGATAAAGAAAATTTTCAATTGACTTCATTTTATGAAATAAAAATGTTTACATTATTTTAAACTTCAGAAATTTGAAACAGAATCGGTCTCTACTTTTTTGAGAAAAACAAACACTTTGAAATATGCAGAAATTTCTTCAAAGTTGTATTACTCAAAAACTATTCAACCGATTTTTGTTTTTTTAAAAACAAAAAACACTGACTAAGGGATTGTGAAAAATTTTATGCCTTACAATTTAAACATTTTTTTAAAAATCATTATTAAGTAAAATAATAATTATGAAATTTTTCACATGAAATCAACTATAGACTTACAATTTATTCAATTATCAGCAATTTTTTTATTTTGTTGACTAAACTATTTCAGAGATTGGCGAAAGATGCAAAAGAGAAAATTTGTATAAAAATGGTCGAATTTTACATTTCAAGGTTTTAATGTCTAATATGTAAACTATTACAATAGTTTAGATAGGGCCGTGGTGGCTCAGGGGATAGAACGCTCGCTTCGCAATGAGGTGAGCCGGCTTCGAGTCCCAGCGATAGCTGGTTTCGAATTCCGCATCCGGCTCGCACCGACTACAGTGCTGACGTAAAATACCCTCAGTGGTAGGCAGATCATAGGTTAGAGTCCCCTTGCCGTCAGGCTAACCGTGGGAGGTTTCCCTCTCCATGTTACTCAAATGCGGTCTAGTTCCATCAAAAAGTCCTCCACGAAGGCAAATTTCTTACAATACTTGATTCAGGAGTTCCCCTGTTTTCTGGATTAGGTTCAAAATTACAAGGCTACGGTGTTGAACATTGGTAGTCGTAAATTCAAAATTGGGTCGGCTGTTTAACGACGGTTATAAAATAAAATAGTTTTAATTTGGTAAATCTAGA